GATGCCCATGTCGCACATCCTAACGCACTTTACGTTGCGGAGTCCGCGATGAGATTTTGTCTTCGCATCTTCGTCGGAGACAGGCGCAAGGGAACAGTGGCGTGGGGATAATGAAGCTGCTTTTGTGGAGGAAGGTGGGAGATGAAAACATTATATAAATAAAATACACCAGAAGTAAGTGGGATGCATACAAGAACAGGTTCTAAGAGGGTTTACTAGGTCTTCACGGCAATCCGTTAAATGTTTGTACAATTGCTGCACAAACAGTTCAATAACATCCTTTGCCATAAACTACAAAATGGTGTTGCGAACTTACAAATCATACGGTAAGTTAAGCACCATTCTACCTTACTGTATCAGGTGCAGTTGCCTGAAATTCTACCATCCAAGATGCCTACACGGTTTTTATGCCTACACACACACAACCTACCAATTAAACATCACATAAATGCGCTAAACAACCACTCATTAAGGTGACTAGTAACTGCACCATTCAGCGCTTCGACGGCCGACGAAACGAAGACGGAGGCGCCAGCGCCGGTTGCGGTAACCAGTTTGTAACATCCAGATGCCTGCGTTGACTCTCATACGACGAGCTATTCAGTGTAGCTGCTCGTTCCAGTGACACTGGGAGCACATTCACCCCCCCACCATACCCCCCGTGCCCATCATCCTCCCCATCTGCATACCCATCCCCATCGTCATCCTCCTCCCCCCTTCCTCCTGTCCCATACCCAAACGCATCATGCACCATTGCCGGGCCTCTGGGAGCATTGGTTCGGCCGCGGCTAAGAGGCCCCGACCTCCCCGAACCTCTCTCTCTCCCGGACTTGCTTCCCCGTTGAATCTGCCTCCGCCTCTGCTCCTGCCGCTCCCACTGCTCCTCCTGCTCCAGCTGCTGCTGCTGCTGCTGCTGCTGCTGGGGCGGCATTCGCTGCTGGCGCTGCCGTTGCTGGGGTGCCAAAAGCTGCGACCACTCCTCACGAGAATGAGAATATGGCTCCTCCTCAAACCCGTCATACCCTCCCACTCCCTCTTGCCAGCTGCTCGCTCTGTGGCTGCGCGCGTGGTAACCGCGTCCCAACGAGTTGTTACACATCAGCCCGGCACTCCTCCCCCCTTCACCGCTCGCGCTCAAATGGAACGCGCGAGGGTCGTGGGGACTGACACGGGCTGTGCTGCTGCTGCTGCTGCATCCGTGTGACTTTTGAGACGTCTCAAAAGTCCGCCCCCCTTCTCCGCTCGCACTCAGATGGAACGAACGAGGATCGTGGGGACTGACACGGGCTGTGCTGCTGCTGCTGCTGAATTCGCCCCTTCCCAGCGAGTCGTTACGGGAAAGGGGTGGTCGGTTCATCCTCCTTAAAGAGTTGCTGCGATTGTAGTCAGAAGCCGCACTGGCACCAGCACCAGAAGTAGCTGATGCTGCTGCTATATACGCGGCTCCAGTGATCATGGTATCACCACCAGCCCCAGCACCAGCACCACCAGCGGCAAGAGCAGCTGCTGCTGCCTTACCAAGCGAATCCCCCCGAGATAACCTGCTAGGCCCAGCTCTCCGATCCAAGCCGTGAAGCCTTTCTGAACCAGATGCGTCAAAACCGGATGCCTCAAAACCGGACGTCCTACCTCCAGCAGCAGTAGCACCAGCAGCAGCATCACCCCACAAGTCACCACCATGCCTCGCCTCCCCACCACTCTCCCACCCCCTCCTCCCCCCTTCCCTAAACGTCTTCTCAGACATTTGCCTCTGCAACCGTCGCCCTCCCACCAGCCGCTTCCCCTGCTCCTCCTCCTCCTCCTCCTCCTCTCTCTCTTCCTCCCGACAGTCCCACTCGCGCCCCAGCTATCCAGTCTTTAGCGGAAACAACAGCAGGAGCAGGAGCGAGGGCTGCGGTAGGCCTTCGTCGATCGGTCAAGCTGCGTTGAAACTGTCGGGGAGCACTGGCAGCACGGGCAGCATGGGGAGCACTGGGGAGAGGGTGGTGGGCTGCTGCTGCTGCTGCTGCTGCTGCTGGTGCGTCTCCTCCTGCTATCCAGTCTCTAGCGGATAAGCGAGCAGCAGCAGCAGGAGGAGGAGCAGGAGCAGGAACGAAGGCGGGGGGCGCCCGCCTTCGATCGGTCAAGCTGCGCTGGAATTGGCGCGGAGCACGAGGAGCTAAGGGGCCACTCAGAGGACTGGGCATGCTGGGATCACGGGGCGCACTGGGATCACGGGAAGCACTGGGATCACGGGGAGCACTGGGATCACGGGGAGCACTGAAGTGTGGTTGTTGGGCTGCCGGATTGCCTGCTGCTGCTGCAACCGCTGCGGCTGCTGCTTCTCCTGTCAGCCACTCTCGTGCAGACGCGCGGGGAACAGCAGCAGGGGGTGCGGGAGCGGCAGCGTAAGGAGGAGGGACCGGGCGCCTTCGATCCGTGAAGCTGCGCTGAAACGCCTGGGGACCGCTGGGCCGGGGTGGAATGGCGGATTCGCAGCAGACTGAAGCTGTGGGTGGAATGCTTCTGCTCCTGCTGCTGGGCTTACAGAGGCTCCTGGTGCTGCTCCTGCCAGCCACTCTCTGGCAGAAACGCGGGGAACAGCAGCAATGGAAAGAGGGTGGGGCGGGAGGACGGGCCGTCTTCTGTCCGTGAAGCTGCGTTGGAACGACTGTGGCTCACTGGACTGGGGTTGGAATGACAACCCCCCTGCTCCTCCTACTCCTCCTGCTATTCCTCCTCCTCCTACTCCTCCTGTTCCTCCTGCTGCTGCTGGGTGCTTTTGAGGTTCTGTACCCAGAGAGGAGGAACGAGGGAAAGCGCCTGCAGCTCCCTCAAACGACCCTGAACCCTTCCCAACCGCAGAGCCAGCAGCAGAAGCAGCAGCAGAAGGACCAGCAGCAAGGCCCTTCCCAGGAGGAGCCGGGCGGGGCAGCACAGGCCGCTTCATCTCAGTCTGGCTGCGACGCGCCGGAAATCGCTGCGGCTGCTGCTGCTGCTGCTGCTGCTGCTGCTGCTGCTGTGGCTGCTGCTGCGGCTGCTGTTGCTGCTGGTTCGTCTTGAGCTGCTGCTGCTGCGGCTGCAGCTGCGGCTGCTGCATTTCATGATCAGAATGGTCCTTCGAGTCACTGCTATACCCGTCGCTGTCATCCCCATACCTCTCCACTCCACCCTCGTTACCTCTCACATTGGGCCTTGGCCCATCCCTTCCATCACTCCTCCCATCCACCACATCTCTTGCATTTCTCTCGCCCCGCCTCAATTCCCTCTCCCTCGCCCTCCCTCCCTCCATGAACCTCTGCCTTGCCCTCCCGCCTTCCCTAGGAGCTCCAGATACCATCTGAGCTTGGATTGTCAAAGCAGACTCTTCATTCAATGCAGAATCTTCGTTCCCATCCATATAGCCACCTTCCATATAATCACCTTCCATGTCGTATCCTCCCAGAGCACCTGACCCTCCTCTGTTGAATTCACCTGAGCCCCCTCGTCTGTTTGGTACACGGGCACCTCTGTTGAATTCACCTGAGCCCACTCTGTTGAATCCACCTGGACCCACTCTGCTGAAATCACCTGAATCTGCCCGGTTCAGGTCAGATGCATCTGCGCTCCTGCCCGAAAGATTTCGCTCGGTGCTTCTGCCCGAAAAACTGGAAGACTGAGCAAGTTTAGAGCGAGAAAGTGACCTGAAAATTCCGCTCCCTCTCTTACCCTCGCCACTCCTTTCCTTAAATTCCCTCTCCCCACTCCTTCCCCTAGCCCCCCCCACTTCCTTCCCCTCCCCTTCCTCCTCGTCTTCCGAAGCGCTCACCGACCCGGACCTGAACATCTCCCGGACCTGCGTCCCAGGGACGGTGTTTCCCGAGCCAAAACTGGTTCGGTAGGCATGGGCCGAGCTGGCATGGGGGCTTGGGGAGAGAGAGTGACTGTGGCGTGAGGATGGGGAGCGAGAGGAGGAATGGGTGTGGGGGGAGTGCTGAAACTGGTGAGGAGATTGCTGCTGCTGATGGGGGGAGTGTGGCAATTCGTGTGGGGAGTGTGGCAATTCGTGTGGGGAGTGTGGCAGATGGTGTGGGGAGTGCGAGAGCTGTCTTTCATCTGTCATCATCCCCTCACCACCAGCACCATCGATATCACTGCCATCAATCAATTCTTGAAACTCATCCTCATCTACAAACTCATCCCTCTCCTCTCTCTCCTCCCTCTCCTCCCTCTCGTCATACCCTCTCGCACCTCTCTCCCCCACCTCCCTCTCCTCTCCCTCCCGCTCAGAATACCCTTCCCTCTCATATTCTGAAGCCCTTTCAAACTCTGATGCTCTTTCATACTCTAATGCTCTTTCGTAATCTGATGCTCTTTCATACTCCTCCGCCCGTTCATAATCCGACTCTCCACCCACACTCCTCTCACTCCCATGCGAGCTTGCAGCAACCTGCTTCTCACGAAACTGACTCTCCCGGAATTCCCTCTCACGATTCTCCTCATCAGACCGTAGCTGTACCCAATAGGTCAACTTCCCCTCCCCTTCCCCTTGCCCCTCCATTTCATCTTGCTCCATCTCCCCTTCCCCTCTCTCTCCTCCCATCCATCCTCCCCTCTCTCCTCCTCTCTCTACCCCTTGTATCTCCCCACCCCTTCTTCCAATCCCACCCTGTCCCCCTGCTTGCATACGCACCCCCATGGGGCTCTTAGTCCCACTTCTCTGCAGCACAAACTCCCACTCATCCAATGCAGCTTTCCCCTTCCCCTTCCCCTCCTCCCTCTCTCGCTGCCACTGCCGCTGCTGCCACTGCCGCTGCTGCCACTGGCGCTGCTGCTGCTGCTCTGATCGTCCTTCCCCCCCATACCCTGCCTCTTCATACTCCTGCCCGTATTGCTGCCCTTCAAACTGCTGTTCCTGCCCGTACCGCTGCCCCTCAAATTTCTGCTGCCCGTATTGCTGCCCCTCAAACTGCTGCTGCCCGTACTGCCCCCGTTCCATAAACTCCTGTTCAAATACCTGCTGCCCCTGCCTCCTTTGCTCTTCAAAATACGCCTGTTCCTCATACTGCTCCTCATAATGCTTATGATACTGCCCCTGCTCCTGATAACCCTCCTGATAATCACCCTCATAATGCTTATGATACTGCCCCTGCTCCTGATAACCCTCCTGATAACCCTCCTGATAACCCTCCTGATAATCACCCTCGTAATGCTCCTGATACTGTCCCTCATATTGCCCCTCATACTGCACTTGATACTGCTCCTGCTCCCCATATCCCTCCCCATACTGCTCCCCATACCGCTCCCCATACTGCCCCTCATAATGCTCTGTATGCGGCTCACCATACTGATCTCCATACTGCAACGTCTGAGTCCCCAAGTCCGGCCCTGCACCCTCATAACCATCCTCAACCGCCCCCCACCCCTCACGAGGTTGGGCGAATTCCGTTTCTCCCACCCACCTCTCACCCCTTTCATTACCCTCTGCCCCTCCCCCCCACACCTCCGCCCCTCCCTCCACTCTCCACGTTTCCGCCCCTCCCTCCACTCCCCACGTTTCCGCCCCTCCCTCCACCGTTAATCTATCCGCCCCACTCCTCTCCGCCCCTCTCCACCCCCTCTTCTTCGCTTCCATCGCAGCCAACCCCATTCGATGCCTGTCAAACGAGTAAAACGATACTCCTGCCGCTCCACCCCCAGGCCTCGCCCGAACCACCCCCACACCACCCTCATCACCCTCCTCTTCTGCCCCACCCACCTCCCCCGATCCTCCTCCCTCTGCTCCTTCTACTGCTCCTGCTGCTCCCTCTGCTCCTCCTGCTACCCCTACCCGACGGACCAGCGAGGAGGACGGGGATAAATACTTCTGAGCACCCAAACTGCGAGTAGAGCGAACAATTCTCTCTGTACTAGTCCGCTGAAGAGGCGGCCTGCCACTGTTGTTCATCGGGGTGTTGCTGCTGCTGTTGGTGGTGGCCGTAGCGGCAGCATCACGCCCTCTTAAACCCAAATCCAAACCCATACCCTGCTGGTTGACAGCATCTAGTGCCTTGCCGCTTAGAGAGTGGTGTTTCATCAGCAGCCGCTTCGCTCTCACCGGTACCTGATCCTGCTGCTGCTGCTGCTGCTGCTGCTGCTGCTGCTGCTGCTGCTGCTGCTGCTGCTGCTGCTGCTGCTGTTCATTTTCCTCCGCTTGCTGCTGATTTTCCAATTTCCCCTCTCCCTGCTTCTCTTGTTGCTGCTCCTGCTCCTGCTTCGCCTGCTTCTGCTGCTGCTGTTGCTGCTCCTGCTCCTGCCCCTGCTGCTGCTGTTGCTGCCCCTGCTCTTGCGGCTGGAAGCTCTTTTCCTGACTATCCACCAATGGGGAGCCTTCTTTTGGAGAAAGCTGGTGGAAACTTCCCCTTCTGGACGGCCCTAGAGGGGAGCCATCTGACCCGTGGTCAAGAGTAGACGAGTCAACGCCAGTCAACATCTGGGTTGACTCAAGAGCAGACCCTTGGGCAACTGCGGCCGAGTCAACGCCAGTCAACGCCTGAGCTGACTCGACACCGGATTCATGAGCAAGTGTGGCCGAGTCAACGCCAGTCAACCGGGCACTGCTGCTGGGGGTGCGCGTTGGGGTGATTGTGGGGGTGAGCGTGGGAGTGAGTGAGGGAGTGATTGTGGGAGTGAGTGAGGGAGTGAGGGTGGGAGTGAGTTCCTGCCTTGGTGCCCCCTCTCCTGTCACTTCAGAGGGAACATCTGCCTTCCCTTCTCCTCCTCCTCCTCCCAAATCCCTCACCCCGCCAGCACTAGCACCAGCACCAGCACTAGCACCAGCACCAGCACCAGCACTAGCACCAGCACCAGCACCAGCACTAGCACTAGCACCAGCACCAGCACTAGCACCAGCACCAGCACCCTCGTCCATCCTACCTTCCTCATTTACCTCCTCCCTAACCCCTTCGCCCTTCCCTTCCTCCCCTCTCTCCCCTTCCTCCCCTCGCTCCACTTCCCTCCCTCCCCCCCCTTCTTTCCCTTCCTCCTCCCCTACTGTGCCCCTCTCCCCATCATCACTACTCTCCTCCTCCGCATCCTTCCGCCCCTCCTCTCCCTCACTCTCCTCTCTCCGACCCGTCCCAGCCATACCCTCCCCACTCCCCTTACCCTCCTCCCCCAAACCCTCCTCACCCCCGTGTTTCACCTCACGCCCTCCCCCCACCAGCGCAACAACTGCAGCAGCAAGGCTTCTAAACCCCAACACTCCCTTCCTCCCCTCGCCCCTCCTCCCGTCCCCTCTCCACGTAACCTGTTTCCTCAGCTCCATCCCTCCCAACCGCTCTCCACCCACCTCTTTCTCCTCAATTCTCTCAGACCTGCCCCTCAGCGTAACCTGCCTTTTAAAAGCATCCATCACTCCTCCTCCTCCTAGCCTCTCCCCTGGTGCGGGCCTCAGGCTTATAGACCGCTGAAACATCACTGCCAGAGATGGTCGTTTCTCCTCCTCTTCCTCCCCTCCTCCCCCTCCTACTCCTCCTCCCCCTCCTCCTTCTGCTCCTCCTCCCTCCCCACCTGCCAAGCTACGCAGAATCCTCCTCACCTCCTCATTCCTCCTCTCCTCCTCAGCATCCGCACTCCCTACCTGTCCTCCCTCCTTCTCCGCTCCCTGCCCCTCCCCTACCTCCAAAGACCCACTCTGCTGCTTCTCCGCCTCTTCCCTCTCCTCCTCAATCTCCTCCTTCGTCTCTTCCTTTATAACATCCCTCCTCATCCACCGTTTCTTCTTGGGCCGAGGCAAAGCCGCCCTCCCACCCGCCCGCCCCTGCCTACCACTCCCCCCTGCCTTCTCCCCTTCCCCCTCTCCCACCCCACTGCCACTACCCGTCTCCCCTTCATCCCCTGCCTCCCTGCTGCTGCTACGACTAGCCACCATAGACATGCCTCGGGAAAGGGCCCTGCTACGGGAAAGGGACATGCTTCGAGTGAGAGCCATGGCGAGAGAGGGGGAGGCGCCACTTGGTGACGGTGCATTAGGGGTAGCACCGCCAAAGCCACCAGCAGCACCAGCTGGAGAGGCAGCAGCAGCAGCAGCGGCAGCAGACGCGGCGGCAGCAGCAGCTTCAGCTGAGAGAGGTTCCTGGTACTTTTCCTCTAGCTGCTCCCATAGCTTTCCCTCCTGTACCAAGTCTTCTGAATCCTCCCCATACACTTCCTCCCCATCTCGACTGGAATCAAAGCTGTTTCTGCTCACGCCGCCGCCGGCAGCACCACCACCCGAAGCACCGCCGCCCGCACCCGAACCAGCACCCGAACCTGCGCCCGAACCTGCGCCCGAAGCAGCACCCGCACCAGCACCCCCAGGGGAGGATAACGAGCCAAAGCTGCTGCTTCGGAGACGACTCCTCTTAGAATCAGACCCCGGCCTATCCCTGTCCTTGTCTTTATCTGATGAATCCGAAAGAAAGCTCGACAGAAGGGACCTTCTACCTGACCTGCTGCTCCCACTACCACCAGCAGCAAGAGCACCAGCAGCACCACCAGTCCCTGCCTCCGCTCCCCCCTCCCCCCCTCCCCCACCCCCTTTCCCACTCTCCCCCGTTCGCGGCGAATCAAAACTCTCCCCAGCCCACAACCCCCCCTCGCCCTCCCACTCCACGTCACTCCCCGCTCCACTCCCCCCCTCTCTCCACCTCTGAACACTCTTCAAACCCGCAGCCAACCCCTTCTTGAGCGCCCCTTTCCCCATAAGCCCCAGAAGCTCTGAAGACCCGCCAAAAGAAGGCCCCCTCTGCCTCCTCAGCCGCCTCCCAAACGTGGGCGTGCGGGCAGTGGGGGTACCCGCTACAGGCGTCCCCGCTACAGACCCTCCGGCTGTAGCCAACTCTACTGCTTCCCCCAGCGGCCCGGCTGTAGCAGGGCGGCGAGTGCTGCCGCCCGGGCTGTAGCAGACAGGAGAATCCCCAACCCCAAGCAGATCCCCCCCCTGAGCTTGCCCCTCCCTCCGGCTGTACCTAGACTGGCTGTTCTGCCTGCTGCTACCGCTCCCAACTCCTCCTAACCCACTTCCCAGCCCTCTCCCACTGCCGGTACCCCTGCCGGCCCATTTCGGGCTGTTGATATCTGAAGGGAGGAGCAGGGAGAACGGCGAGCAGGCGTTTGGGAGGGAGTTGGACCGGGGCGTGAGCTCAGGCTCGGCCGAGCCTGATTTCCAGGGTAAACTCCCCTCCTCGCCTTCCTCCCCGGGTATTGATAAATACGGGCCTTGTGCACCGGTGCCCCCTTCAATCTCCTCATCCCCTTCACCTGCCGGGTCCCTGTCTCCTGCTCCCGCCCCTCCTCCTATTCTTGCTTCTTTCTTCCCCCTAATCCTATCGCTCAGACTAACCCCTCCCCGTGACCCTGACCTTCTTACCTCGCTTCTCCCCCCCTCTCCTTCTCTCCCCCCATCACCCCCCTTCAGCGCGGACGGGGGGGTGCGCGCGGGCCTAGAGGGCGCAACTGGGGGGCGGAATCCGCTATAAGTCGCGCCCCAGGAGAACGTTCCTATAACGGGGGAGTGCAGCCGCGGGGGAGCGGGATTCACGGAGTGATTGTAACCAGGGTGGCGAGAGGAAGGCGCGGGGCGGCGGTTTGGGGCAGTGGGGGAGACGGAAGGGGGACTTCTAGGAGTGCCGGCAGCAGGAGGTGGAGGGGAAGATGGGGGAGCAGCATCTGGGAGAGAGTGAGACGATTGAGAGCGAGAGGCTTGGGGATGGTGTGATTGAGAATGCAGGGATTGAGAGTGCACGGATTGGGGGTGGAGAGATTGGGGGTGAAGGGATTGGGGGTGTGCGTGCGACGGGTGAGTGTGCGAATGCGGCAGAGGCGGTTGGGGGGAGGAGGGGGAGTCAGGCTGAAGGAACGGGGGATGCGACGGGTGCGTGTGAGAGTGTGGCACGAGCGGTTCAGAGGAGGGGATCGGGGATGCCCCAAAAGGAGAGTCTGGGGGAACAAAAGAGCGGATCGAGGGGTGAGTGTGTGAATGAGGCACACGGGGCTGGGGAGAGGGGGAGTCCGCAGGATGTGACTGTACGCTGTGTGACTGTACGCCGTGTGACTGTACGCTGTGTGACTGTACACCAGGGGTAGAAGTGAAGGAGCTGGGACTAAGACCCCCCATCCCCTCCATCTCCCTCCCACCCAACTTCGCTTCTTCTCCAGCTCTCTTCTCTCCCGGTTCCTCTGCTGCTGAACGCGCCTCATCCGCCCTTTGCCCCTCGGCTGCACTCCGTCCCGCTCCGGAACCGACCCTAGGCAGCACGAGCCTGGGCACCCCGAGCCTAGGTGTCAGGTTCGGACTGGCAGGTTCGGCTTCAGAGAATGTCATTTGAGAAGGACTGAAAGCGGTGGGCTGAGAATCAGAAGCAGAAGCATACCCAGCAGTAGCAGTAGTACCAGAAGTAGCAGCAGCAGCCGCAGCCGCAGCCGCAGCAGCAGCAGCAGCAGCAGCAGCAGACCCAACAACCGCAGACCCAGCAGCAGCCGAATCTATTTCGATGATGGGAGCAGAGTTGAGAGTTGCGACATCCACAGTTCTAGACCCTTCTGTTGCTACAGCCGCTCCTGCTGCTACGCCTACAGCCTCTCCTTTTGCTACAGCCGTACCTGTCGTTACGCCTACTGCTGCACCTGTAACAGAGGTAACAGGCTCACCCCCTCCTGTGGTTATCGCGTCCTCGCCTGCTGCCACAGCTACATCATCACCCTCTCCAACCGTTACACTCTCCTCTACACCTACAGTTACCGAATTGCTCTCTTCTAGACTCACAGTCACAGCAGAATCCGGAATACACGATACAGTATGATCCGCGTCCGTAACTACAGACTCATCTACTGCTAGACCTAAAGCACTGCCTGCACGGAAACCTACACTTTCATCTGCTAGGGTGATTGACGTTCGACAAGCATCGGCTGACACAGCCATAGCCACGTCATCAGCTGCCACAGTCTCAGCCACGTCATCAGCTGCTACGACCTTCGCCACGTCATCAGCTGCTACGACCTTCGCCACGTCATCAGCTGTTGCTGCCGGTTCACGGCCAGTATCATTTGCAGGATCGCCAGAAAACTCACTGACAGAAACTGAAGTGTTTCCTGCACTGCCAGCACAAGCAGCAGCAGCAGTTTCAGAACCAGAAACAGCCACGTCAGCACCAGCGCATCCAGCCCTATCCCTAGCTACCAGTGTTTCCGCTGCCCCTGCTTCCACATGTGGTGCGTCCGCTCCCGCTAATTCCACCTGTGGTGTTTCCGCGCCCCAAGCTTCCGCCTGTGGTGTTTCCGCTTCTCCTGCTCCCGCCCGTGGCGTTTCTCCTCCCCCTGCTTCAGTCCGAGGCATTTCCGCGACCCCATTTTCTACCTGTGGTGTACCCGCTTCCTGTGTTCTTCCCCGTGACTTTTCCGCATCCCCTGCTTCCGCGAGCGCTTCCGCGCCACCTGCTTCCGCCCGTAGCGCTTCCGCGACCCCTTCATGCGCGCGTGGCATTTCCGCGCCCCCGGCTTCCGCCCGTGGCTCATCCACGTTTCCTTCATGCGCGCGCAGCTCCTCCATCCCCGAGCGATCAAGTTCCGCACGATCAAGCTCCGCGCTAGGCATTTCGGCCGCTGCAATCCCATTCTCCTGTGTCCCCTCTACCCTCGCACTCCTATCTTCCCCTTTAGTCTCTGATGAATCCCGTGGCCCGTCCATGGTTTCGCCTGTTACTCCAACATGATTACTCGGCTCTGCGACATGGTTACCCGACACTGAGACATGGTTAACCGTTTCTTCCGCATCTCTACTCGCTGAAGTGGAATCAGCCGCTGCCTCTGCGCGAGAAGCAGCTGGCTCGGAAGCACCGCGTCGTTCCCGAACCTCCAACACAAGCTCCGGGACGGTATCAGCTTTGGTGCCGGACCTAGACGCGCCGAACCAAGACGCACGGGACTTAGGCGTGCCGAACCTAGGCGTCCCCCAGCCGTGCGTGCCGGACCTAGTTGGTGTGGAGGAGGTTTCGATACGTTGTGGAGGTTCGTCATGATCCAGCGACATATCTTCGTTACCGAAGCAAGACAACGGGAGGATATGCGTCACCGATTCCCACCGTCGCCGGGACCGCTTAGAACGAGCCGAAATATCGCTGGCGGGGCTGCTGCTGAAAGCGCGGGAAAAAATGTTGAGCTGCGGGCTGCTGAAGGGACGATGGAACACGCCGGACCTCGGGGTTGACGACACGGATGATGACGTCATCGTAGGGTTCTCAGCATGGAGAGGAGGAGGAGGAGAGCGGCGATTTTTGGCGAGAGGCTTTCCGGGACGAGAATTGAAGTGCTGGCAGGAGCAGCAGCAATGCGTGACGACGGCAGTGCCGACGTGGCAGTCCTCCCAATCGCAGCATTTCATTTCGCTGAGATAATCTTTAAAGGCGCCTCAACAGTCGCTGAGGTGGTCGCCATGAGGTTGAAACAGACGCGTTGTCGGTGCGATTGGAAAAAAGGTTTAGGTCTAGCTGTGGCGTGACAACCCGAGGGTGCTTAACTTCCGACACGGCTGAAAAGGCTCGGCTATAGAGTTTGACGAAGAAACACAAAGCTGACCCGTCGTCAATCAATGATCATACGGTGCTGAACGTCGCATAAATATAGCCTTCCAGCTTTGAGTTTAAGAAAACAGAAAGGAAACGGTCTAGAAGGCGATAACAAACATGCTAGCCTCCACGGAGACACACGCAGAACGACACTTTTGCCAGAACGCATAACGCAAAGAAACCACGCGAAGAAACCACGCGGAATTGCACGAAGCACCTACAACCCGTCAACCAATTCAAAAACCACTTCACGGAATGCGGTCAGAACACGAACATAACTACTAACTGCTCTCGTGAAGCCAGCAGTCAGGATTGCACATCAACAATCATGCTGACGTCTGCTGCAGGCGATCACCCATTGCATGGCCTCGCGAAAAGTCCTGACAACAACGAGCTTCAGGACCTAATTAGTCGGCTACCTACTACGCCTAACCAACTATGCGACAATTCCTAATAACAGCAGCACTAGAATGCTGGCCTCACAAGTTGTGGAACTGCTTTGGCTTACTGGAGGTATCTGGGGCACCGTTTCGTGCGGTTAAACCCCTCTCCAGAACGGTACAAAGCGGTGCGAACCCTTCACCGTTTTTGAACGCAACGCATCGAACAGAACCGTGGTGCGTAAACCGAAGAGAAAGCACAAACACCACTTCGAGAGTGTCCAAATGCCAGGCTGTCATGAGTCTCAACATGGCTGACATGGGCACAGGACAGAAGTTGGGTACCACGAACGAAGGAGTTACTTCCTCGCGAAGATTGCGAGGGTTACCATTGTCGTTGGGGACAACGACTTCATCGTAAGCTGTGTCGTTGAACCCATACGATTCTCGCCAATTATATTGATCAATTGGATGCTGGGCCACGACAAGCTCCATCGCAGCATCGCTGGTGTTCCCAAGGTGAAAACACTGTTCGCTCGCGACCCATCGCTCCATCATTGGGAATGGCTGTCAGGACCAACGACTGCTCTGTCAGTTGGCAAGGCAACAACTGTACAACTAATATAGAAAAATTCTGTAGATCGACAAATTTGAATAACAGCACAAGTTTGCAAGCATTTGCCTGCACTCCAACAGCTCAACAAACATTGACAAACCGTTATGAAAAATGCATTATGCTTTGCTATGAAGCTACTATAGACAATGTCCTGAAACAGAAAAGAGAACTTCGATCGTTCATCTCTAGAAGAGCAGATGGGATCACAACACAAAACCACACATGGCTTCTACCCAGCAACCCCTGCGCGTGACAGCAGCTATTACCCTTGCATTTTCACCAGGCCTCTCGTTATCAGGGTAAAATACCCTTTTTGCACTGACTGGCGGCCGCTTTTTTTCAGTTACCCTTTCACAGGCAGGGTAGTGGATTTTTTACCCTAGGCCAGAAAGTGTAAGATTTTTAATACCCTTTGAAAAACAGCGTAACGAACATATTTCTCTGATTGTACGGTGTACAAGCCCAGTTACACTGATCCGAACAGACCGTAGCGAGACGAAACACTGTAGCAAAACCCTCCCGACAATGAGACTCGAACCGGCAACCTTCTAGATCTAACTCGGAATCGAACCAGCTGAGCCAACATCTATGATACAAAGAGACCAAACAAACTATACAGACACAACAAAAAATACCCTGACCAAACAGACTTACAATTTTTTTACCCTGCATTTGTCAGGGAAACAAAAAATTTACCCTGAGCATCAGGGTTGACTATACCTAGGACCCTGATTACTAAGGGTCGCCCAAAACGAATCTGAAGGCCTGATTTTCACCCACCCGTAGTGATTTGCAACCACATCCCCAAACTTCCTATTTAATATCAGCTGTTCAATATACCTGTTGTGCAAGACACAGACCAAGGTCCAATAGCCTAAGCTGCCATCGCCCTCTAATTGCCATAGTGGGAAAACGAGCAAGTTGGTTTTCTAACAAAGGAATTGCCAGATCGATGCCCTGATCACGTCCTGCAGACATGTCAACGCCCAGATACCGTTGTCGATCCTTCTTCTGTCACCGCGCGCCAGCTTGCACCCCTTGCTGCTCCATTTCATCCGTCCATCCCTCCAGACCCAATACTTGCTGCATAACTAGGTTGCGTTTCCCTTATACTCCCTCCCCCTCCCTCACTTTTCTACAGCACCACCTCACCTACTCTCCTCTCCTCCCACTCTCTCCTCCCCTCTCGCCCTCCAATTCTCCCCATACCCCTTCTGGTTCTTCGGCGTCCTGCCTCCACTCCCCACCCCGCCATGCCCCGGACTCTCCCTATACCCCACCGGCCCCTCCCTATACCCTCCTCCACCCCTCACTCTCATCGGACTAGCCGACCCAGCAGCAGCACCCACAGACCCTCCCCCTCCTCCTCCTCCTCCTTCCTCCTCGCCTCGTTCTGAAAACCGGTGGTGGTTCACATGGTGGTGGTGCATGTGTCTCACGTCTGGGGACTGCATGGGGGACAGGGCAGAGCGTCTCACCCCCCCGTGGTGGTGGGGGGCGGGGGAGCGCGAGCCCTTGCGCTCGCCCCCTCCCCCGCCTCCGCTGGAGTTGCTCCGGCGGTCCATGGGGTTGTGCTGCGGCGTGCCAGGTGGCGGCCTGTGGTTGGAGGAACAGGGGAGGGAGCGAGGGGGGAGAAGGGAAGGCAATTGTGAGGCGGAATAAGCTTCAAAGGGTACAGCAAAACACGTTGAAAGAGTATGAAAGCCATTCTCAATAGACCTAAACCCAAAGCATCTGGGTAGAACAAAACACATTGCGAATTCAAAAACACATTCGCCCACTCCCCACCACCCCGCACCACTCCCCACGCCTCCTGCCACACCCCACTCACCTCGTGATCTTATCGGGGTCAAACGGCTGGTTGGCGAGGTAGCTCAATGCGGTAACCACATCGCCAATCATGGGTCGCTGAGCCGCCTGCTCCTGCAAACACATGGCCGCCACTGCCAGAGCCTGATACAGCCCTCGCATCGGGTAGCGCCCCCTCAACCCCGGGTCCGCCATGGCTGGAAACTTCCGCCTGTCTTTGAACAATGGCCGAGCCTTGAGCGTGATTAGGGGGCGGGGGAAGGGGGAGAGGGGGGATGGTAAGAGCGGGGAGTGAGGAGAGGTAGGGGTAGGGAGAGTTAAGTGAATGTTTGGAGAGTAGCTTTTGGAAGGCCAGGGCAACAAAAAACAAGCATCCGTGTGAAGTTTAGTCCTTGACAAGAGGAATGATTATGTAATGCATCTTCCCCCACCCTCTCGCCATCACACAACCCCCACACTCGGCCATCCAACCACTCACTGACTGCCACGTGGCTTACCCATGCGACGAGATTGTGTTCGCCGTGTCGCCTCCGCATGTCAATCGCACGCCGACCAGTGATCAGCTCCAAAAGCACGACACCGAAACTGTACACGTCCGACTTCACTGTAAGCTGACCCGTCATAGCGTACTCGGGTGCACAGTAACCGTACGTTCCCATGACTCGCGTGGAAACGTGCGTTTTGTCGCCAACCGGGCCGAGTTTCGCCAGGCCGAAATCGGAAAGCTTCGGATGCCATGATTCGTCGAGAAGGATGTTCGATGATTTAAAATCGCGATAAATAACGGGAGGATTCGCCTTAACGTGTAAATATTCGAGACCCTTGGCGGCGCCAGCAGCCACGTGCATGCGCATGTTCCATTCCAACGGCTCTTTACCCTCCGGCAAGTCTGTAACGCGAATGGAAAAAATACGTAGGGATAAAAAATATCACGGTGAAATCAAGCGAATATCCTTGTCGAACACTATGTAGGTGCCATGGTTTCAATACGTGGTAGCAACTATGTGTGAAACCACCTTGAAAGTAGTTGTTGATGGGTGCTTGTTGAAAAACTCGTGTGCCGAATGTCAGCTACACTTTTATCATAGTAACGGCATTCAGATAACAAAAAAAATAGAACCCTTGAATCGAGTTTGGAGTACAGTATGCCAAACGTGCATTCAGAAGTTTCTCTTACCGTGTAGATGGTCCTCGAGTGCGCCGTTCGCCATGAATTCGTACACCAATAGCCGCTGGTCGCCATCGGCACAGTAGCCAATCAGGTTCACGAGATGCGGGTGGTGTAACAGCGACAGCATGAGCACCTCCACGAGAAACTCTCTGTTGCCTTGCATTCCGTTACGGTCGAGCTGCTTCACGGCTACTATCTGTTTGGAGCAAAAAAACACAATTGCGGGGATAACGCCGGGAAATTCGATATTGACTTAGCAACCCACACAAAAGCGAGCGAATATCAGTAACATCTGTGCGAACTGCTGATCTCACAGGAGAACAAGGCTTCACAGAATCAACGTGTGAACAAGGTTTCCCTTTCAGGCAGGAGTACTCTAGCGCCTGCAGCTGTTAGCCCTAAGCCTTCCAACACAGATTTGAACTTCGCTGAGTCTTCGTTCAATAAAGAATTACACTTCTCACAGAAAATTGTACTTAAAGGGAAGAGCAGCCTTTCCAGCAGCAGCGCCCGTAGCAGCGGCAGCAGCGGCAGCGACAGCACATCAAAAGGCACGAATGACTCACCTGGCCAGTAGACTCCAGCTTTCCCTTATAAACGCGTCCAAATCCTCCTTCGCCTACGAAGTTCTTCTTCGAGAACCCGCCCGTCGCACGCTCGAGCTCGCGAAAGGTGAACGTCTGCGCGGCGATCGACGGAGCAACCCCTACTAGCGGATTGAACGACACCTGCTGCGACGCCTGCGGCGGATGCGACGGCTGCGAAGGCTGCGACGCAGGATCGCCCTCGTGCGACTCCCCGTCTGCCCTTCGCGTTTCGCCATCAGCGGAAGCGGCGGCCGCAGAAGCAGGAGTCTGACCGTTAACGTTTTCCATTCCAGTTTCCGTCGCCTCGGCCTCCCCACCCGACGGCACCGCTGCTCCCCCGTCCTCGCTCCGAGAAACAGACGAGGTTTGGATTGATCGGGTCCCGCTGCTGCTGCTGCTACTGGCTGACTGCTGCTGCTGCTGCGGCTGCTGCTTCTGCTGCGGAGAGTTCGCGCCTCGATCCGAGCGGAGCGACGCGTCAGCCTTAGCGGTTGTATCGCCGTGCGACATCTCGCTTTCTCCCTTTCGGGAAGAGGTTGAGGGGGTCATACCTGCAAGTGCAAAAAAAAGTCGGCGGGCAATTAGAACGACCAGGTTAAATACGACCTTCAATTGTCAAAATCCCGAAAGGAGAAGGGTGGAACCATGGCTAAGAAACTTCTGTTTCATGTGGAGGTCCGACAAGATGCTGACCAAGTCATTGTAGACGTCTAAAAATAGCAGTGCGAGTTCAGTGCACCTTCATCAGTGTAAAGTTTCGGGGAGTCTTAAAAATAGCATTTTTCCAAACAAAATGGATTCAGACCATGAATCAAGGCAGGATACTGACTTGCGTGTGACTCTGGTGGCAGTGCGTATTCAGCGCACCTTCGACGATGTGAGGAGCGACTTTCGGATTGGTGACGGCCCGCTCCGAAGATCCTTTTCGCCATCTGTGGTTGAGATCGTCCGCGCTAGAAGCGTCTCCGCAACAACTCAGCCAGCCCATCGCCTTTTTATTATTACTCCCCTAGGGTTCACTAGCAACGGCTTCTGGCGCTCTTCAACCCAAGAGTCTGTTGAGTGTGCGTATGCTTGGAGGAAACCCTATTATTCTGCAGGTGGTACTTTCGAGTGAACAACTTAATCCGCCAGAAAGAAGCACGAGTCGAGCTCAGTTCGTAACACGATGTTTTCACCTAGGTTACGGGGCGATATCTACATTACATCCTTCAGTACCACTCTCAACCAAAGCTAAGTTGACTACTAGAGCATATTAACTACGGCAGCATCTAAGGCCCCAAATCCAGTTTCAGACTCGATTGGATTAGACGGTATGAAGGAAGGTTGCAGAGAGGAGGGCAGAAGCAACTGGACGATTGCTCTCTTTCCCCTCGTGGGCTGTGAGTCGCGCTAGCGTCAGGCGTCGATGCGTACGTCTGGAAACTGATAGCCCGTGAAGCTCATACAACTAATTCTGGAAAGGATACAGGGAAGGTGGGACTAGCAGAGGTGAGGATCGAGCGAGAAGGATGAAGAAAAAAGGGGTGCCTTGCAGACTGAAGGTAGAGCAGCTTCAGCAGCACGAGGCCTACGTGCGGACGGACCTGTGCAGAACAGCTCCAGCTGAAGAACTCACGAGTTTTTGTCCCATCAATTCATGTGGTCAGGCTGACGAGAGCGGCATGCATGGATGGATGGGGCCATAACGGGAATGGATGTAGAGAAGAGAAGGAAAAGGACTGCCGGTCAAGGCATGTGGGGTGGTGCCCTTACTAAAGGTCTTGGCATTACACTACCTTTCCTTCCACCAAAACAGTCTGGCGGAAGCAAGGCAACCCTCAGTGCCTCAGCTCCTCCTGCCGTGCGCTCGAAAAGCATCCATTGCTCGGGACCGCTCGGCAGAACACAGCGTGCTATCCAACATTCGAAAGATGGCAAGAGGAGATTCTAGCGACACGGAGTCGATTTGCGCGCATCGACCCTGCGGTTCGGTTCGTGGCGCAGGAAAATTCCCGCCGAACTGTTTCCTGCCGGGCAGGTAAAACTGGACATCTTGTTTCCGGTTTGGGCTTTTGAAAGTTTCGCTCGACTTTCTCGGCTCAGAAAGTCGGCAATTTGTTTTGGACGGTCAGCATAGCACTCGACCCCGCACAAACACCCGTGCCGCAAGTTTTGGGTTCTGCTCTGACCACCGTCCAAAACGTCTCCGGTACGGGAAACCGGGTCGCGTCAGAGAAGTCATGAGAGGTTTGGGGCCTTTCACGTTTCCTCCTTGTCGCAGAACTGGGCATGTCAGAGGACTTCCACTGAAATTTCAGAAAACTGTAGTACATGTGATTCCAAACAATAACTTCAAAAAAAACGGTATAGATTACTAGTAGTTTGTTTCTTCGCGGCACACAGTATACCGCATACAGAACTACCGCCGCCACAAAGTTTTTGTTTGTCCAAAAATCGCCAACGATTTTGCCCGAGATGCGACCTGGCGCACGCGTGGCAAAACAGGTCGATTGTGCGATTCCCCCAGTGAAAGCGGTATCTGGCAAAGATGGTGGGGTTTAGTACGGTATTTCAGGGCACCACATGGCACCTCGCCACTGGGGATGAGAGCGCGTGAGTCCACAGGGCGCCACGATTAGGTGATGAGATCTTCTGACGGCTAGGAATCTGGACGGCCACGATGTACTCCCGTGTCGGTGCGAAGGGTGGAATTTGGAAGAACAAAAGCGGAAGCTTCATTCCTCATTGTTTGGGTGGTTGGTTGGGTGGCATGGCAAGTGAGGTCGAAATGGGGCGAGAAGAGGTAAAGGAAGATTCAAATCGGCGCGACGACTTGTAACGTGGTGTGACGATTTCTGGTGCCACCTGCAACGAAGCTTGGAACAGCCAATGTTGACTGGGTCTGAAGCTTGCAGCACGGGTTACCCATTTCCGAGAGTTGCGAAACCGATTATTGCTAGTGGCGACATTCGCAAGCATCGTACGTTCATCGCAAGTTCCACGCCGAAACACGAGCCTCACAACCAGCGCAGCTGACGCACACGCGTCGCACTTTTCCTCTCCTCGCCACCTTTCTCCGCCTTTGTTCTCCTCCTAAGCTGAATCCGAGCTGTAAACGTTCGAGCATGAGCCCCGGATGGACTTTGCTTTTCGAGATTCGTTGACCGTAGGCTGGCGCGGCGGGTGCAGTGACCACGTGACTCCAGGCCAATTGGCCTAACATTAATGTTAGTGCGGCATAAGTTCGTTTCGCGAGTAAAACACTCGTGGGACGAAGGCGGAGAGGTTTACTTTCCGTCAGAATTACGCTATTGGGCTTGTTGCCACGTCAACAGCACGTGAGCTCCACGTCAGCAGCACGTGACACCGTGACACCACGTGCGCAGCACCGATAGTAGTAATTGTCCAATCATGGCCCTTCCAGCCCCCGCCCCTTACCTTTCCCATCCTGGGAGGCGCCCCCGCCTTTCGCGCTCCTTCCGCCATGGTCGCTCTCCCCGCAACTTCCGCCGTCCGCTCTTCCCCTCCGCCAATGCGTTTCTGCTGCTCCCCCTTGTCGCGCTCCTCCTCTCCCCCGCGCCGTTCTCCCCCGCGCCGTCCTCCCCCGCGCCATCATCATCCTGCGCGCCGTTTTTCCGCGCGCCTTCGCACTTCGCGCCTTTGCTCTTCCCTGGAGGCGTGGCTTCCGCGCGCGCTACGCCCATGAGCGTACTGGACGTGTTCCGCCCGTCGTGCCCGCTTCCGCCCATGAGCGGACCCTCCGGTGGTACGTTCCGCACATGAACGCCCGTCCCCCCCCCCCCCCCTCCCGCACCCCCCTTCTTCCCCCCTCTCCCGGTACGTTCCGCCCATGAGCGCACATTCCGCCCGTCGTCCCCGCTTCCGCCCATGAAGGGACCCCCGGAGGTTCGTTCCGCCTATGAGCGCGCGCAGCCTCCGCCCTCCCTTCCCGTCCCTCTCTCCCCACCCCTCGTTAGAATCACACCAACCAGGGTGGAGCAGGTGGAGCGACGTGACTGTACGGGGGCCAGCCCACAGGGGTCGCCAGGAACCCCCTGGGGTGCGGTCAAGAGCAGGAGGGAGGGAGTGTGACTGTGCCGTGTGGCTTGGCTTGCTTTGCTGTGTTTTGCTGCGCTGTATGGGGGCAGCTTTCAAGGGCAGCAGCGACCTCCCAGGGGTGCGGTCACGAGCAGGAGGGAGGGAGTGTGACTGAGCCTCCCAACGTTCTTTCTCCCCTCTTCCCTTCTTTATAATCACGCCAGGTTGGAGTAAATGGAGCGATGTGACTGTATGGGGGGCGGCTTTCAGGGGCAGCAAGGACCCCCCTGGGGTTGGGTCAAGAGCAGGAGTCAATGTGACTGTACCCTGTGGCATGGCTGTGCTGCTGGACGTCGCTAATGTGACCTTGGACACTCTACACGTGCACGGATGGCTCAAGTGAGTAGAGTAGCTCGACTCAAAACACAGCAGGAAGCAGTCACTGTGTCGAGTGGCATGGCTGTGCTGCTGGACGTGTCGAATGTGACCCTCGACACACTACACGTGCATGGATGGCTGAAGTGAGTCCAAGGAGAGCAAAGAGAAATAAGCCCTCAGTTTGACAGACTCAAAGCACAGCAGGGAGCAACGTGACTGTGCCCTGTGGGATGGCTGTGCTGCTGGACGTGGCGAATGTGACCCTGGATACTCATGGCTGGCTCAAGTGAGTCATGGGATAAAAGTAGATCTTTGAGACGGCTCAGAATTTTTGCATTGACCTTTTTTTCACGTGACTCATGGGATAGATTATGCCTTATCACGGACAAGCCACACCTGCCGCGCAACAAGATCCGTGTCAACTTTGTTATAGTATTTCTCATTACAATCCCTTTACTCGTTATAGTCACACCACATCCTACCCTCATCACCTCCCTCCTCCATCAGGCTGGTAGATGATAAGCCACGCCTGCCACGCATTGAAATCCGTGCCAACTTCATTAGAATACTCTCTGTTACAATCCCTTTACCAGTCAGAGTCACATATCATTTTGTCCCCTACCGCCTCTCCTCCCTCTGCCAGGCTCCTAGACGACAAGCCACGCCTGCCGCGCATCGAGGTCCGAGCCAACATCATTATAGTCACGGGGCGGCTGACCGTGGGGGAAAAGGACAAGCAGTTTGGCGCCCAGGCACTGTTCACGCTCACGCCCAACAGCGGGAGGCAGAGGAGGGAGTATGGCTTCACGCTCTTCCCTCCGGCCGAACCCGCCTTTCCCAGACCTCTGGGCCATAAAGTGTTTGCCGTGGTGAGTAGCTTTTTAGTGTGCCAAACTAGCATGTGTGAGTGCGGTAGTGAGTAGCGGTGCTGAGTTGACTCAACAGGCAGAGGAGGGAGTATGGCTTCACGCTCTTCCCCCCGGCCGAACCCGCCTTTCCCAGGCCACTGGGTCACAAGGTGTTTGCCGTGGTGAGTTGTGCTGTGAGTGGGGTGTATTACCATGTATGTAGCACGCATGTAACCTGTATGTATACTCTCCCGAGTGGGAAGTTGAGGGAGTATGGCTTCACACTCTTCCCCCCAGCCGAACCCGCCTTTCCCAGGCCACTGGGGCACAAGGTGTTTGCCGTGGTGAGAAGTGGTGATGCGAGTGGTGGTGAGTGGTGGTGAGTGGTGGTGAGTGGTGGTGAGTGGTGGTGAGTGGTGGTGAGTGGTGGTGAGTGGTGGTGAGTGGTGGTGAGTGGTGGTGAGTGGTGGTGAGTGGTGGTGAGTGGTGATGAGTGGTGAGTGGTGGTGAGTGGTGGTGAGTGGTGGTGAGTGGTGGTGAGTGGTGGTGAGTGGTGGTGAGTGGTGGTGAGTGGTGGTGAGTGGTGGTGAGTGGTGGTGAGTGGTGGTGAGTGGTGGTGAGTGGTGGTGAGTGGTGGTGAGTGGTGGTGAGTGGTGGTGAGTGGTGGTGAGTGGTGGTGAGTGGTGGTGAGCGGTTGCTAGTAGCGGTGAATAGATGTTACTTGCCTCAGTGGGTGGGAGGTAGAGGAGGAGGGAGTATGGCTTCACACTCTTCCCTCCAGCCAAACCCGCCTTTCCTAGCCCATCGGGGCACAAGTGTTTGCTGTGGTGAGTACTGGTGGTTCTGTGAAAGGGGCATCTTAACAAGCATGCATGCATGCATACTTTTGAGGCACCTCAAAAGTCGCCTAAAAAATCCCCTCAAAACTCATGGGACACCTCAAAAATGGTTCTGTGAAAGGGGCATCTCAATAAGCATGCATGCATATGCTGCTGAATTCCCTTTTTTTCTTCTCTCCCCGTTTTCTCCCTTGTACCCCTCTTCTCTCTCCCCCATCCCCCACCAAGGTCGGAGGGCAGGTGGACTTGCATGGCCTCCCAGGCCCGTCCGTCGTCCATGCCAGTGTGGGTGCACAGCTCAGGGCATTCCCATCCCATTCTCCACCCTTCGCCTTCACCTCTCTTCTCCTCTTATCCCCACCAAGGTCGGAGGGCAAGTGGACTTGCACGGCCTCCCAGGCCCGTCCGTCGTCCATGCCAGTGTTTGTGCATATCATTAGAACCACACCCGTACTTTTCCCCTACCTTGTCTTTTACTCCTTTTACCCTGTCTTTCCCCCTACATTTCCCCTCTCCCCGTTCTCTCCTCCCCCACCAAAGGTCGGAGGGCAGGTGGACTTGCACGGCCTACCAGGCCCGCCGTCCATGCCGGTGTGGGTGCGCTTGAATAACACGGCGCTCGCCGGCCAGACGGAGATCGTGGTGGACGCTGACGTCAGCACGTGGCCGGTGGGCGGCGAGATTGCGATTGCGTCTACGAGTGTGAAAATGGATGAAGCCGAAAAGGCAGTGATTGCAGGAGGTGTGTATGTATGGGTGGAATGCGGCTCGGTTTGGTGAGCGGCGAGGTTGCGATTGCGTCTACGAGTGTGAAAATGGATGAAGCCGAAAAGGCAGTGATTGCAGGAGGTGTGAATGTATGGGTGGAATGCGGCTCGGTTTGGTGAGCGGCGAGGTTGCGATTGCGTCTACGAGTGTGAAAATGGATGAAGCCGAAAAGGCAGTGATTGCAGGAGGTGTGTATGTATGGGTGGAATGCGGCTCGGTTTGGTGAGCGGCGAGGTTGCGATTGCGTCTACGAGTGTGAAAATGGATGAAGCCGAGAAGGCAGTGATTGCAGGAGGAGTGTATGGGTGAAGCGCGGTTCAGACTGGTTAGGTTTGGTTCCGTGCGATCTGATGTGGTGCAGTGCGGTTTGGTTGTGTAGAAAATACAGGTAACAGGACAGTATGTCTAAGAGTGGGGGATTGCGTCGACGAGCGCGAGGATGGATGAAGCCGATAAGGCAGAGATTGCAGCAACTGTGTGAACATGGGTGGAGTGCGGTCCGGTTTGGTGAGTGGCGAGATGGAGATTGCGTCTACGAGTGGGAAAATGGATGAAGCCGAAAAGGCGGTAATTGCGGGAGGTGAGTATGTATGGGTGGAGCGCGGTTCAGGCTGCTTTGGCTTGGTTTGGTGGTTTAATGTGGTCCAGCGCGGTGTTGCTGTGCTGTGTGGAGAGCACAACATAGTATGGAGTGGGCGATTGCGTCTACGAGTGCAAGGATGAAGGAAGCCGAAAAAACAGTGTTTGTAGGAGGTGAGTATGGGTGGAGGCGGTACCATTCGTTTTGGTTCAGTTCAGTGCAGTTTGATGCGGTGCAGTGCAGTTTAGTTGTGTAGGGAACACAGGACAGCTTGTCTAAGAGTGCGGGATTTCATCTGCGAGCGCGAGAATGGATAAAGATGAGAAGGCGGTGATTGCAGGGGGTGAGTGTGGTACGGTGGAGTGCGTTTCGGTTCGGTTCGGTTCGGTGCGGTTAAATGTGGCGCAATGCTGTGCACGTGTGGCGTGCGTGTGGAGAACACAGTGTAAAGTTTGGAAAACGCTCAAAAAGCAACTGAGAGGAACAAAAATCCAGGAATACTCTTGCTCTCACTTCCTTCCTTCCTTCCTTCCTCCTCCCGCCTCTTTCCCTTCTCAACCCCCTTTCTCCACCCCCCCCAGTCGCCCCCCCTCCTCAGGGGGTTACTGCATAACACTCACCACCCCCGTGAAATACTCCCATGACGGCAATCCCAAGGCCGTGCCTCATGGGTTTCATGCCCCTCGTCCTATTCATTTTTTCTTTTTCTTCCCCCTCCACCCCCTAGTCACACCCCACCCTCAGGGCTACCGCATATCGCTCACCGCCCCTCTGTAATACTCCCATCACGGCAATCCCAAGGCCGTGCCGGACGGGTTTCATGCCTCTCCTCCCTCCCACCTTCCCCCTCCACCCCCCAGTCACACCCCACCCTCAGGGCTACCGCATATCCCTCACAGCTCCCCTCAAGTATTCCCATGACGGCAATCCCAAGGCCGTGCCGGATAGCTTTCATGCCCCTCTGCCTAATCATCCTTCCCTTTTCTCCCCCCTCCACCCCCCAGTCACACCCCACCCTCAGGGCTATCGCATATCCCTCACAGCCCCCTTAAAGTATTCCCATGACGGCAATCCCAAGGCCGTCCCTGATGGGTTTGGAGGGGCGGTGGAGGTGAGGGGGGAGGTGGGGCTGCTGCATCGCAACGTTGTTATTTACGGGATGCACGAACCTGGAAAATACGAGCTGGAAGGTCAGTGTGACTGGTGGTGGACGTGAAAGGCAGGCAGGTGGTGTACGAGAGGGTGAGAGACAGGCGGTGGAGGTGAGGGGGGAGGTAGGGCTGCTGCACAGGAACGTTGTTATTTACGGGATGCACGAACCTGGAAAATACGAGCTGGAAGGTACGAGTGATTGTAATCAAGCGTGATTGTTCATAGTGATAGGGTAAGGTGAGGGGGTGAGGGAGGAGGTGGGGCTGCTGCACCGCAACGTTGTGATCTACGGAGTGCATGAGCCGGGAAAATACGAGCTGGAAGGTACGAGTGATGATTGTAATGAAACGTGAGTCTAGTGATTGCTTACTGTGGCAGGGTGAGGGGTTGAGGGTGGAAGTGAGGGGGGAGGTGGGGCTGCTGCACTGGACTGTTGTGATCTACGGGGTGCATGAGCCCGGGAAATACGAGCTGGAAGGTCAGTGTGACAGTAACAGAGTGTCAATGTGAGGAGCGTGACTGTAAGGAAGCGTCTTTGAAAGAACTGTGCTTGTTAAAAGTGTGACCCCTCAGATCATTGAGGGGGTTCAATTCCCCTACATGGGACAGCAGGGCGTGCTGGGGCGGTACCCTCTGCAAACTTGTGCTTCTCCTCTTTGCATCCCCTCCTGTGCATCCTCTCAGGAGGTCATTTCATGGTCTTCATGACCCAAACCCCTCAATACATTGAAGGGGTTCGATTTGCCTACATGGGGCAGCAGGGCGTGTTGGGGCGGTGCCCATCTAGACATGCCTCTAACATTGCTCTCTCTGCCAATCTCTCCCCCCCCCCCCCCCCAATCCCCTAGGAGGTCACTTCATGATGTTTATGACTCAGGCGCCTCAGTTTATAGAGGGGGTGCAGTTCGCATACATGGGACAGCAGGGCGTGTTAGGGCGGTACCCTCTGCAAACTTGTGCTTCTCATCTTTGCCTCCCCTCCTGTGCATCCTCTCAGGCGGCCATTTCATGGTGTTCATGACGCAGACCCCTCAATACATCGAAGGAGTGCAGTTCGCCTACATGGGACAGAAGGGCGTGCTGGGGCGGTACCCAACTTGTGCCACTCATCTTTGCCTCCCCTCCTGTGCATCCTCTCAGGCGGCCATTTCATGGTGTCCATGACGCAGACCCCTCAATACATCGAAGGGGTTCGATTTGCCTACATGGGGCAGCAGGGCGTGCTGGGGCGGTACCCTCTGCACTTCCACTCCCCGTTCCATCCCCTCTCACCGCACTGCACCCCTCCGTCCCTCTCCTCCCCCTCTCAGGCGGTCACTTTATGGTGTTTATGACACAAACGCCTCAGTATATAGAGGGGGTACAGTTCGCCTACATGGGACAGCAGGGCGTGTTGGGAAGATACCCGCTGCACTTCCACGTGTGTGGGGAGGCGAATCAGAGCCACGTCGTGCGGAAGAATGCGATTGTCTATAGCAAGCAGGTGAGCAGTAGGCAGGTGAGCAGTAAGCAAGCAGCACGCAGCAATCAGCATTCAGGTAATAAGGGAAGCAGGGCGTGTTGGGGCGGTACCCTCTGCACTTCCACGTGTGTGGGGAGGCGAATCAGAGCCATGTCATGCGGAAGAACGCTGTTGTATACAGCAAGCAGGTGGGGAGCAGAGAGCAAGCGGCAAGCAGGTGGGGAGTAGGTGCTTTCTGGTGGAGGAGGGGTTGAGGAACAAGGGGGCCATGCTCTGTACCATCCAAGCCCCTCTCTTTACCGTTTGAACCGTATTGTTACCTCCTCCCCACCTTTTGGCAGCGCTGTGTGGTGATTCACGCAACGAGCAACATGACGATTGAAGACACGGTGACGTATGAGAGCAAGGGGCACTGCTTTCTCGTGGAGGAGGGTTCTGAAAACAACGTCGTGTTTAAGAGAAACCTTGGGATCAGCGTCAGAAAAGGTGGGTGCTGGTTGGTTTGTTGGAAGGCACAGGGAAAGTGGCTTCAGAAACTTCCTTGACTGAGAGCAAGGGGCACTGCTTTCTCGTGGAGGAGGGGTCGGAAAACAACAATGTTTTAAAGAGGAACCTTGGAATCAGCGTGCGGAAAGGTGGGTGGGACCTTGGGAATACTGTGAGGGAAGGTGGGTGCTTCTTGGGAGTGTGTGAGAGCAAGGGGCACTGCTTCCTCGTGGAGGAAGGGTCGGAGAACAATAATGTGTTTCGGCGGAACCTGGGGATCAGCGTGCGGAAAGGTAGGTGTTTGTTGTTTTGTGGGCTACAATGAGGAAGTGGGGGCAGGAAGGAGAGACGAGGAAAGGCAAGAAAAGGGCGTGTGAATGCATGCGAGGGAGTGAGAGGGCATGAGAGGGCGTGAGATGGCGTGACAGATTTTTTTATTTCTTTCATTTTAAAGAATGATGATTTAGAAGGGATGATTTTTTTTCTTCTTTTTAAAGAATTCTTGAAAAATACCAGAACATGTACTGTGAGAAGTCACTAAAGCCACTTCCCTCTTATCCCGCTCTTTACCTGCTCATCGCTCGTTGTTTGGTGCTTGCTGCCTGTATATGACCATGATGTGATTTGTTAGTCAACTCAAAAACTGCCTGTATATGACCGTGATGTGATTCCTTGCTTGCTGCTTGCCCCTCACATGACTGCTTGTGCGCCTGCTCCCATTCCTGCAGTGAAGGTGGTCATCCCCTCTAAAGAGTCGTACGATAAGCACACGGACGACAAGCCAAGCACATTCTGGATGGCCAACCCCAACAACGAGTACATTGATAACGTGGCTGCCGGGTCAGAAGATACGGGGTGAGTCAGAGAGGTTCCGTGTGGTGGTGAGGGGTTGTGTGGTGGTGCTGGCAGCCGAGCACGCTCTGGATGGCCAACCCCATCAACTGACTGACTGACTGACTGACTGACTGACTGACTGACTGACTGACTGACTGACTGACTGACTGACTGACTGACTGACCGACCGACTAACTAACTGAGAATTGGAATGTGCCACAAACCCGACAACGACTGCATTGATCAGTAACTCTCAGCCTCTTGCGTCTGTCTATCATTTGTGCATCTTTTATCAGGAGATGAGGGCAGCTTAAAGAGGGGATGTGAGGTCTGTCCCAGCTCTTATCAACACTCTTACCATTCGTGTTATCATTTGCTGTTATTCGCACCTCCTTAACCAGGTACTGGACAGAGCTTAAAGAGGGGATGAGGGGTCTGTCCCAGCTCCTACCCAACGCCCGCAACATGCATCCCATAGAAACCAAGTTCGGCACTTACTCGGGGAATGTGGCGCATTCAGCCAAGTTTGGGTTCCGCTCCTACCCCCACGGCATGTTCCCCTACGCACCTGGTGCCAGGGTAAGTTTTCTTGTGGTGAGTGTGCATGCTATTCTCTTTCCCTGTGCCACAGCATGCGTGGATGCGCCCCACACCATGGAGATCAACTTTTGAGGCGCCTCAAAAGGCGTGCATACACCTCATACCATAAAGATCGACTTTTGAGGCACCTCATACCATAGAGACCAAGTTCGGCGTGTACTCGGGGAATGTGGGACATCTAGCCAAGTTTGGGTTCCACTCCTGCCCCCACGGCATTTTCCCTTATACTCTTGGTGCTAGGGTGAGGGCACTTGATCGTGAGTGTGCGTGCTAGTGCTCCTGCTTGCTAGTCCAATAGCCAGCATGCACCTCATACCATCGAGGCCAAGTTTGAGTTCCGCTCCTACCCTACCCCCATGCCACGTTCCCCTACGCGCCTGGTGCTAGGGTGAGTGCACATGAGTGTGAGTGTGCGCGTGAGTGCTCTTGCTTGCCGGTTGCAAAGCAGCATGCTGCCTGTATCATACAGACCAACCAAGTTAGAAATCCCCGTGGCCTTGAGTGTGTGGCACATTCAAGAAGTACTACTTTGAGACGTCTCAAAACATTACTTCTTTCACAAAGCAGCATGCTGCCCGTACCATACAGACCCATGCTTAGGGTGCGTGCGTGCGTGCGTGCGTGCGTGTGTGTGTGTGTGTGTGTGCGCGCGCGCGCGTGCGCAGAGAAACACTTCAATTCTCTCTTTTTGTGCTACCACTCTTAAGCTATCCCTTTTGCACCCCTTCCCTCTTGCTGTGTGTGCGTGTGTGCGTGGTGCAGGTGACCCTATCCAATTTCCTCATCTACCGCAACGAAGTTGGGTGAGTCACCAGTACAGGGCATTGCATGTGCGTGCACGTGTGCGTGTACGTGTGTGTGCACGTGTGTGTGCGTACATGCGTGTGGGCGCGTGTAAGCGTGCAGGTGACCCTATCCAATCTCCTCATTTACCGCAACGAAGTTGGGTAAGTCACACTGGGTCACTGTCGAGACACACGCAAGTCCCACTCGAGAGTTTGGTTGATCACGTTACAGACTTCTTAGATTCTTGAGAAGAGACCCCAGAAAGCTCGTTTCTGTTCTTTTTAGAATTCTCAAAGAACAGATCATGATGCCTACCGATGCTTCTGTTTCTGATCATCATTTCTGTTCTTCGAGAAATCTCAGAAAACGGATCATGCCTACTTATGCTTTTTTTAAAGACTTCTTAGTCAACTCAGAAGTCACCTCGGGGCAGTTGGGGCGACTCATGATGCCAACCGATGCTTTTGAGAATTCTCAAAAGCGACTCCCAAACACCGCCACTTAGTTTCATGCCAATTGGAGCGCGTATTTGAATGAGGGATGTTTGCTTGGTCGGTTTCCCCTCCACCTCTCTCTCCTCCCCTCCTTTCCCCACCCCCCTCTCTCTCCTGCATGTTTCTGCACATCACGCGTCTCATGACCATCCAATCCTCCACCTTCATTGATAATGGTCTCTCCCCTTCCACCCCCCCGCCCCCCTTTCCCCCTTTCCCCCCCTCCCTCCCCCCAGCATGTTTCTGCACATCACGCGTCTCATGACCATCCAATCCTCCACCTTCATTGATAATGGTCTCTCCCCTTCCACCCCCCCGCCCCCCTTTCCCCCTTTCCCCCCCTCCCTCCCCCCAGCATGTTTCTGCACATCACGCGTCTCATGACCATCCAGTCCTCTACCTTCATTGACAATGGCCTTTCCATCCACGTCAAGACAGACACGGGGGTGGTTGTGGATCACTGCTGGTTCATTGGGAGAACACAAACCTGCCCTGCAGCAGGAAGGTGGGTGAGGGAAGAAGGGCTACTAATAGTACAATCGTCCACCTTATTAACAACGGTCTCTCCATCCACGTCAAGACAGACACGGGGGTCGTTGTGGATCAGTGCCTGCCGGTTCATCAGGCGGACACAAGCCTGCCCTGCAGTGGGAAGGCGTCCTCATTCATTGATAATGGTTTGTCCATCCACGTCAAGACAGACACGGGGGTGGTTGTGGATCAGTGCCTGCCGGTTCATCAGGCGGACACAAGCCTGCCCTGCAGTGGGAAGGCGTCCTCATTCATTGATAATGGCCTCTCCATCCACGTCAAGACAGACACGGGCGTCGTTGTGGATCAGTGCCGGTTCATCGGTCGGACCCAAACCTGCCCAGGTGGAGGAAGGTGAGCAGGAGTGGAGACTGGTGCTGTGAGAGGGTGCTGTGGTGAGGGGGTTGCTGGTTTTGGTTTGTCCATCCACGTCAAGACAGACACAGGGGTGGTTGTGGATCAGTGCCGGTTCATAGGACGGACTCAAGGCTGCCCTGCTGCAGGGAGGTGAGTGAGGGAAGTACGGTTCCGGGTAGCAGCAGCATCGCTCTACGATCGCTTCCAAACCATGCTGATATCACTTTTGGAAATTCTCAAAAGTGATTTGATCATAGTCTCAAATCTTGCACCTTTCGTGTCTCTTCTCCTCCAATTCTCCTACACACACAACCCTCCTTCCCACCCACAGCAGGGCCAAGACAGATTCACTCACAGCAGCAGCACAAACAACATCAACACCAGCACAAGTATCAGCACCACCAGCACCAGCTTACCTCCAGATTTTGAAGCATCTTTAGTATACCCTCTCTCCCCCAACCCAACCTTCCTTCCCACCCCCAGCAGGGCCAAGGCCGCTTCACTCACAGCAGCAGCACAAACAGCAGCAACACCAGCACAAGTATCAGCCGTGGATTCTGACTCTTACACACTTCAAGGTTCATTTCCAGCCGTTGATTTTGACTCTGGGCCTACAACGGACTGGGAAGCCCCAGGTTTGGTAGGAACGGGCCTAGACGACAGGCCCGGCAATGCTCCTGCCAGTGATTCCAAGCCTACCGGGGCTGTTGCCAAGCCTGCGGGCTTGGGTTTTGCAGCAGAGGCTTGGGAGGGGCCGGGAGGGGGGGTGGGAGGGAAAAACGAGGGGGGAGATGTGGGGAGTGAGGGGGGAGAGGAAGGAGATTCTGAGCCGTTGGATTGGGTGTCACTGCCTGTGGACCGTTCATTGGGCCTGTCTGTGTTTGATCCCCATCCGACGGTCAGCAGCGTCGATACGAATTCAATGGACGGCACCGATCGAAGCAGCTTCAGGAGCCGTGGCGGTGGCAGCAGCAGCAGCAGCAGCGGCGACAGGAGTGGGAAAAGGGGACAGAGAGAAGGGCAGGAGTGGGGAAGGAAATGGGGGCGGAAAGTGGGGAAGACTGGGGAGGGCAGGAGGAGGGAGAGTTGGGGTAAAGTAAGGCAAGGGAGAAAGGGGAGAGCGCTGCTTGGGTGGGGGTCCTGGTGGAGGGATGGGGGGAGGGAAGGGGAAGAGGCAGGGGGGAAAATCAGTGCTTGCTCCTGGGCAAAGTTTGGCGGTTTATAAGGAGCAGCACGCGGGTAACAGGCAGCTTATGGGTGATCGGCAGCATGTGGGGCACAGGCATCATGTGGCAAAGCACGCGCATTGGACTTTTGAGACGTCTCAAAAGGCAGGGGGAAAATCAGTGCTTTCTGGTGGGGATAGGCTGGTGTATGGGGAGCAGCGTGTGAGTTACAGGCAGCTTATGGGTTATCCACAGCAAGTGGGGCACAGGCATCATGTGGCAAAGCACATACATCAGCAGCAGCAGCAGCAGCAGCAGAAGCAGCAGCAGAAGCATTGGGGCCATCATACGCAGTGGCACTGGCATGTGAAGGGGGTGTATGGGTTACCACAGGGGAGGCGAACAGGAGGTGGTATGCTTGGTGGTCGTGGCAGCAGCAGTGGAAGGAGGAGGAGAAGGGGGGGCACCAGCGGCAGCAGCAGCAACAGCAGCTACAGCATAGCCAGCAGCACCAGCAGCAGCAGCAGTAGCAGAAGCGGAAGCAGCTACAGCGACAGTTAACAGCAGCAGCGGCAGCAGCAGCAGCAACATCCTCGCCAGTAGCACCTCCCAATATTATTTTGGGAGCTTTGAGGCGCCTCTGGGTGTAGTGATAACGCAGATATCCCCTCGAGACTTGCTGGAGCCAAATAAGATCACCAAGTCATGGTAGGGTTACCAACTCATGGTAGCGTTACCAGCTTGTTGTAGGGTTACCCGCTCCTGGTTGGGTTACCCTCTCCTGGTAGGGTTACCAGCTCATGGTAGGGTTACCCTCTCCTGGTAGGGTTACCCGTTCATGATAGGGTTACTCTCAGGTTATCACCTCATGGTTTGCAACTTAGGAGCCCCGGGAACTCCCTCAGGTGTTCCTTCAGGTTCTAGTCGTTTGGCACATGCCAAGCAGTCAGCCCTGCCATCTGTTAATTCTTAAACCAACCCCTACACCCCCCTGTAATCCCCTCCTGTGAACACCCCCCCCTCACCCCAACTCCCCTGTCTGTAACCCCTCAGGTTCTCGTGCTTTGGCACATGTAGAGCGGCCAGCAGTCCTCTTCACTCATAGTGGAGGAGCAGAAAATCTGAAGCTTACCCCACCCCTTGCTTACACCCTCCCTGTAACCCCCCCCCCCCCCCCCCCCGTGTACCCCTTGCTCCCCTGCACACAACATCGCCTTCTGTAACCCCTCAGGTTCACGTGTAGAGCAGCCAGCGGTCCTGCTCACTCATAGTGGAGGAGCAGAAAATCTGAAGCTTAGAGATCAACTTTACCCCAACCCCCCTGTCTGTAACCCCTCAGGTTCTCGTCCTTTGGCACGCGTAGAGCAGCCAGACCTGCTATCATGCGATAATGCTCTCTATAACACCACGTTATGATCTCTCCTGTAACCCCCCCCTTCGCCCCAACCCCCCTGTCTGTAACCCATCAGGTTCTCGTCCTTTGGTACATGCAGAGCAACCAGCCCCGCTCTCATGCCCACCACTAACCCACCCCCTCCCTCTGATGCCCTCCCTCTAATCCCCTCCCTCTACCCCCCCCCCTCCCCTTCTCTGCCCCATCAGGTTCTCGTCCTTTGGTACATGCAGGGCAGCCAGCCCCGCTATAATGCTCACCACTAATCCGTATGGTGGATTCTGGACGCCCTCCACTGCTGTAGAGGTCAGTCATCCCTACCAAACAAAATAATCCTCCACTGCTGTAGAGGTCAGTCATCCCTACCAAACAAAATAATCCTCCACTGCTGTAGATCTCCCGTACTGCACCTACCGACTCCCACACCACATGCTCAAGGCCTTCATATTGCCAATGATACCAACATTCTTTCCTGCATCTCAACACTCTTTCTCCCTTCCGGCCCCTGCCAACCCCCAACATCACATGCTCAAGGCCTTCATATTGCCAATGATACCAACCAATAGGTCCGGGACCTCGAGACGTCTCAACACTCTTTCTCCCTTACGGCCCTTGTAACCCCCTCACACCACACCACACCACACCACACCAAACCACACCACACCACACCACACATGCAGGGCCTTCGCTTTGCCAATGACACCAACAGGCTCTGGGCCTCACCCAACCCGGTGAGTGATATTTTTCTCAAGTGCTCTTCTCACAAAAGTGTTTTGACATCCTGTCTCTCATGTCATTCTCCCCAGTAACATGTGTTTTCGACACCATCCAACTCTGGGCCTCGCCCAAACCAGTAAAAATCCGTGTCTAAACATGGTGCCGTTCGTTTCTCTCACTCACCTCCCTCTTTCCATCACCTCCATCTTTCGCTTGCCTCTCTCTCTCACTTCCTCTCTCCAGGCCTCTGGCTACATTCGGTCCGGCGCTGAGCTCGCCAACTTCTTTGCCCTATGGGACCTTGACGGGTCCTTGTTAGGAAGCAGAACCACCACCACCAGCAGGCGGTGCTGCTTATAACTGGGTTCCTTCTCTTGCCTCCCTCTTTCTCACTTCCCCCTCCCTCTCCTCCACTCCAGACATCTGGCTACATTCGGTCTGGTGCGCAGCTCGCCAACTTCTATGCCCTCTGGGACCTCGATGGATCCTTGCTAGGAAACAGCACCACCACCACCACCACCACCACCATCACCAGCAGCAGCAGCAGCAGCATAAGCAGTTCCTCTAGACCCGCATCAACTCCCGCCGGTTTTGGCTTCGCAATAGCTCCCTTCGACCCTATTCTCCCGCCTCTCTCCCTCCGCTCCTCCCCCTCCTTCGCCTGCTCCTACCAACCCTCTTGGTCCGCCCATACCTGCACCGGACCTGCCGCCTGCTTCCGATCCTTCGCTCTTTTCTACAACGAATCAGTCACTAAAGACCAGACAGCAAATCTAGGAAAAGACAAGCGCCGCCCCTACAGCTACGTTACGTTCACGCGGTTACAGGATAACGCGACGTTTGTCTCGGTGGGATCGGATAACGATTACGATAACGATTTTCCCAAGCGGTACGGCGCGTCTCGGCCGCTTCTGCGGCAGGTCACTGCGACGCTATTGGCCGGATTCTCGTACCGGGTGACGATCCAACGGTCGGAAATAGGCCCTGCATTCTTCTACCCGTCATCCGTGCAGCTGCTGATGCTGGATGTGGGGGGGTGCACGGGAGGGTTGACTGTAATCATGGATACTCCACCAAACTCCCCGGATAAGCAATGGACTGTGGTGTCTAATAACCCTGAAGCGTAAGCATTTCTTATATCTCTGTCTTCTCCTCCTACACCTGTCTCAATCTCCTCTCCTCTCAATCTCCTCCTTCCTATCAATCCCCTCCGTTTCAGTCCCCCTCCCTCTCAATCCCCTCCTTACTCTTTATTTTCCGCCTTATTCTCATTTCTCTCCATCTCATTCTCCCCCTTCCTCTCAAAATCTTCCTCTGGTCTCAATTCCTTGCTTCCTTGCAGCCCTTGCAGTCCTTACCTTAGAAACCCAGTCAACACCTCGATAGCTTATCTAGTTTTGAGACGCCTCGATACTACATTCTCCCCTTTCTTCTCAAAATCTTCCTTTGGTCTTAATGCGTTGTTTCCTTGTAGCCCTTGCCCTGGATCCCCAGTTGACCCGTCGATAGCTTATCGACGTTCCGCATGCATCAACGGGAAGCCAATGCTGGCCTTTGACATCGGCAGCACAGCAATTCGCTCTATAGCGATGATAGAACTCACTAAGAGCACCAGCGGCAGTGCAACTTGCACCACTGCGAGGTGATGTTTTATCGGCATGCAAGAGTACCGTATGATGTGTAGTCTTCCCTTGACCCTATTAACAGCAATTCACTGAGTTTTCTATTGAGCTGTTTTCCACATGCGCAGGTGCTTCATGAGTCCGAGAAGATTTGAAGGATTATATTGATACGAGTTATTGATTAATCATGGTAGCGCACAAAAATGGATGAATTAAAAGAACACTCAGTTGTTTGGTAGTGTTTGCATAAATTTCTTCACGGGAGCTCATGTATAAAAATATTGCTGATTACGTGAAGAGTGTTTTCATATGGATTTTAACATTCTACATGTGGGTGCACAGCTCTGACTTAGTTTCAGCATGTGTAACTCGAGATTCTCAATAACGCAGAACTTCGACTTGCCCTGGTCTGGCGATCCGGCAGTTGTGACTAAAGTCGTGGCTGGTGATTATAAGCGGGGCAATTTGAGCCTCGGCTTTCCAAACCTGTTCCACAAACCACCCTGGTAAGTTGTTTTGAGTGTGTGCCCGCTCTTGGTTTTGAAGTAAGGGCTTCCTTTCGTAAATACCCGCTCAAATATGGCACTTAGGGTTCCCTTGGTGCATAGACCTGACCTGAGTCTGGAGACCATGCGTATTCGAAAATGCTCAAAATTGGTAATGATTCCATTGTCGTACACCTTTTCTTCTTGACAACTACCCGCTTCGCTGATGCGGATCACATACCTGCCCGTGTGCGCTCCGAAAACGCAGACACAACGAAACACAGACCTAATTCAGAGGCTTGGAGATGCCGCCAAGCCGCGATATCCACCCCTCTCATCAATGTCGCTCGCGTCGGCCCTGGAAAACTGACGGCTCGGCTCGAAACAGAGCGCTTCGAAATGTCAGTCAGGCAGTGTTGATGTGGCTGTTTTATGTGGCTGTGCTGCTTGGCTCGACTTGTACTGTACTGAGGTGAAACCTCCTGCTCAAACCCACCTGCTACCATTCTTCAGCCGTAAATCCAGATTCTTCTAGCTCGACATCGAATACCCACCACAGGGTGTCGCAACCTACAATATTTGGTTTCCAGTCAAGCGCTAGGTAACTTATAAGGAACGCCCTGTACGACGATAACAGCAAGCTTGTGAGCTTCCCACACCTTGAAAAGCTTTGAGAAGGCGACGAGCCGTCCATTTTAAAACAGTCCTCGAATTTCAAAACCTTTCAGAACAATCAGCATGGGCGCCGAGGCGAGCAAGGCGAGTCCCAAGTCGATGCAGCGGACGCACATGATGGTCGAGGAGAACCGCGTCATGCTCTTCAGGTAAGGTTCTCCGATTAAATCATTCCCGAAACGGCTTCACAGTGTCCCTCTCGACACTTCCTACCGCACTCCATTACTATGGCACGGCCATATCACTTCGAACTTACAGATCGTAATCCGGCACGGCTTTTAGTCATGTTGTCGTTTTCTTTTCGTGCCCGTCCGTCAGTCTTGTCCTCATGCTGTGAATCATTACGCCTCCCTTTCATATGTTCTTCCTCCGTACGACATCCTGATGCCCTCTCGTGTTTTCCCTTCTCGTGTTTGACCGACCCCTCTCGACTTCCCGCAGTAAATCCTACGATCCCTCGTCCATGAAGGTCAAGAGCGTGCTTCACGGACTTGGAGTGCGACCTAGTGTAAGTGGAACCAGGTCTCTGCCTTGTAACCCTAGTCGTGCGAAGTGCTCGCTTTCTCGACTGTGTAAATTCTACGACCCCTCGTCCATGAAAGTCAAGAGCGTGCATCACGGACTCGGAGTGCGACCTAATGTAGGTGGAAGCAGTGCTGTGGTTTGTAACCCTAGTTGCACATAGTGCTCTCTTTTCAGTACTTCGTAACTCCAGTTCCTTCCTTCTACTAATGCTTTCCTCCTAGTACTGCCTAACTTCATTTTTTATAATTTTACCCTCCTACCGTTACCCTGCTACCCTCCCAGTACTGTGTGACCCTGTTCCTCTAGACGTCTCTTCTGCGTACCCTGCGCTCCGCCTGCCCCCTTTTGCGACCTTCTGCGATATCTTGTGAACTTTCTGTTACGTATCCCCGCTTTCCGTTCTCAGCAATCTTAACCTTGTTTTCGCATATTTCTTTTCTCGACAGGTCTGTGAACTCGATAAAGAATATGATGGCGAGGAACTGGAGGACGCTGTAGCGAGTATGACCGGGACACATTCGATACCCGCCTTATTCGTCAACGGACGTTTTGTTGGCGGTCTGGATGGTGAGTAGTGCTCTTATCCATTCTCGTCTGTATCGCAGTTTTTGAGGCTGCTCGTAGCGAGTATGATTGGAACACTTTTAATGCTCTCCTGTTACATCAACCTACGCTTGATTGGCTGCATCATCTGTGGGTCTTCTGCACCGTAAACCCCAACGGACTCAAATCACGATTATGTACACAGCTTAGATATGTATCACGCACTGTGCCTTTCCATCCTTTCCACATCCCCTATCCATCATTCCCTGCTGGGAACGTCTGGGCTACAGCCTGGATCCTGTCACCTATTGAGATGCACCTGTGTATGTATGTACTCCTTTTAACATGTTCCCCTCTGTCCCCTCTTTAAACATGTTCCCCTATGTCTCTCTCGCTTCTCTGTGGTGCAGAGGTGATCAGCATGAACTACAACAGAGATCTCATCCCTATTCTTCAAGAAGCAGGCGCCCTTGCATACTAAAAGCGCGACTCTTTGTATAGGTTTCAGTGGTTATATTTGCTCATTAGATTATATGCATGCCAGAGGGTCGCATGCCGTGCTTTTAGTCAAAATGGGCTGCTAGTACGTGCTGCTTGCTTTTCCAGGGCGTTTACTATTAGTGATGTTTTAATCCATTTCCACAATAAAAATTGACTTGTAACAACAGAGGAACATCTGTTAGAAGCAGAAGCGGAGCTCGACTTGACAGTTGCGATGCGATCTAGCTACGATACTCGCCATCAGTTCGTCAGGCTGGTTTCGGTATTCGTGACCTCCGCCCCATTCTCACGAAGGCCTTTCGCTTGCATGAACCCACCGAAGCTCTCCGCTCCGCACCCCTGCGACGGAGAGGAATTCCCCGTCCCGCCCCTCTGAGTTCCGCCACACCCCATCCCTACCGCTTCTTTCCCCAAACCAACCAAGCCCAGCCTCGGCGCAAAGCGCAGCTTCCGCGGTTGCAACACTTGCAGATCCAGCGCGCAAATCTCCGTTGGCATGGTTCGTAGTAAAACCGTACTGGCTGCTACCCGATCGTACAGAACCACTTGTTTTACGCTGGAGTTGATTTGTGCCGCCAGGCCAACTAGTTGGAGACGTCGTTGGTGTGTGTCGCCTCCATCCATGGCGGACCGCCTTAGACCAATAATTGTCCCAAGCAAGCTGCGCATCGGCTTAGACATTCTGTGTAGTCTTGCTGGGCCGACACGCAGTCGAAACACAGTCCAGACGAATGGAGTTTATTGCGCACCAATAATTGTCCTCTCAGTTTTCCCTATCTTACGTCCTCTTCTTCCCTCCAGGATGTTTGCGCCGCAAGCATCGCCGTCGTCGCCAGATGCTCCGTGACACGCGCATGCTGCGTGAACCACCTTGGCGTATACACGTGACGCCTAGACGATTGTCGCTCCCCACAAGCTTGGTTATAAAAGGCGAGCTATCCAGTCCGGTAATACGCCAAACAAGCCCAGCCCAAAGCACAACTCTTTAAATCTGCTCTAAATCACCTGCTTCCTCCCTTAAGTAAACTCCCTAGTGTCATCTTTCGACCTTTTCTTCGTACTTGATGGCTCCTTCGATCGCTCGAATCTGCTTCGTCGTCGCTATCGCGATCCAAGCCTCTGTTACCGTCGCGCAAACGTGCTCGTGCGATGCATGCGATACTTCGCCGCCTCCGTGCTACGCCAGCAGGTCGTTATGCAGGTTCCACGCGGATTCTAGCACTTCAAAGTTCGATTTTCTAATCTAACATTCGACCTTTGAGCTAACTCTTAGTGCAAATCAGATAATCATGCTCATTCGTGAATGTGACATTATACTACCCCTTCCGTCCGTCATGTGCAGATGGTATATGTGGTGGAGGAAGGACGACTGCAGCGCACAAACTCTGTGGAACAGCGTCAAGAGCTCGAATGACGTCAGGAGCAGTGTGTTTGCTGTCTGGGGTCCCGGAACCCCAGGAGCCAGTCAAAGGTTCCAGGAGTACGTCCTTATGGCTGCTAACAACAAAAACTCTGCTTGCGTGAAGACTTATCTTCTGGATTGGATCAAGTGCAAGGCTGCTGTGACGGATGCTGCAGTTCAGTTCTACAACTCTGCGTTGGGTGTTGGGGTGACTAGTATCAAGGACGTCGGGAAGATGGCTGGAGTCATGACCATCATAATCAAGAAGATTGGCGAGGGCGTGTTCAATACGCTTGCGGAGAACCTGAGGCAGGGAGGTCTCGAGGCTCAGATTGTCATGGCAGCAAGCTGGTGTTAGAGGGAAGACAACATGGATGCGTGGAAAGCAGCATGGGAGTAAAGGGTTCAATAAAGCTTCCATCCATAGCTATTCTGGGTCTGTGATCAGGGGGAGACACTACTTGACCTATTTATAGACCCGTCTGGTACCGCATTGTGGTGTGGTTGCTATTGATGGGATTTGAGAAAGCTAATTGTGGCTTGACAGATTATGAAGGGAGTGCATTTGATAACATAATGTATGAGTTGAATAACAGATCCATGGTCACGGAAACTAGAGGAGAAAAGCAGACTACGAGGATATCCTCGCCAAGGAATATCGCAGTAAGTGGAAGAAGTTGTATAGGTCATTGGCAGTTGACCCGTCGTCGGGGGTTTCCGTGTTGACTGACGGGCTTCCCCGATGGTTCGAAACTTTTGACTCGGGCAGCACGTAAACGTGAAGTGGGTTATTCTCTCACCATAGATGAGTCAAAAATGGGCGTGTTGCTCATATGATGCTCCAATCTGCCCAGTCAACGTCTTTCTTCGGGCAGAAGAACATCAAGGTGATAGGGATGCCCATGCCATAGCACAACCAATCACACTCTCAGGGTGCGTTCCTGGCGCGTGTCAAGCTTCCGGTCATCCGCGGATGACCGGAAGTTGGACCCACTTTGGGTCATCCGAGACCAACTTCGGGTCTTCCGGCCAAAAATTGCCCCTGTTTCCGGAAAACACAAGGTTTGACAGGAACTTTAACCCAAAGCTTCGGGTCTTCCCGGGAAGGCCCGAAGCTTGACACCAGCCAGGAACGCACCCTCACTTCGCTATGTCAGATCAAGATATGCGCACTCAGTACTCGTTTTCTGTAGTAGCTTATACTGGTATATTCTGAATAATGAACTGATGACTTCTGCTCCTTTAGTTTAGCTTGCTCGTGAAGTCCGCAATAAGAACAAGCACAACATGGATTTTCACAACGGTGGTATCGTTCCTGTGCACGAGCAGCACCAGCTACTGAACGCGAAAGTCTCCACATTTGACTTAGAGCTTCTTGCAGCTGATGTCCTCCTGATTGATGACGACAAAGATAGTGTGGGCCTCACCAAATCAATGGTTTGAGACTTTCACGCACAATGGAGTGTACATGGTTCACCTTTCTGTTTCCTGCTTTCTCTCCTTCCTCTCCCACCCCTTTCATGCAACAATTCCTCGAATTCCAGGAAATGCTTTCGCTTGACTGGCTTCCCGTTGACTGATGCTAAAGCTGGGAGCAACACTGCCATTTTGACCGACGCGAATTTTTGGAGCTCCCTCCTGTATATATTCATCTTTTCCTTTGTTGGAGGGAGTAGCTCTTTTTGGTTTTGCGGGTTAGGGACTTTCTGTGAGGAAAGCGCTTTCGGCGGCGCTAGATTCTGTTCGCGTCTTCTGGCAACCCTTCCTGTGGTCAAATTAATCTTGCTCAACGGTGAATCTCCGCTATTTCCCCAGACATTTCGCGTTTCCCGACGATTTTTTTTTTGGAGGATTGTACCAAGCGAGAAGCTCTAGATATAGTTTAGAATTCGCGTTCAGGTTTTGATTTAGCATCATGTTGACAAGAATATCTCATTGTTCATCTTCTCAAAGGCTCTTCGAATATCAGTAATTCTAACACCGTCCTAAATTCTGCATTTATCTCACCTGTGTTCCACCCGTATTCTTGCTCGCTACCCCACTCTTTTTCAAATGAATGGTTCAGGCTTGGCTCACCCCCTACTATGGCTCGTCTGACGTCATCATGGTGGATGCTGACGCTTCTGGTGCTTCTGCCGGCACTCGCCGCGTCAGCTTTCGCGGCGGAAGCTTCTGGCGAAGCTGCTACGGAATCCAAACCGGATCCTCCGCCTATCACTCCTCCCTTCTCGGTAAGAGCACGGATTCTCTTTACGTGCGAGTCTCTGTTACTTGTGTATCCTGTTTCATGGCCGCATGTTGCTTCAATCTCGCTCGAATTCTCTGCTACATTTGTTACATATTCCCGCCGTCCGTCTCAGCCCTCAAGCCCTGCGAATATTAATTTCCATTCGTTGCCGTCCTCTTTCTTTTCTTGTTTTGTCGTTCGCAGGGAAATGAGTTTGTCGTGCCCGAGTCCTTCCTCTACCCCATGTTCGGCCCTCCTCACCCCGATGGTCGTTCTGGGCCTGGCGGCCCCGGCGGTCCCTGGGGTCCGGGCGGTCCCGTCGGTCCCGGCGGTCCCGGCGGTCCCGGCGGTCCCGGCGGTCCTGGCGGTCCTGATGGTCCTGGTGGTCCCGGTGGTCCCGACGGTCCCGGTGGTCCCTGGGGCCCTGGCGGTCCCGGCGGTCCTGACGGTCCAGGCGGTCCCTGGGGTCCCGGCGGTCCCGGCGGTCCCGGCGGGCCTGACGGGCCGGACGGTCCTCCTCGCGATCCCTTCGACGGCCCATTCTTTCGTTCCAGCGGGCTTGACGGGTCCGAGAGGCCCTCCCGGCCCGACCACAGGCCCTCGCGACCCGACCACCGGCCGTCCCGGCCCGACTGGCCGCACAATTCCCCGCGCGATCTTCTCGCCGACTCGCTTGACGGGTCCGACAGGCCCTCCCGGCCCGACCACAGGCCGTCCCGACCCGACCACCGGCCCTCCCGGCCCGACTGGCCGCACAATTCCCCGCGCGATCCTTTCGCTTCCGCCGACGCCTCAGACGAGTCCCGCCGGGGCGGATTTTTCGCCTCTTTCGGCCCGCATCCGCCCTTCGGCCCGCATCCCCCCTTCGGTCCGCATCCCCCCTTTGGTCCGCACTCGCACCCGCATCCGCACCCGCCGTTTCCGCCGCCTCCTCCTCCGCTCGGCGCGATTCAGCTGACGTTTGAGCTGCTGGCGGCCGTGGGGCGCGCGATTCGCGTGCTGTATGGCCCGAGCGTGGAGGCGGCAACGGGGGAAGAGCATACCTGCGGAGGTGAGGTGCTTGTTTGTTGTGCGGTGCGGTGCAGTGAGGTGGGGTTCGGTGTTGTGCGGTGCGAGTTGGTGGGGTGCGGTGGTGTGTTGCAGTGTGGGTGCCCTGTTTGGGCTGCTGGCGGCTGTGGGGCGTGCAATAGGCACGCTGTTTCACCTGGGCGTGCAGTGCTGTCCCCCCCTCGTCCTTCCTCATCTTTCCTCCTTCCGTCTCCCACCCCCCCTCCCTCTCCGCCTCTCAGAGTGCGTCACGTGGACGACCGAGGCGCTTCTGAATGCCTTCTCTAAGGACATTAACACCACCATCTGTGCTGAAGACGCTCCTGCAGCAGCAACAGACCCGCCTCACCGCCACTTCGTAAGTTTCGTCCTTCTCCGTCTCCCGTCTCAGCGCCCCTTTCTCCGCGCCCCTTTCTCCGCCCTCCCTTGACATCAACACCACCATCTGTGCTGAAGACGCTGTCACAGCAGCAACAGACCCGCCTCACCGCCACTTTGTAAGTCCCTCCCTTAACCAGCCATCGCTTCTTAGAACCCCGTTTGTTTCTCCGCCCTCCCTTGACATTAACACGACAGCTTCAGCCATCGGCGTATTCTCCAACCTTCACATCAACCCTCTCTCCATTCAGTCTAATAAATTGCCCTCCATTCCGCTCACTTCCCCTCTCTTTCCCCCACCAGTGTCGCCTCTTTGCCAACCTCACCACAGTATCAGCCATTGGCATTTTCGACAAGATCCACATCAACCCTCTCTCCATGGCTGTCTCGGTCTGCGCCAAATTCGGGGCCTGCATGCCTAAACCTCACCCTCCCGAAGCGAATCCCGAGCCTGCTGCCGAACCTGAGGGCCTGGTCGAGGAGCAGGCTGTTGCCGAGCCTGTTTCCGAGGCTGATACCGTTGAGGCGGTTGCTTCGGACGACGCACCTGTGAAGGTTAGTGCTTCACTAAGAATCCTGGTCTTGATTTTGCCAATGTTCCTTTTCTGCCTAATAACTTCACCTGTGTTTTTCCGTTCTCAGTATCTCTTGTTGCTGTTTGCTTCTTTTTTCAGATTCGCGTCGCAACGCCCTCGCGCCGCCTACTGGGGCACGACAATGGGCGCATGGACATGGGGGCATGCACAGCATCGGCTGTTGCTCATGATTCCTGCTTCTTTCCCTGCCTCCTTGTTACTCCCCCATTCCAGGTTCGCATTGCAACGCCCTCGCGCCGCCTACTGGGGCACGACAATGGGCGCATGGATATGGACATGGATATGGGAAGCGTGCACATGGCCATGAACAGCATTGGCATGCTCATGTCATCGTCCGTTCCAGAACCTTCCGAGGATGCTTCCGCTGGCGCAGCCACTGAAGGAGCAAAGAACAGGGAAACGGAGGGAGGAGAGGCAGGAGAGGAAGGAGAGGAGGGAGGAGACAAAGGAGGGGGAGACACCTGCGACACGTGCATTATCGAGGGCTTTCATCTGATCGAGCAGTCTGTTCACGCCAAGATCAAGTGGATATGCAGCCACGCAGAGGACGAGCACGCGCCCCCGCACATCAGGGCGATGTGCAAGTTCATCCACCAGTACCCCTACCTCACTATGGTCATCGCTGTTATGAAGATCAAGCCGTGGGAGAAGGTGGTTCCGGCGTGCTTTCACATGGGCGCCTGCAGGCCTCCCCACCCTCCTCCCCATCCTCCGCATCCTCCCCATGGGCCCTGCCCCCCGGGGGAAGACTGTCCCCCTCCTCCTCCCCATGGGCCTTGCCCCCCTGGGGAAGATTGCCCCCCTCCGCCCTGCCCCCCTGGGGAGGACTGTCCCCCTCCCCCCTGCCCCCCTGAGGAAGATTGTCCCCCTCCTACCCCCTGCCCCCCTGGCCAGGAGTGCCCCCCTCCGCCCTTCCCCCCTCCCTCCTGCGCCCACACTCCCCTCCCCAACGACGTTGTCCCCCTCCCCATCCTCCCCACTCTCGACCTTAACATTTTCCACCCGCCTCCGCCGTTCCCCCCTTCCTTCGCCCCTCCCTTCGCCCCTCCCTTCGCCCCTCCCTTCGCCCCTCCCTTCGCTCCTCCCAACCGCCCTCCTTTCCCTCCTCACCCATCCGGCCCTCCTCCCCCACCATGCTCCCTCTTCGGTTTCCTCCGTGCTGCTGGAAGCTTCCTTGCCCGCCTTCTCGGTTTCCCTCCCCCTCCTCCCCCCCCGCCGCCGCCCTGCCCGGGGAACGAACCTGAGGGGCTTTTAGCTAAGTATCTCTTAGCTGAGAGCCAGATGGTGGGGAAAGTTGCAGCAGGAGAGAGTGGGGAGGAGAGTTGGGATGATTCCGCGGAGGGTGTTGGGGCGGTTCTAGATGGGGACGATTTGAAAGGCGATGGGAGCATCGAGGTTGTGAGTGTGGGGGGTTTCGAAGATGCTGGAGCAGAGATTGATGGTGCTGCTGCTGCTGCTGTTGCTGCTGATGCCTATGTTGATGCTGCTGCTGCTGCTGCTGATGCTGCTGATGCTGCTGATGCTGATAGGATGGTGAGGGTGATGCTGGATAGCACTGGCTAAAAGGCAGATGCTCGTTGGTGGGGGTGTGTTGATGCATTTCAAACCTGGCATCGCAGAGCTGGAGGAACCGGGATAGTCGGGTGGTTACCAGTCATGTCCTTTTATGGTGGGGGAGGTGCTGTATCAACCATGAGACGGCACAGGCTGTGTTTGGTGGGGATGGCAGGTGCGGATGCATCTTGTGGGTAGAATAACGGGATTGGTTCTTTTTTGGTTCTCGTGCCCCTTCACCCCCCTCCTTCCTGTCCCTTGGGGCAAATGGATCTCAAGGACGAGGGTGCTTCTGGGACGGTTTTTGGGATGTGGCGGAGGAGTGGGTTGTGGAGATTTGGTATAGTGCTTGCATGATATAACAATTATGTGAGTTTTACATTTTGTGGTACCAGCTGCAAGAAAGAGAAACGAAACATGATAAGAGGAAATTATTCACGCAGTGTATTATTTTTTCCTCACAAGCCGTACCATCAGGGGGTGTTCTTCTTTCCGTTCCAACCCCTCCATAGTCTTGGCGTATCTAATCTGACGTGATTGCACCACACTGTGACTGTACTGTACTACAAATTGATGCTCACCCCATGCACGCGAATTTGCCTTGCGCCGGATGGATACGCTGCACCCGAGGTTGTTTCCCCAGCCTTATGCACCTACATTACAAGCGCGTCAAGCAGAAGAGACCGAAGTCAAGAAGAAGAGACTGAAGTCAAACTAGGTAACTAGGTAGCAGAGTCTTGTTTATAAGCACATGCGAATTCTTTTTAGCTAGCTGCGAATTGACGAAACTTATGCGAACTGCTCGTGACAGCTTATACGCCCCCTTCATAAGGCAACCGGGAGGGGCTCAAACAGGCATCAATTGTACTATATATTTTCATTCTCGATGGACGGTGGGCAACGGGGCATTCCTCACGCGTGCAGCTCCTCAATGTGTGTGCCTGCTGCTGTATGTACAAAAACTGCCTTGACCGGAAAAGGATGGGCGGGAAATAGTTTTGCCCGTTACGGTACCAGACTCTCCTCGTTTTGGTTCCCATCCCAGGGATTGTTTTACCGAAGTCATCAACGCACTTTCGGCAACTGTAGATGGGTTCGCTGTTCAGAACACACAAGATTTTTACAAAATTGCTTTTCAGTTAGACCAAGAAACGCGAGAAGTTTTCGTGGTTAACTGGAAAACTTCATCAACCGAGTGCTTGTTGTGCGGTGCGAATCAAGCATCTGACTGTTCATCCCATTCATCCGCATGGCAGAGCTGTTGCGCTCTTGTGCATGTCTGTCCACCGTTTCTGTTCGAGAAGGGGCAGCGCATTTGCCCTCGCCTGCGGGAGAAGTTTCAGACGGATGGTTGTGTGCTGGTTAGGTTGGGTTGGGTTGGGTTCCCCCACACGAAAGGGTGCTCTGTGACACACACGGGAGTGGGTGAGACCTGCGCTGATTGGGGGCGCAATCAATCAACGCCCGGCGGTTACTGTGCATTTATTGTCATTCCATAACGACCCAAACTGTTTCATGTGAAGAATGTCAACGGCAACAATTTTTAATTCAATCAGCAGTTTTAGTTGATGACGCAGATTTCATCAGCGACTAGAGCCACACAAATCCCTCATCGATGGCTGGCACGAATTCAGCACGGATCACAACAATTCTTCTGAAACCCATCCAAAGCGAGCCACACCTCAGATGGAGACGGCCCTATGCAGTGGGGTCAATCAAAAACACTTCTCGTCTGCTTGCGCCCCACCCCCCCGCGGATGGTGGCGGAGAATGGACCGATGATATTTACGAACCAACCACCGTGTTGAGTCGGATCCGGACCGGAGCAGAACTGGCGTTCAATCAAGACGCGAACCAGCAATCAACCATGCACCAGATTTCCACGCTTCCACATACACACGATGCACGACCACTGCGCCCGAATTTGCCCTGCCCATTTCAGAAAGCCTGCACTCGTGAGATTTCCCCCAGCCAGCTGCACCCTGCTTATAAGCGCGCCAAGCTACTTGCGCGTGGATGGCCGGGCGACAAAACAACCACATGAGCACCAGGACAACAGACTCTGGCCCGAGGATGCCCTGTTCCGAGGCCAGAGTCATGCACGGCGAAAACTGTGGCTAAGATTGCTGTGCCCTCGCAAACATTTTCGCATGGGAGTGTACGCCACGTCCGCAAGGCTCATTGTGCACCAAACGCTCATCCCGAGCAGCACTGCCTCCACGTGTACATTGCCAGCGATCGATATAAACCCATCTCGATGCACAATGAGCATTTATGCACACGTCATTTCCTGTGACGCTGGTTACCTGTGCGTGTAACGGGCCACATTCCCGAAACATGCACTCGTCGAAAGGTTGTTACTCGCTTCTAGATGTGGCTAGGTGAACGACTGCGAATGTTGACTCAATACATTTGCGGCCCGCAAAACGAATTCGACATTCGTCAAGCAGGAGTATGGGAGTCCACCATAAAATGACAAGTCCCAAAATCAGAGCTGTCACTCAGAACCATTAGCTTCTAAGAGACACAGGCATGCCGCGCCTATACCGCCGTTCGCAGCTCCCCTTGCACATCAAGCGGGCGATTTGTGCCCAGCATGTGAGCAACCCCAACATGCGCCAGGTCGATCTGGCGCGTTGGTGTTTCACGCGTTACGGGATCCGTCCCGATCGTTCTACCATTGGGCGGGTCCTGAAAAGCGCTGCCAGATGGACCGCCCCGAATACCAACACTGTGCGTGTGCGTGGCGGCGCATATCCGGAGCTCGAGCACGCCATGGTGCGCTGGGTCCGCAACGCCGGCCCCGCAGGTGTCCCTCTGACCCTCGCCACCATCCGCAACCACGTCGCGGTCATCGCGCGCGGTATGAATCTGCCCCCCACGTTCCGCTGCTCCGTGGGGTGGGTGCGCCGCGCTATGCGTCGCCATGGCATTCGTTGCCGCAGCGCCACCGGCGAGGCGGCCGACCAGGACCACGCTGCGGTGCGCACTTGCCAGCAGCAACTCCCGCAGCTCCTTATGTACCTCGCCCTTCGTCCTTGCGACGTCTACAATTTTGATGAGACCGCTCTGTACCTGTCCGTCTTGCCGCGCAAGACGTACGGAGGTGCGCGTGTGGCGGGGCGCAAGCTGGCGAAGCAGCGTCTCACCGTCGGGCTTCTTGTTAACGCGGATGGGAGCCACGCCTTCCGCCCATTGGTGATTTCGAAGTCGAAGCGCCCGCGGGATTTCCTGCCTGACTACGACCCGGAGGAACTCTGTTATTGGCGTAGCAACGCCAAGGGTTGGATGACCGCCCCTGTAAGTCCGTGATAGTGGTCCTACTCTGAATGTTTCCGCTGGCTTTAAGGCCCGTTGGCGCCTGACTTGTATGTTTGCGTTTACAGTAAAAAGAAAAAGGAATTCAATAACTGATCCCTGTCTCATTGTTCTGGCCAGATATTCACTCATTTCATTGGCTAGCTCAACGCCGCCATGGTCGCCGAGGACCGCAACATTGTCATATTAGTTGACAATGCGAGCAGCCACGCCGTGCAGAGTGAGGATGCAGAATCCGAGGACCTGTTTCGGATTCCGCACCCGCATTCTAGGCAACATACGCCTTGTCTTCCTGCCGCCCAACACCACGGCATTCACTCAGCCACTGGACCAGGGGCTGATTGCCACCACGAAGGCGCGCTACCGCCAGCACTGGCTCCGCGCGGTCACTACCCTGTGGCAGGAGGGCGGCTCTACCACAGCCTTGGCGCGCTTTCGCCCGAACATGCGGGATGTCATCGCATGGCTCTCTAAGGCATGGATGAACATCCCCGCCCGCACCATCCAGCGTTGCTGGTGGCGCACAGGCTGCCTGCCCCGCTCCTGGGCAATGGACCTAGCTCATGTCGGCCGCGACGGTCTAGCGGCAACAGGCGCCGGCGTGAATGCCGCGCTCCCCATCGATCTCGACGAGGACATCGGCGACGTGGGCATCATGATCGCCCGGCTTGGCCTCGGGCCAAGCGCAATGCCCGCCGCCGAGTTCGTCGCCATCGACGACGACCAGCCAACGTGCGCGGAGCCGGGCGAGGATCCGCTGGTCATTGAGCCGCGCACGCCGTATTCCAGTACGTCATGGGAACCACCCTCCACCATGCAGGAGGTTTACGACGACGACCACCCCGAGAGCCGCGAGGCGAGGCGCTATGCGAGGGCGGCCAGCGAGATGCTGATTGGCTATGCCAAAGCTACCGGCATCACTCCGCACAACCTGTGCGCGCTCTTCGAGATCAAGAACCCCGTCATCTTCGACCGCATGGAGCGCGCAAGCCCGGCGCTGAACCTGAACGCCGCGCCTCCTCTCACTGCCCGGATGCTCGCCTCCGCGAGCGCCGCTCCTTCGCAGGCAACGCCCGACGTCGCGGCCGCGGCGACTCCTCGTCGCCGCGGTCGCGTCCTTCCTGCGTGGATGACTGCGCCGGCGCCGACCCGCCAGCAGCTCATTGACTCTGGCGTGAATGCCGTGATGAATGGCTACATCGATGCTGCAGAGTGGATGACCATGTGAGGGGGGGTTCAGCTCTGCGAGGAGAAATTTGAATCTCCTCTGTGCACACGCTTGCACATCTTGTGCACTCTTGTGCACCGTCATTTGCCCCAGTTGTTGAAGTGTTAAAATGACAGTTGTAATGCTCTGATTTGGTACTGCGAAGTGGTTGCATGTTGTGGGGTGTTTGTGAGTGATTGTGACATCGGTGGCTACATTGTTCTAGTAACATTGTTGTAACAAAAGCCCAACATTACAACCAAACACTGCCACCCTGAACTGTTGCTTCTTAACTTGAGCGCGGTGTTACATTTGCGGGATAGAAGCCCTTCGCTCCCGAGGCGAGCTCGACGAAAGCGGGCGAAGTAAGAGGACCACTTACAGTCCCTCTTCTTCACGCAGGTATGGGGGACTCTATCGCGCATCAGGTGTACATATCTAAGATATTCTCACCTCAGTCCTCACTTCAACCTCATCACATCGACGCAGTGTTCGTTGGGTGAATCTCGACACATCACTGCCCACGTTTCAGTTGCTGCTGACGCCTCACTGATTCCTGAACCCCAACAGTTTTCCGAGTAGACACGAGTTGATGGTACAGTCGGTGCTCATTTCAAGAACACCAGGTAGGCGGGCGGCATGTGAGTGAAACGAGTTTTGTTTTCGCCACATTCGCCCTTGTCGCCACGGGCAAAATTGTGATTGTAAAATGAAATTGGAATGTGAAACGAGTCTAGGGGTTTAAGTTCGTAACCAGGTAAACAATTCTGATGACAGGCAGCCGTTGTTGTTTATGAACTGTAGATGTTTTCTTCCGCGACTTGGTGACTGTACCCCGAAATCAGCACAATCACCACTCACAGGCAAAACGTTCGCGAGTGACTGATTTTCTAATTGTGAGGAGCAAATTTTTGTGATACAGTCGATTTGCAACCCGTGCTCGCGAAATTGCCTTGGACGTTCCAGAAACCTTGCACCCGTGGGTTTCTTGCCGCGAAGTTGCACCTACGTTACAAGCACGTCGACCAATAAGAGCCACAGAAACGGAAGTCTGACTGATGAGACTGCAGTCAAACAGTCAACGGTGAGTTACAGAAGTTTTATAAAAGCCCATTTTGCCCGATGCGAATTGACGAAACCACCGCGAAATGCAGAATCACTTATACGCACATGGGGTAGGCCAAAGTTGGGGGGCTCAACCGGGCATCATGTGTAGGCTGAGCGTCGACTGTACAGTACTCTTTTGATGCCATGTGGCCATGACCACAGCAGAGTGGTCTGGCGGGAACGAGCATACCGCTCGGCTCCACACGGGGACTGGGGGACCCACCCAGGGCAGCTGTGAATATGGATGATTTTTTGGGCAGGCAAGATACAGTGTTTTTACAAAATTTACGGCAGTTTTGTTGAACTGTCAGCAGATGATTTCGACACTGTCGAGCCACAACCAATCCCTTCCCTTCTCTTCCGAACGAGCAGTACACCTGGCCAAATGATCGGTTGGTGTCGCGTCGCCGTACGCGCGTCGTACCCCAAAGAGCGTTGAGCGTTCAATTTCGCTCATCACCCTTCCTAACCGTTGTAGCTGTCTATTTGAAAGATGTACAACGTCAAGCATCTCTCTTAACCGCATTCGAAGGTCCCAGTCGAGCATTATTCGACATTCCATCCATCTCAACCAACCGTCCTTCACGCCAACTTCTCTTTCCCATCCTTGGAAAAGCACTCCCAAGATGCCAACATACTTCTATAATCGTTCTGAACGCTAACATCGCTTTTAGTCCTCTAATGACTTTCGCAAGCTAACATCAGCCCTCGCTGTGTAAACTTCGAAGCTCCTACTTCGTATCCTCAGCTTCTGAACTATTTGCTGGACTACTATTGTAGTATCTTGGTCCGCCGACGCTGACTTTCGCGGAACTTGTAGACGCGATGACATCGGAAACGTTGCGACATCAGCTGAGCCGCTAAAAACGGAGGAATGTCACGATCCTGTAACTAAAGAATGGTTGCTTTCTTTCAAAAATAATCAAGCAGCCGACCAACGAGAGTTATCCTGGCGATCATACGAGCCGTTTCTTGAGAAAGCATATTCTGCGGCGGTGTTTGAGAGCTCTCAAAGAGCATGCGAAGATGTTTCGTCGCATGAACGATCGAGTCGCTGCTGGCCGCGGCCGTCGCAGCCGGCGATGGAACCGTTCCCCGAGTCGCACTTCGAGTCGCACTCCGAGTCGCAATCCTTGAAAGAGAACTGGGAGTTCCTTCGAGCCGCCTGGAATCAGCAAACGAAGCAGCGGCGATCTTGGCAGCATCATTTCCCCGCCGGGCCGCTTTCGCCCCCGCAACATTCGCCGCAACGTCCGGTGGTGCCTCGAAAGTCGAGCCTACCTGACGGACACCAAAGGAAATCATGGCAGCACTTTACTAAGAACTCTCCTTCGCTATCTCCCTCGGAACATGCGCTGCGACAGCCGCCGACTATTGTACCACGGACACCGAGCCTACCGCTTCGTCGCGGCGCTTTCTGGGAGCAGCAATGCCACGTGGCGCAACCAGCGCCTCAGCCGCAGGGCGAACATCATCCTCATCGGCGCCCCGCGCAACCAAAAGCGCAACCGAAGGAGGACGAAGACCGCATGATGCTGCGAGTTTTTAGGGAGGAGGAACGAAAGGTCTGTGCGGTTACAAACCGCGATCTTTTCGGCGAGGTTAAGGCGTCGGAGGAGTAAGTTGCTGGGAAAATGTCAACGACTGCTACCAACGGGGGTTTTACGGCAGCTTTAGCTCGCGAAGCTCGACCGGACCAGGACGAAGCGCGTCGGATATCCGCGTTACTCCACGCGTCGAATCAAGGCGTCATGGTTCAGCAACGCATGGCGATAAGGGCCGCGGCTTCCGCGTCGCAACGACGAGCGCCGGACCACGCCGCGGCGGCGGGACGAATGGAGCAACTCCAGGCGGCCACAGCAGGAGCAGCAGAGACGGAGGAGAACATTTCGACGATGATAAGGCGGATTCGTCACGCTAAGGGAACGCAGGCTGCAACTACTTGCACAACTATGAAAGCTGCTGCTGCTACTCCAGGTGCTGTTGCTTCAGTCGCGGAGACCACTAGGGTTGAAGAGAATGCAGCGTTCAGAAGTTGGGTTCTAGAAACCCCCGCGTTCAAGAGTCCCAATGTTGCGATGTCGGCGGAGTGGAATGACGAGCTCGGATACAATAATATGGGTGTTGGTACACCCCGCGCGAGACCTGCTGGAGCTACTGATAACGCGTACACGCACAAACGATCCTGGCGTGTGCAAAGCGAAGATGTGATGGAAGGTGTTTCGTGCAACCCTTCGCCTCGCTACACTGTAACCTGCCCAGGCGACATCCTCTCCTCTCCTCCGAACAATGCATCTCTTTTTGGCTGCTCCGCTTTTACAACGTTTGACAACCTTTACACCCCTTTTTCCCAGAAGCCTCAAATGACTACAGCAGCTGCCATCCCTGTTACCAGCAACTCCAATCCACACAAGCACATTCGGCTGTGCCATGCTGTTCCTTCATCTGCCCCTCATTCTCTTCCTGCACCTGCTGACCTGGCACAAGCTGACCATTTTCCAGCTTCAGGGGCGCAGGTCCGGGCTCCTGGCAGCACTCAAAACACCACTCCAGTGCTAGGCACCTTTGGTTTCCCTGTCCCTGGTGCAAGGGTGGCATTGGTTGGTCCTCCAACGGGTTTTTTCAGCAACGGCGGAAATTGGCAGGCCGGTGGTGCTTCTCCTGTTGGCATGCAGCTGGGAGGTGAACGTGGTTGCGTTGCTACCTCCAGTGGCCTACCTCCTCTGCGAATAAGTCAGAGTGCACCCGAAGAGGTGGTGGAAGTGGAAAAAAGTGTGAAGAGGGCAGTGTGGTCTCAAGGGGACTGGATGAGTCAGAGGAGAATAATGAGGGTGAGAAAGGGTGTGGAGAAGTTTGTGATGGGGAGACAAATATTACTCCGGTTCACCAGAGCAACTGCAAGCATAATGAGGATCTCTTGGATTTGACTCTGTCACTTGGGGGGGCCTTGTATGTGGAGCGTGGGGTGTAGGCCTTGAGTTGGCTATTTTATGAATGCTTCTTGTTTTTGTGATTCTCCAAGTCGCACACCTTATTGTGAAGCGGGGATTGGCGAACTCTGGCTGCTTCTTGACTTGTTGAGTTGTGTAAATGTCGAAATGCTGGAGTCATGTAACCATGCATGCGAATTCGCCTAGCCATGACGACGAGCACCTTCATCGCCTCACCCGAAGTGACGGATGTAAAGCGCGCCCCGCCAATGCTGTGTTGGCGGTGCGATTTGTCAGTGCTGAGCTGCTCGGAGTGATGCTTCTGCAGCAATTTCTTCCTCGGCCATTTTCAGGTGCATGCAAATTAGTCGAGGCGCGCTATTCAGGTGCATGCTATCCCGTCGTTTTTCTCCCTCTGTTACCACTGTTTGTACACATCCGCCACTAAAAATACTGTTCCGTCAGGGGAACACAAGCAGCACACGCAACACACGCAACACACAAAATGGGCCTGGCAGGGAAGCCCGAAAATAAAAAAATACAACTCATAGAAAGCCTGGACATTGTTCGGGAGGGATCAACCCTAAACACGGGAACCTTCATGGTGTTTAGGGTTGTTGTCACGTAAGGCAGTGGGAAAAAAAACCTAGGGAACCTGGACTAATTTTCCGGAAGAGATCAACCCTAAACACGGAACTGCCCTCGTGTTTAGGGTTGATTCCTCCCGAGTTGCATGCGTTTCCAATTGGGCTCTATATTTTTCTTGCCCGTTTTTTGTCAGGTGTATTGCGATATGTGCTGACCTCGTTCGCAGTAAGGCTGCGACTGGTGTGGTTGGACGACGAGTTCGTGCGAGAGCTGCGCCAGTTGGTGTCAGTCGGATTGTAGCATCCCCTGACGGAACAGTAATTATCGTGGCGGAGGTGTACATACAGTAACAACAGAGGGAGAAAAATGACGGGATGGCATGCACCTGAATAACGCGCCTCGACTAAGTTGAATGCACCTGAAAATGGCCGATTTCTTCCTAGTCCTTCCCAAATCCCCTCCGTTTTCCGTTCCGCATGCCCTTCCACCCCTCCACAAACCCCCCAACCCAACCACACGACCCTCTTCCTCATTCCACCAATCCTCCCCTCCACAACAGCCTCCTTTCCGCCGTCCACACCGCAAGCATTCCCTTCCGCCCTCAGCTCTGCTGGCAGAGGTTTTCAGCACCCGCACCAGCAAGCAACCTCTATATTTTCTCTCATCGGCCTTCCATTAGCTTGAGGAAAGCACAGCTGAGTTCACGCCAGTCTCTTCCCTCCAGTTTCACCAAGATTTCTCTAACCTGAAACTCGTTCCTTGTTGTTCCTTGTTCTAGAATTGCCAGTGACTGCACGCCTCTCCGTCAATAGAGTTTGTGGCCATGAGTCGCTCAACTCTATGGATAGCGTCGGTAGCGGTCCTTCTCATCCTTGCATGTGCAGTCACGGAGGTCAATCACGCTTCGAAACCCGTTTCTTCCTCAGAACTTCCCGAAACCGTTGCGAATTATCGTCGCATACTGTCGCCGACGAGTCGTCGCCTGCTGTCGCGCGACGGCGGCGGCTTCAGCGACAGCGAGATGGAGGCGATGCACGACAGCATGTGGCGCTGGCGCAACTCCATGGACCGCTCGCGCCGCAGGGGCGGAAGAGGCGGCGGCGGCGGAATGATGGGTGGAAGAAGCGGCGGCGGAATGATGGGCGGAAGGGGCGAGGCGGAAAAAGAATCCGCGGAAAACGAAGCTGTCCCCGCGGGCGACTGCGGGGGAAACGGTGGCGGGGAGAGTCAGGAGGCACCCCATTTGGAGCTGATTCGTCGAAGCATGCGAGCCGTTGGATTGATTGAGGAAGTATCCGAGGATTCGACGAGCGCCGGCGCCGCCGCCGCCGCCGCCACAAACGGCGGCAGCAACAGCGTGATGCACTTCGGAGGAAGGCGGGGAATGAATTTTCCTCTCATGCATATGCATCACGGACGCATGCACGTGCCAATGATGGGTATGGACATGGGTATGGGTAACGTGAATGTGCACCCAATGCAATTTCGGGCGGGTGTCGAATCTCCCAAGGCTGTTCCCCTGCGCGATTCGACTCCCTGCTCGTTCTTCTCGTCCATCTGTGACTTCTTCCGCCGTGTGTTTGGCGCATCTTCTCCCGCAATCAAGTTGCCCTCAAACGAGGATACGACGGTTGGATCTAGTGCAATCAGAGCGCAGTATCCGCGGAGAATGATGCACGGCAGAGAAGCGTTGGACACGGCATCGATGAGCACTTTTGACGCGTTTAAGAACAGTCTCGTTAACGGCCTTGTGATGGAAAACGCCCAGGAGCATGATATGATGGATGTCCCTGGTATGGACGAAATGATGGGGGATAGATATGGTATGATGATGGAAGGGGATGGTATGATGATGGATGATGGGGATATGATGATGATGCAGGGTGACAACATCACCACAGGCAATGAAAATGTGATGCTGTTACCAACTGGAGATGACATGGTTGGTAGGCAGATGGACGACAAGGAGATGGAGGGCATGATGAGGGGGATGATGGGGAGGAATAGGATGATGCTAAGAGGTGGAAATGTGTAGATATTAGGTGGTCTTCGTTATGTGTGTCATATGGCATGGTTGGTGGGCAGATGGATGACAAGGAGACGGAGGGCATGATGGGGGGGATGATGGGGAGGAGAGGATGATGGGAGGGAATAGGGTGATGCTGAGAGGTGGCAATGCATAGCTATTAGTCTTTTGTTATGTGTGTTTTATGAGCTCTATATCTAAATTGCTGTTTGGTATGTTGTATATTCAAATGATTAGAAGCTGTGATGTTTACGCCCAGCAGAGTACCCGGAGCTCTAGAGTACCCGGAGCTCCACACGAATGCTACAGCAGAATAGATGATCCACTTACGCGTCACACAAGGAGAAGCCTGTGTCATATGTGGGATTTCTGAAAAAAAATATAAGGTAACTACCGTAGGCTCCTCCAGAATAGTTTCAGCCAGCAGCGGAGTCAATGATCCAGTTGAGTGTCACGCAGGCACTAACCCCAACCAAACCAGCACCATTTCCCATTGCCTACAAAGGTGCCTGCCTGCCTACCAATCACATGCACCCTCTAAAGTGCCTTGGGCTCAAACCCAGAAGCCGAGTCGATGATCCAGTTGTGCGTCACACAGGACAGGAACAAGCTCCCACACCTTCCTTGACTGCCTATAAAGGCATACGTTAATACATTCGTTGCCCTCTAGAATGCCTTGAGCTCAAATCCAGCAGCCGAGTCAATGATCCAGTTGTGCGTCACACAGGCAGAAGCCTACCGAATGCCACATTTCTAAAAAACCAACTACTACCGGTAGGTAGGGTCTAGAATGGTTTCAGCTCAAACGCAGCAGCCGAGTCAATGATCCAGTTGTGCGTCACACATGCACGAGCCCCCACCTCCTTCCCCAGCAACCCAGCAGCCTCCCTTCGCTTCTCCACCAGTGCTATTTCCCGCCGCATCTTACCCGACCCACTGGGAGTGAGATTGCAGGCACATCAGCAACTAGGTAGGCTCTAGAATGGTTTCAGCTCAAACCCAGCAGCCGAGTCAATGATCCAGTTATGCGTCACACAGGCACGAGCCGCCACCTCCTTCCCCAGCAGCCTCCCCCCGCCTCTCCACCAGCAACAGTTCCCGCCGCATCCTACCGGTACCCGACCCACTGGGCGTGTGACTGCAGGCACATCAGCAACTAGGTAGGCTCTAGAATGGTTTCAGCTCAAACGCAGCAGCCGAGTCAATGATCCAGTTGTGCGTCACACAGGCACGAGCCGCCACCTCCTTCCCCAGTAGCCCAGCAGCCGCCCTCCTCTTCTCCACCAACAACAGTTCTTGCCGCATCTTACCCGACCCAGCCGGCGTGTTCGCAGGCACATCAGCATACACCACCAAGAGAGTCTTCGCCTCCCCTTCCTTTCTTTCCCTCTTTTCGGCGGCAATGGTGGTGCTATTCATTGTGTTAGATGGATTGGAGAAGGCAGCAAGAAGGGTCTTGGCTGTGGGGGAGTGAAGAGGGCTGCTTGGAATCACAGTGCCACCTCCACACTGGGAAGGGAAGAATAGGGGAGAGGGGATTGAGGGGTGGTAACACAAGTGGGGGTTTTGGGGAGGTTCATACGGGAAGGGTTACAGAGGATTTGGTGGAGGTGAGAGGAACGGGAAGGATTGCAGAGGAAGGTTTTTTGCGAAATGGGAAAACTACCTGTAGCTTGTAGCGAATCCCACCTGGAGAATGCTTGCCACGTCAGCAAAGGAAGGGCTGACGAATCCTCCTTCCAGAAAGACCGCCGTGATGCTGGCGAAGAGGAGAGGCGGTGAGGGGCACCCCTTGGCCATGGGCTGAATGGGTTGCACGCGATGGGGGAGAGAGAAGAGGCGCGTGAAAGTTAGAGAAGGGCTGACGAATCCGCCCTCTAGAAACACCGCCGTGATGCTGGCGAAGAGGGGAGGCGGGGCGGGAAGACCCTTGGACATGGGCTGGAGTTGCAGTGAGGGGCGAGGGAGGGGAAAGAGAGAGAAAGGGGGAGGAATGGGAAGAGAGGTTAGAGAAGGGGTGATGAATCCGCCCTCAAGAAACACCGCCTTGATGCTGGCGAAGAGGGGAGGAGGCGACGGGCACCCCGAGGTCATGGGCTGATTGGGGGGCACGGGGTGGGGGAGAGAGAAGAGGAGAGCGAAGGAGAGAGGTTAGAGAAGGTCACGAATCCGACTTTTAAAAAGACTGCCGTGATGGCGGTGACGAGTAAGGGCCGAGTAAGGCACCGTTGCGAAACCACATCGGTTGTCCCGCCATACTTGTCGTGCAAGTCACAGAGCACCACACATGCTTGCAGACTTTCATTGGTAGTGCTACATCCCTGCTACAGCCCGTCCATGCTACAGCCATGCTACAGCCCGTCCATGCTACAGCCCCTCCATACTACAGCCTGCTACAGCCCGTCCATGCTACAGCCCCTCCATACTACAGCCTGCTACAGCCCGTCCATGCTACAGCCCCTCCATACTACAGCCTGCTACAGCCCGTCCATGCTACAGCCATGCTACAGCCCATCAATGCTACAGCCCATCCATGCTACAGCCTGCTACAGCCATGCTACATCCATGCACTCACCGCATAGTGCAGTTGGCCACGTGTACCCTCACGGAGACAGAGCACCTCACATGCTTTCAGACACCCTCTACCTCTGCCACACACGGTGCACTCACCGCATAGTGCATTCGCCCGCGCGCTGCCCCACCAGCCTCGTCGTGCGAGTCACAGGTCACCACTACCCCTGCTACAGCACCCACAGCCATTCCTGCACTGGTCATGCTACAACCGTGCTACAGCCTCACTCACCGCATAGTGCATTCGCCCGCGCGCTGCCCCACCAGCGTGCGAGTCACAGGGCACCACTACCCCTGCTACAGCACCCACAGCCAGTCCTGCACTGGTCATGCTACAACCGTGCTACAGCCTGCGCACTCACCGCATAGTGCATTCGCCCGTGCGCTGCCTCACCAGCCCTGCAGCAGGAGTCAGATATGCTAACACCACAGCCGTGCTACAGCATCTACTGCCAGTCTTGCAATATCGTGCTACAGCATCTACTGCCAGTCTTGCAATATCGTGCTACAGCAGTGCTACAGCCGGGCACTCACCACATAGTGCATTCGCCCGCGCGCTGCCCCACCAGCCTCATCATGCGAGTCACAGGTCACCACTACCCCTGCTACAGCACCCACAGCCAGTCCTGCACTGGTCATGCTACAACCGTGCTACAGCCTCACTCACCGCATAGTGCATTCGCCCGCGCGCTGCCCCACCAGCCTCATCATGCGAGTCACAGAGCACCTCAAAGGGCCCCTCGGCAGGTGGGGAGGTGGGGGATGCTGCAGTGGGGGAGGATGGTAACCCTGAAGTGGGAGGGGAGAGCGGTACCAACGAGGAGGGAAGGGAGAAGGAAACAGGCGGTTTACTCATCAGCCTCATCATGCGAGTCACATAGCACCTCGAAGGGTTCCTCGGCAGGTGGGGAGGTGGGGGATTCCACAGTGGGGGAGGATGGTAACCCTGAAGGGCGAGGGGAGGGAGGATGCGGGAGGAAAAGGGGCGTGTGGGAGCAAGGGCAGCTTGACTCGTGATGCAAGTCACAGAGTACCTTAAAGTGTCACATCACTTGCACTTGCTGCTAAGCACCCACTGCCCGTGAAGGATCGCCATGACCATCCGTGATGCAAGGCACAGAGTACCTCAGAGTGTCACATCACTGGCACTTGCAGCCAAGCAGCCCCTGTCCGTGCAGGACAGCCGTCACCATCTTTAGGGTGCCTTTTGAGGCGCCTCAACAGTCGTCTCATTACCCACTTGCAACCAAATGAAGAGCCCCTGAAGACATCGAGGCTGCTCTTCATTTGGTTCACACCAGTGACACTCAATAGAGTTAAGCACATCACTGGCACTTGCAGCCCAGCAGCCCCTGTCCGCGCAGGATAGCCGTCGCCGTCTTTAGGGTGCTGTCAACTTGCAGAAACAACGCTTACGCTCACGACTAAGCAAAATTATTACACGTGCTGCTAAAAGAAACACTTACACTTGCTGCTGAGCACCCACTGTCCGTGCAGGATTGCCATCACCATCCGTACAACACTTACAGTTAAGTGAGACACTTACACTTGCTGCTGAGCACCCACTGGCCGTGCAGGATCGCCATCACCATCTTGAGCGTCCTCCGTGCCTTCCCCTCGGAATCCGTGCCAACCAATAGGTGCGTGACACGTGGACTCCACTCTGACGTCAGCTGTGCGCCCATTGCATCAGCAAACTTGACCAGGCGGACCTATGGGAGGGGAGGGGGGATGGGTTGAGAGTGGACGGGGAAAGGAGGGGGAGAGGGGGTGGGGGGAGTGTCGGGAGAGTGGGGGCCAGCTCACAACTTAGGTGCCGTGTATCGGCTTATAGTCACATCCCATGCAGCCACATCACATGCAGCCACATCACATCCAGTCACGTCACATCACATCATATGATGCACCACATCCAATCACATTACATGCAACTGCCATCACGTACAGTCACATCACATCACATCACATCACATCACATCACATCACATCACATCACATCACATCACATCACATCACATCACATCACATGTGGCTGTGAGCTATGTCTCTCACCTTGGACGCTCAATCAAGGGCTAACCCGCACAGAACCCAAGTGCCACAAATTGGCCTATTGCCACATCACATAGTCACATCGCATGCAGTCACACCTTGTCAAATGTGCCTAAAAGCTGCGACTCTCACCTTGGACGCTGAATCTAGGGCTGACCCGCACAGAACCCATTGACTGCAGGAGAGAGAGAGGAGAGAGGCAAAGAACCGGAGAGGAAGGAACAAAGTGGGGGAGGGGGAGCACAAATTAGATTAAGTACATTTGCTTGAGATTCGCATGGGCTGGACTGCAGAGAATCAACTGTCTGCCAGAGGAAGAAGCAGCTACCGGAGAGGGAAGGAACAAGGCATGGGAGTGGAGAACCAGAGAAACGTGATAAAAGTTGTTATTTTGAGACGTCTCAAAATACAACTTTTAAAACGTGGACTGCAGAGAATCAACTGTCTGCCAGAGGAAGAAGCAGCTACTGGAGAGGGAAGGAACAAGGCATGGTGTGTGATAAGTCGATTTTTGAGTCTAAGACTCAAAAATCGACTTATCACAATTCGCATGGGCTGGACTGCAGAGAATTCACTGGCTGCCAGAGGAAGAAACAGCTACCGGAGAGGGAAGGAACGAGGCATGGGAGGGGAGAACCGGAGAAGAAGTACATATCAGAGTCTCAAGTGTAGGCTACATGCGATGGGAATGCAGTTTTGAGGCGCCTCATAACTAGGCTACATGCGATGGGAATGCACGTAATGTGTTAGCATAACTGGGAAGCTTGCTGATGTGTCTTGAGCAAGATGAAATGTCCCCTGTCACTACAACCGCACTGCACCCCTGCTATTCCTCTTTGTACCATCTCCATACCGGGGAGGCTTGCCGCTGCTCCTGGAACAAGAGGAAGTGTCGCCTGCCACTGGAACCGAACTGCACCACTGCTATTCCTCACCTTGTACCATCTCCACACCTGGGAGGCTTGCCGCTGTTCCTGGAGCAAGAGGAAGTGTCCCCTGTCATTGCGGTCGCCTGCCTTGCTCCCACGCCCACGGCCAATTCAGCAGCAGCACCAGCACAAGCAAAAGCCGCAGCAGTACCATCACCACTAGCAGCACCAGAAGCAGCAGCAGCAGTAGAAGCTGTTTCTTCCTTCTTCCCCTTCTCGTTGCCTCCCCTTTCTTTCGCAATCTCCTCTATAAGAGCGGTTTTTCTTGCCTCCTCCTCCTTTCCCCCCGCTCCCCCCTTCTCTCTCTCCTCTCCCTTTTCCTCCTTCGCTTCCTTCGCTACCTTCTCACCCTCCTTTCCCGGGTCGGTCAGCAAATTCAATTGCCCCTTAGCCACCGGTTGAGGCACCTTGAAGACTGCCTCGTTATCCGATTTAGTCACCCGGGCCTGTGCCGTCAGGTTTGTCGAAGCTGCAAGATCAACAAAAGGGATGCTACCTGAAGCCTTGGATGTGAATGCTGTAAGAGAGGCCTGGTCTTTGCTGCTACAGGGGACCATTGCGTTTGCCGCTCCAAGGCTGTTGCTTCTTCCTGTGTCCTGATCACCGTCCCCCTCTGCTACTCCCTTTCCCTTGTCATTCTTTGTAGCATTAACTTCTGTGGCAGCAGCAGCAGTGGCAGGATTAGCAGCAGAGAAGCCAGCAGCAGCAACGGCAGCGCCAGCACCAGTAGCGGTAGCAGTGACACTTTTGGGTGCAGCCTCCACAGGCATTTTCTCAGAAGCTGTTACAGGAGAGAGTCCTGCAAAGTTAGAAATTGCACAACAGATGGAACAAGATTCTGTGAAGGAAAGCAAACAGTCACACTCTCTCAGACACTTGACGTGCAAACAATCATTCAAGAACCTCCTGACACTTGACATCTGCAGCATCCTCACATCATTTCAAGTGTCCAACCATTTCAAAACCCCTTATTGACTTGGAACTCACCTCTCTCCTTGTCCACGCGTGCCACGCCCTCTTCCGTCTTCTTCCTCACCAAAGCTTCATCCTTCGTAGTCACACCCTTCATAGTCACATCTTCCGTTACAGGGACCTTGGCTACAGGAGATGATCCCTTGCCCAGGCGTTCCAGATCCGCTCCTTTGCTTTTAACGGTTGTGGCCTCCTTCATCGTCACATCCTTTACAGTCACGTTCTTGCCAGTCACGTCCTTGACAGTCGCGCCCTTTATAGTCACGTCTTTCTTTGCCGGAATTTCGGGCACCACTGGAGCTGACCCCTGCGCGGAAGCCTTTCTCCCCCCGCTCCCCCCGCCCCTCCCCCCTGCGCCAGTCCGCGCGCGCCTCTGGTTCTTCCCCGCAATGGGGGGCGCGCGGGCGTCCTCCTTCCCCGTTTCTTCCTCGTCCGAATCGTCCGCATGCGGCGGCGCCGGCGGGGACGGCTGCTTACGCTTGAGTTTCTTCGGTTTGACGCCCGCAGGCGGGTGTTGCGGGCAGGAGAGAACATAAGCGTCCTGCGGGGTGCGTATAAATGGTGTGAATAATTCAGGTCCAATTAATAAAACGTGCTCATCTAAATCATGAAGAAAATCCAAAATACAAGTGTACTTGGAAATAGGAGTAAGGCACGTTGAGTTCTTACGTCGTCGAAGTGGCAGCCGGGAGTGCGCCGCGCGCACGGCACGTGGTACGTGTGGCGGCACGCGGGGACGCGGCAGCCCAGCGCCGCGCCGCGACCGCCGCACACGGTGCAATAGAGCCCGCCCGATCGGCGCAGCTCCTTCTGCACGTTCATGAATCGCCCCTTGGTGAAATGCACCTCGGGGGACCTGCGGGGGGAGTGGCGGAGCGAAGGGCGCGGGAGCGAAAGGGAGTGGTTCAGTTTCTGTGCCCGCCGCACACGGTGCAATAGAGCCAGCCCGTCCGATCGGCGCAGCTCCTTCTGCACGTTCATGAATCGACCCTTGGTGAAATGCACGTCGGGGGACCAGCGGGGGCGCGGCGGTGCGAAGGGTGCGGGATTGATGGGAGCGCGAGAGAGGTGGCTTACGCGATCGGCGCAGCTCCTTCTGCACGTTTATGAATCGGTCCAATCCACGGACCTCGTTCATAAGGACGAACGCATATCTTGTCGCGACTCTGAAGCGAGCGAAGAAGGCATTCCTCGTAAACTCACATCTCGTTACACAAAACATGCGGTTATCCCCGATATATGCATTTGAACTCACCAGAGAAGGCAATCCTCGTGGACGCATATCTCGTTGGGACTCAGCTCGCCCGCGAGCTCAAAAGCCACGCCCTTTTCATCCACAGCCACCAGAGCCCCTGTCGACTGACTCACGGAAAGGAAGCGAGAGAACGAGAGCGAAAAAAGACACAAAGAATGCTGTTAGTGCGAGTAGAAAACCGGAAGGTACCATCGTATTGGCCGCCGCTGACACAGCCAAGAGACACAATTGCCGCATTGCAGTCAAAGACGTCACAAAATGGCAGATATTGCAACCGGAGCACTTTACCGAACTGTTTGCGCACGTAACGCGGGCTTTCTGAAACTTACCTCGTCCGAGCTGGTTTGATCGCAGAAGGAGCACCGAAGCTTCTTCTTCTTTCCCTTCTTCGCCACTCCGTTATCCACGTCATCATGCCTCTCTCCGTCTACCACGTTTTCAAGGGCTTTTAATTTTCCGTCATCCACTTTCGGCGGCTCGTCGAGCTTTCGAGAATGCTCAGCAGCAGCGTTACGGGTTTTCGTCGCTGCACTGGCACTGCTATGGCCGACATTGCCTAGAGACTTAACTCGTCCCTTCATTCCCAGAATGTCCATCCCCGATTCCATGTCGAAATCGCGGATCGGGGTCGAAACAATGGTGCCATTCGCCGCATCTGACGGCGGCAAAAGTTGGATGCGCTTGTTGGGATGCGCCAGCGAGGGCGGCCTGTGATCCATCTGGGGTGCGTGTTGTCGCACCTATAACTCTGTCGGATTTCTACGAGGAGGGAAGTGAAACACTCGCAGAAGACGTGGACGTCTAAGTGTTGTGCTGCGATTCTGACCCGAACAGCGATAGCTGTGAAGAGAAGATAACGATTGTGAGAACTCCCTCGAAGTGGGAATGGAATTGGAGTTTGAATGATCAAGCGCACAAATATTGAATGAATGAGGGCGGTGAGAGGGAGAAAGCTGAATATATAATGGCCAGAAGGGTGGGTTGGGGACTGTCGTTTGATTCGCCAGTCGACAGCGGCGGAATTCGTGAAGTTCGTGTATCATTTGGGAAAGCAGGAATATCTTGGCAATTCAAGGGCTGACGACCCAATGAGGTTGTTCGCGAAGCTAAAATGGATACCAGTCCCCAAGCACAAGTTTGGTGAAGGCTAGCAAGCGCCTCGGAAATACCAGGAGTTTGAATTTGAATTCGACATTCGAAATTTGAACGTACTCGCTAAGTATTCAGGCTCGACTGTGTACAAAACCGACGGGAAACCTGCTATTCCTTTTGTTATTCTAGAGAATTTACCAAATGTCGTCTTCACTTCAGAATTTGAAAATGTATCATCCTTTCTTTTGTGATTGCTCAGAATTTGGCAAGAACGTCATCTATAGCAAAGTACAGAGAACATCAGATACGGTAGGCATGTGCAAATCAAAACGCATACACTACAAAATTTACGGAATCGTTCTCTTCAGGCAAACACCACATGTGAACACAACTTCTGGGCTGTTGTGATATTGCCGTGCTGTTGCCGTAGTGCCGAGCTGTTGCCATGCCACTGTGCCACCATGTCACCATGTTGCCATGCTGCCATACCATGTGCCGTCATGCTGTTTGCCATACTGGCATACCACGAGGTGTGGTTGCTGCCAGTATAAATCAAGTCAGCACCTGTTGGATCGGATTAGATTAAATTAAAAATTGTTGGAATGGATCGCATTGGAATGGGTTGGAATGGATATAATTGGATTGGTTTGGAAAGAAAGGAGATTGCTGATTGTTCATCAATGAAGGAAGACGTCAAGTTTTCAAGAATAATCAAGAAAGAAAATGGAACAAAGCCAACAAACAGAACAGATTTGTTACCAGTACGCATCATGCACTACCAACCAGAACCACTCACTTCACAGGAGGGCATGTTCTGCTCCTCACCCTACTCTTTCTCACACTAAGCTCTCTTCTCTATAGACATGCCCTGCCCCCTTACAGTAATACCTTGCACCCGCACCACTCACTTTACAGGAGGGCACGTTCGGCTTCTCATCCTCCCCAGCACGATGCTAACTCCACTGTACTGCGCGTAGGCTCGGCCGAAGCTGAGCGCCAGGGTCGGTTGCTTGTTGCGGTACGTACAGCGCTGGTACATGCGGTTCGGGCTCCGACCCCCCTTTCCCCGACAAGGGCTGGTGGGCAGAATGGGGAAAGAAAGGTGTGCAGAGGAGTAAGAGGGGGTACATGCAGCGCTCGTACGCGGTACAACCCCTCAGCTCCAGCCCTCCAGTGCACCCCTCTTTGCGAGAGGGGTGACGGGTGGAGTGCAGAGGAGTGCAGAAGAGTGCAGGGGAGTGCAGACGAGTGCAGAGGAGTGAAGAGGAGTGCAGAAGAGTGCAGAGGAGACTTACAGCTGGGGCACATTCGTGATGGTCCTCCATTGAGTCCCTCTCGTCCGCGGTACAACCCTCAGCTCCAGCCCTCCAGCGCACCCCTCTTTGTCCAGCACTCGAACCGTCATATTCTTAGGGTAAAACCCCCTATTTACACTCGGCGGGGTGATTTCCACCGAATAAGCGTGCCCCGCTAAGAGAGTCGCCGATATGGTTCGGAGAACGGGCTTTGAACCTTTGTACAGTTTGGAATAGTCGTTTCGGTCTCCTAGAGAGAAGAAATAGGCTCGGTCGGTCAGTCGGGTGAACTTTGCGGTGGAGTAGGGTCGGATGCGGTGCTTCTTGATTTGGTTCCGCGTTAGGTTCGGCACGCCGTACTCAAGGTAGGTCAGGGCGATGGCTCGGTAGCAGGTAGACCTGGGGGAGAGGTGATGAGAAGGAAACGGGGAAGGAAGAGTGAAGTTTAAGAAACAGGGGCTTTAGGTTGGATCTACACCTAACATTTAGAGACGCTTCTTCAGGTGAAAGACTGAGTAAAGCGAATTTGGGACACCTGTATCGAGTATGACACAACGCCATTTGACAGGAATTTGCATAAGGGCACATTCTGGGCTCGTGTCAGATTTGTGGTTGGTGTCAGACGCCAAACGCGCTTGACACGAGGTGGAGCCGCGCCCGCACGTGGCTCCAGACTGGTGTCAATGTTGGGCACATTGGGCCACATCCCGCGATCACATTGGTCGGTTCAGCTGACACTAGGAGGAATGTTCCTCCAGCAGTTTTCAGTTGACACCAACACAAATTGACACGAGCCAAGAATGTGCCCTAATAATTGGGTGCTATAAACAGACAGATTCAAAGGTCTTTTCAGAATGAATCATCTACCCCTGTCTCTTCCCCGCTCCTGACTAATTCCATATCTGGCACTCAGGCTCGGAAACGCACGAACCTGCACGAGTAGAGCGACCACGTGTCGTGGTACTGGCAGAGAGAGGTTCGGACCGAGGCTGGTGGCAGGATCGGGCGGAACGGAGCAACGAGGTAGGCTGGGCGGGCAGCGCTGGGGAAGGCTGGAGAGGAGGAGGAGAGGAAAGAACCGTCTGCATCGTGGAGGGCGTAGAAGCGGGCATTCGATCCCCCTCTGGGTACAGGACGGTTGGGCTGCAAGGGAGGGAGGGAAGGATGGGAGAGGGTGTGGTGCAGAGAGAAGGAAAATCAACATAGGAGAGGAAGAGCCATTTGCATCTTGAAGCGTGTAGATCGGGTGGGAATGGACATTCTCAAGGCCGCAGAAAGAAGGTAGGAGAATGCTGGAGAAAGAAGGTAGGCTGGGCGGGCGGCGCTGGGGAAGGCTGGAGAGGAGGAAGCGAGGAAAGAGCCATCGGCATCGTGAAGGGCGTAGAAAACCACGATGAAATCCAGGATCGCCGACGGCATCGTGGCTGGCACTGGATCCGCCCTTGGGATTTCATCGTGGATTTCTACACCCCCCAAGGGGCGGATCCGCCCCTCGAGCCGTCGGCATCGTGGATCGCACTGGATCCGCCCTTGGGACAGAACGGTTGGGCTGGAGAGGGAGAATGGGAGGGGTGGTAAGCAGAAGGGGAGCAGATGGGAAATCAAGAAAGGAGAAGAAAGAGCCATGGGAATCGCGGAGGGCGTAGAACTGTGCATGAGAGCCTCCCCTTGGGACAGAGCGTGACAGAAATAGCAGCACGTGCCACAAATAACAGCACTTGGCGCAAATTGCAGCACATACCAGAAATAGCAGCACATACCAGAAATAGCAGCACATACCAGAAATAGCAGCACATACCAGAAATAGCAGCACATACCAGAAATAGCAGCACATACTGAAAATAGGAACACTTTCCACAAACACCAATACTTTCCACAAATAGCAGAACGTACCGCATTGGGAACAGCATAGAGTCTCCTTGTGGCAGATGTGAATCGAAGGCCCTGAGAAGGGAGAGCAGGGAAAGGAAGAGAGCACGGCCCTTACTCACACACAGTGACAGTCACTCACTCTCAATCTCCCTCTCACCTTAACACTCATCGCTGGGTTCCAAAACCCCCCCGCCTTATTCACCGCCAACACCAAAGCCGAGCTCTTCAGGGTGGGGCCACACTCCCTCGATCGCAAGCGTATCCACACACACAGCAACATTCCCTCACTCTATTCCCTCTTACCTTCACACTCATGGCTGGGTTCCAGAATCCGCCCACCTTGTTCACTGACAACACCAGAGCACAGCTCTTCAGCGTGGGTCCGCACTACCACTCAATCACACATAGATTAACACGCCCTAACTCTACCCTGTTTTGAGTCGACTCAAAACAAAGCGGGGCTACACTCCCACTCAATCACACATACATTAACGCGTCGTAACTCTACCCTCTCTCACCTTCACACTCATGGCTGGGTTCCAGAACCCCCCCGCCTTATTCACTGCCAAGACCAGTGCAGAGCTCCTCAGGGTGGGGCCACACTCCCCAAACCCTGAGAACCTGATGTGGTGAAGGGAGAGGAGGGGATAGGGGAAAGGGGAAGATGAGATGTGGGTTGTGAGAGTTCTCAAGAGCCCATTTTACAAAAGCCAGTCGACTTCTTACGCCAACACCAGTGCAGAGCTGGGCTCAGCATCACACCAATCGGGCTCTTGAACGTCCTGCCGTCCCCTCTCTACCTGCCGTCTCACCAACTCTCACCTGCTATTCACCACCGTTTGCTTCCAGCATGCCGCTCAGCTTCACTTGGCTCAGCATCACGCCAATCGGGCTCTTGTTTGCATGCCCTACATACCCTCCGCCAACCCCTTCCTAATTCCCCTCACCTGCTGTTGACCACCCTATTTGCTTCCAGCATGTGGCTCAGCTTCCCTTGGCTCAGCATCACACACCCTCGTTACCTTCCCTCCAATTGCCAACTACACCATCATACCCCCTTCCCTCTCCCTTTTTTTCACCCTCACCTGCTATTCACCACCCTGTTTGCCTCCAGCATGCCGCTCAGCTTCACTTAAGTCAACATCAATCCAATCCGGCTCTTGAACGTGCCATGCCTTCCCTCCCCTAGTAAAGCCAACACTCTCTACCCGACCACCCCACTGTCTCTCACCTGCTGTTGACCACCCTGTTTGCCTCCAGCATCCCACTGAGCTTCACTTGGCTCAGCATCACGCCAATCGGGCTGTTGCTTGCATGCCCTACATACCCTCCGCCAACCCCTTCCTAATCCCTCTCACCTGCTGTTGACCACCCTATTTGCTTCCAGCATGCCGCTCAGCTTCACTTGACTCAGCATCACACACCCGCGTTACCTTCCCTCCAATTGCCAACAACCCCATCATACATACCCCCTTCCCACTCCCTTGTTTTCACCCTCACCTGCTGTTGAGGACTCTGTTGGCCTCCAGCATGCCGCTCGGCTTCACTTGGCTCAGCATCACGCCAATGGGGCTCTTGAACGTGCCGCCGTCCCGCGAATAGAAGAATCCTGCTGCCACACGACCCCTCGTCTCCATCTCCTTCACTCTTGTCCCCGCCTCGATCTCCGTGCCCCCATAATCCTCTTCCTCCTCCTCTTCCTCTACTTCATTTCCTTCCTCGTTATCGCTGTAAGCTAATTCGCTGTCACTATACACGAGTTTGTCTTCATTATTGATTGACCTGCCCTTGTTATAGGCGATAATGTCGTTTTTAGTATATTCGGCCATCCCAAAGTCATCTCCCTCATCCTCGTTATAAGCTGATCCATTACTCTCTCCACGCACTCTCCTCCTCCTCCTCCATCCCCACTTCCCTCCCCTTCCCATAACCCCTTTAGTAGCTGCTTCGGCTGTCTCGCTATAGTCATCCTCGCTATAGTCATCCTCCATGCTGTATTGTGGCGCTGTCTTGCTGTAGTCATCCTCCATACTGTATTGTGGCACTGTCTCGCTATAGTCATCCTCCATACTGTACTGTGGCGCTGTCAGCATCAAACCGGGCGACTGCCAGTTCGAGGTGGTGTACCCTTCCATTTCATCCTCGTTAGTAGCAAATGCAACGTGCAGGCTAGACGACGCTGCTCCTGGTGGTAGCTGTGGTGTTGCATGTGTTGACGGCATGAGCGGTGTTGGTGCGTGTGTCGATGCAGCATCGTAAGGTGTTGACCCTCCAGATGATTTGCTGTTGGGGCAAGGGGGGAGGAGGAAACATATGGCATTAGCTGTGGTGTTCCATGTGTTGATGGCATGAGCAAGGCGGGGTTGGTGCGTGTGTTGACGGCAGTAGCTGTGGAGGGGTTGGTGGCATGAGGTGTGTCGATGCAGCATCATACGGTGTTGACCCTCCAGATGACTTGCTGTTGGGGCAAAGGGGAAGGGGGAAACATATGGCATTAGCAGTGTTGGTGCGTGTGTTTATGGCATTAGCTATGGTGGGGTTGGTGGCATGAGGTGTGTCGATGCAGCATCATACGGTGTTGACCCTCCAGATGATTTGCTGTCAGGGCAAAGGGAGGGAGGAGATAAATACATACATACTATACATATATACGTATGTATACATATACATAAGTGTGTATCCGCACACAACACACAAATTCCTACCTGCAGGCCGTGTGGCCGATGAAGGTGCATGTGAATCCCGAAGGTCGATGGCAATGCCGTTGTTGAGGAAGGTGGAATGTACAATTGCATTCCATGTTCCTGTTACATGTAATCATACCTGCACCCACCCATCCATGTGGCATTCCTACCTGCAAGCTGTGCGACCGATGAAGGTGCATGCGAGGATGAAAATCCCAAAGTTGCGGTTGAGGTCGATGGCAATGCGGTTGTTGAGGAAGGTGGAGTGGGTAGTTGTGCGCTCTGTTGTTACCTGCAGCACATATATATACATGCATGTGTATAAGCACACGCACACACATTCCTACCTGCAAGCTGTGCGGCCGATGAAGGTGCATGCGAGAATCAGAATCCCAAAGTTGCGATTCAAGTCGATGGCAATGCGGTTGTTGATAAAGGTGGAGTGGCTGATAGTGATGCTCTGACTGTTGTACAGGAATACCCTGTGGGAGGGGAGTTGGGAGGGGGGCGTGGGAACGGGGGAAGGTAAGGAGTTGCGAGGGAGGGAGGAAAGAGGAGTCGCGGTTGAGGTCGATGGCAATGCGGTTGTTGATGAAGGTGGAGTGACCGATGGTGATGCTCTGGCTGTTATACAGGAATACGCTGGGGGCAGGGGAAGTGGGGGGGGGGAAGGTTGAGAGCGGGGGTTTGGGAACGGGGGAAGGTGTGGGGTTGGGAGGGAGGGTGGATAGAGTTGCGGTTCAGGTCGATGGCAATGCGGTTGTTGAGGAAGGTGGAGTGACCGATGGTGATGCTCTGACTGTTATACAGGAATACGCTGGGGGGGGTGGGGAGTTGGGAGGGGGGTGTGGGAACGGGAGTGTGGGAACGGGAGAAGGTAAGGAGTTGCGAGGGAGGGAGGAAAGGGGAGTTGCGGTTGAGGTCGATGGCAATGCGGTTGTTGATGAAGGTGGGAAGGTGTGAGGCGAAAAGAGGGGGAAAAGAGGAGAGAGGGGGAAGGGAAGGCAGAGTGGATGGATAAAGGTGTGTCCCACGGTGATGCTCTGGCTGTTGTACAGGAACACGCTGGTGGGAAGGGGTGAGGCGAAAAGAGGGGGAAAAGAGGAGAGAGGGGGAAGGGAAGGCAGAGTGGATGGATAAAGGTGTGTCCCACGGTGATGCTCTGGCTGTTGTACGGGAACACACTGCTGGGGAGGGGGAGGTTTGGGTGAGGGAGAAGGGATAGTAGGCATCAGCAGTAACAGAAGGGACAGTAGGCATGAGCAGTAACAGAAGGGATAGCAGGCTGCAGGTGCAGCAACCGCAGCAGCAGCAGCAACGAGGGCAGTAGACACAGCAGCCACAGGAGAAAAATCAGCAGCGGCGGCGGCGGCGGCAGCAGCGGCGGCAACGGCAACAGCAGCAGCAGCAACGAGGGCAGTAGATACAGCAGCCACAGGAACAAATGCAGCAGCAGCAGCAGCGGCGGCAGCAGCGGCAGCAGTGGCGGTGGCAGCGGCAGCAGCAGCAGCAGCAGCAGCAACGAGGGCAGTAGATACAGCAGCCACAGGAGCAAAAGCAGCGGCGGCGGCGGCAATGGCGGCAACGGCAACAGCAGCAGCAGCAACAGCAGCAGCAGCAACGAGGGCAGTAGACACAGCAGCCACAGAAACAAAAGCAGCAGCGGCGGCGGCGGCGGCAATAGCAGCAGCAACAGCAGCAATGCTCACCCAACGGGGTTGCTGTAGATGAGAGAGTGAGATATGCGCACCTGAGCATGGGGAGGGGAGGGGATGGGTGATGGGATGGAAAGAGGGGAGAGGGGAGGAGTGAATAGAGGTGGAAGAAGTACGTTATCACATGTGTACATTGACTGGCGTTGACTGGCATTGACTTACTTGAATTGATTCTCTTCCCTTCCCTCTCGAGGGAAACATCGGACAGTGCGCCGTGGGGGTAGGTGCGGAGGCCAAAGAGGGCGTTGGAGTGAAGCAAATTGCCATCTTGTGCTAGCATTGACTAGTGTTGACTGTCGTTGACTGACACTGACTGTCTTTTTTCACTGGCATTGACTTACTTGGATTGATTCTCTTCCCTTCCCTTTGGAGGGAAACATGGGCCGTGCACCATGCGGGTAGGTGCGCAGGCCAAAGAGGGCGTTGGAGTGAATCACGTTGCCGTGGAAGACACCAAAGGCGAGCGTCACAGGAGAGAGGGTTCTCCAGAAGGGAAGGTTCCTAGAGAGTCCCCTCATGTGCTTGTTTAGCTCTAGCCAGAAGCTGTAATGGGAGGGTAGAGGACAAGGGGAGGAAGGCAGGGAGGGAGGCCAAAGAGGGCGTTGGAGTGAAGCACGTTGCCTTGGAAGACCCCAAAGGCAAGCGTCACAGGGGAGAGGGTTTTCCAGAAGGGGAGGTTCCTAGAGAGCCCCCTCATGTGGTTGTTGAGCTCCATCCAGAAGCTGGGAGGATAGGTGGTGAAGGGCGAAGGGAGGGAGGCCAAAGAGGGCATTGGAGTGAAGCACGTTGCCTTGGAAGACCCCAAAGGCGAGCGTCACAGGAGAGAGGGTTTTCCAGAAGGGGAGTTGCTTGGACAGACCCCTCATGTGCTTGTTTAGCTCCATCCAAAAGCTGAGGGGAGGGGATGGGGGGGAGGGATGTGAGGAGGGGTGGGGACGGAGGACGGAAGTGCAGAGAAAGGCGCAGCAAGGGAGGGAGAGGCCAAAGAGGGCATTAGAGTGAAGCACGTTGGCTGTGAAGACCCCAAAGGCGAGCGTTACGGGGGAGATGTGCTTCCAGAAGGGCAGGCTCCTGGACAGACCCCTCATGTGCTTGTTGAGCTCCATCCAGAAGCTGAGAGACGGGATGAGAAGGGGTGAAAAGGGGGGAAGATGCGGAGGCCAAAGAGGGCGTTGGAGTGAAGCACGTTGCCTGTGAATACTCCGAAGGCGAGCGTCACAGGAGACAGTTTATTCCAGAAGGGCAGGCTCCTGGACAGACCCCTCATGTGCTTGTTGAGCTCCATCCAGAAGCTGTGGGGGACGGGATGAGGAGAAGAGAGAAGGAACAAGGCATGAGAGCGTCACAGGGGACAGGTCCTTCCAGAAGGGGAGGCGCCTAGAGAGTCCCCTCATGTGCTTGTTTAGCTCCATCCAGAAGCTGAGAGGGAGGGGTGTTGGTGGGGGAATACAGAGGAGGGATGGGGCAGGCAGAAGGGGAGAGAGCCTGAGATGGAAAGAGGGGAGGAGAAAGAGTAGAGGACAAGGGGGGAAAGGCAGGGAGAGGAGGCGAAAGAGGGCGCTGGTTGACCAAAAGGTTAAGGCGAAGACCGTCACGTCACGGTGGAGAGGTTTTTCCAAAAGGTTAAGGCGCTTAGACAGACCCCCTTTTCTTCTCTATACTCACCCGGAATCTTCTGAACCGGCAGCCACTTTTCCCACGAAGCTGTTGAAGGGCGTGGCAAGGCAAGACGCAGTGATGAACCAACAAGTTTTACATTACCTAAGACCACACTGCACCGCACTGAACCGCACCCTATACTCACCCGGAATCTTCTGAACCGGAAGCCACTTTTCCCACGAAGCTGTGGGTGTGGCGAGGCAAGAAGCAGTGATGAACCAGCAGGGCCTACAGCACAGGAAACCACACTGCACCGCATTACACTTCACTTCACCACACTGCAACGCACTGCACTGCACTCACCCTGAATCCTTCGACCCAGCGGCAACGTTCCCCACGAAGCTATTGACAGGCGTGGCAAGGCAGGAGGCAGTGGCGAATCAGAAGGGTCTATGATACAGAAACCACACTACACGGCACTACACCACCCTATACTCACCCAGAATCTTCTGAACCGGCAGCCACGTTCCCCACAAAGCTATTGAAGGGCGTTGCGAGCCAAAACGTGGACGGCTTGTCGTCCGTTTGCTGATCGAACTTCGCATGAGAGGCAGGTGGAATAAGGCGTTGCACTGGAGTGGGGAAGAGAGGACAGGGTAGAGGGGACAGGAGAGAGGAGGTGCGAAGCTGTTGAAGGACGTGGCGAGCCAAAACGTGGACGGCTTGTCGTCTGTCTGTCGATCAAACTTCGCATGAGAGGCGGGTGGAATAAGGCGTTGCACTGGAGTGGGGGAGAGGGGACAGGGGAGAGGGGACAGGAGAGAGGAGGTGAGAAGCTATTGAAGGGCGTGGCGAGTCAAAACGTGGACGGCTTGTCGTCTGTCTGCCGGTCGAATGTAGCCCGAAGGAGGGGAAGGGAAGGGGAGGGAAGGGGGAGGGATTAGGTACAGAGGTGGGAAGGGCCAAAACGTGGATGGCTTGTCGTCTGTCTGCCGGTCGAATCTAGCCCGAAGGAGGGGAAGGGAAGGGGAGGGAAGGGGGAGGGATTAGGTACAGAGGTGGGAAGGGCCAAAACGTGGATGGCTTGTCGTCTGTCTGCCGGTCGAATCTAGCCCGAAGGAGGGGAAGGGAAGGGGAGGGAAGGGGGAGGGATTAGGTACAGAGGTGGGAAGGGCCAAAACGTGGATGGCTTGTCGTCTGTCTGCCGGTCGAATCTAGCCCGAAGGAGGGGAAGGGAAGGGGAGGGAAGGGGGAGGGATTAGGTACAGAGGTGGGAAGGGCCAAAACGTGGATGGCTTGTCGTCTGTCTGCCGGTCGAATCTAGCCCGAAGGAGGGGAAGGGAAGGGGAGGGAAGGGGGAGGGATTAGGTACAGAGGTAAGAAGGGCCAAAACGTGGATGGCTTGTCGTCTGTCTGGTGGTCGAATTTGGCCAGGGAGGCCGGGGAGATAAGGCGGTGCACTGAAGGGGGAGGGGAGAATGGGGGAGTGAGAGTGTGGGGTAGGAGAGGGAGGAGGGATCGGGAATGGGAGGGGAAAAGTGGTGGGACCAGCGTGGCAAGCCAGAACGTGGATGGCTGGTTGTCAGTCTAGCGGTCAAACTTGGCAATGGAGGCCGGGGGGATGAGGCGATGGGCCGAGGGGGAGGGAGGGGGAAGAGAACGGAGGGGAGAGAAGAGTTGGGGAGGCGAGGGTGTGGTGTGGGTGTGAGGGGTACAGAGGTGGGAAGGGCGTGACGAGCCAAAACGTGAAAGCTCTGCCTCAGCATGCATGCTCACACACACACACACAAACACACACACACACACACACACACACACGCACACAACCACCACACTGCAACACTCAAACACACACTCACCAGCGCGTGTGCTCATGCCCAGGTTGCGAATAAACGTGTTCCTCGCCTCACTTCCCTCCTCCAACACAAAGCAGTGCCCCCTCGTCTCGTACGCCACGTTGTCTGCTATAGTTACCCGTGATGTAGCATGTACCACGATGCACCGCTGCACAAGGGGAACACATAAAGCAGTGGAATACAGAGGGGACGCATGGAGCAGGAGTGCCCCCTCGTCTCATACGCCATGCTGTCTCCTATAGTAACGCGTGATGTCACATGTACCACTATGCAGCACTGCAGAGGTGGAAAGGGGAGGGAGAGGAGAAAGAACGGAATACAAAGGTAATGCAAAGCTCTTAATGTGCTAAACAGCTCCATTCGCGTCATACACAGCTTCTCGATCTTGGTTCTTCCTTGATCTTGGTTTTTCTTGACCCCTCTTGGCCGCTAGAGGCAAATGCCCCTAGCGTTACACCCGAACAACACGATGAGGTGAGGGTCATTCGTGCGGGGCCTGTTTGGGAGAGGGGATGGACGGTGAGAAGGTCAGAATTATTGCTGTAGCTGTAATAATTCTGATATTTTCAACCGTCCCTCCCTTCTCCAAAACACGGCCCCACGAATGGCCCCCACCTCATCGCAGTGTGCGGGTGTAACGCTAGGGGCATTTGCTTCTAACGGCCAAGAGGGGTCAAAAACAACTAAGATCAAGGAAGAACCAAGATTGAGTAGCTGTGGATGGCGCGAATGGAGTTGTTTAGCACTTCAGGAGCTTTAATGCGAAGGCATGAAGCAGCAGTGCCCCCTCGTCTCATATGCCACGTAGCCAGCGTGTGTAACACGTGATGTGGTATGCACCACTATAGCGCTACAGGGGAAGGCAAAGGGATTGGTGGAATGCAGGGAAAAAACAGTATAGAAGACACACATGAAGCAGCAGTGCCCTCTCGTCTCATACGCCACGTTGCCTGCAGTCGCACACATGCGATTCTTCCTTCCCTTTCCAGTTCACATCAATCGCCTGATCCCCTTCTCTCCCTCTCTGCCCCACTAACCTTTTTGGACTCCAAAGTGACGTTCTTGCGAACAGAGAACAATGGGTTTAGGCTCCCAACACACACACACACACACACACACACACACACACAATTTCTATCCATTCAATACGTAACCGTCTCCCTCTTCCTCTCACCTGCTTCGACTCCAGAAACACGTCCTTCTCAACCAAGAATCGTCGTTTCACGTCACCACACAGGTGAAAGTGCAACGTGTACCTCCCCAGAGTGCTCTTCCTCACTCTCCTCCACCCACTCTCCTTCTCACCTGTTTCGACTCCAGAATTACGTTCTTGCGAACCAGGAACCGTCGCTTCGCGTTGCCGCACACGTGAAAGTGAAGGGGGTATTTTCCCAAGCTGCCTTGATTCCCCAACCCCTTGAACTGCACGCCGTGAATCGTCTGAGGCGTGCGAGTCATGTAGACCATAAAATGGCCACCTGTGCGGGAGTGCATGAGCAGAGAGAGAGGGAAACACAGTGTATCGCACACGTGAAAGTGAAGGGGTTACTTTCCCAGACTGCCTTGATTGCCAAGCCCCTTGAACTGCACACCGTGGATTGTCTGGGGCGTGCGAGTCATGTAGACCATGAAATGGCCGCCTGAGAGTGGAGGAGGAAGGGGGGGAAATGCTGGTTTATGGGCCAGGAGCGTGGGGCAGGAAATCAACCAAGCTGCCCTGATTGCCCAGCCCCTTGAACTGCACGCCATGAATTATTTGGGGCGTGCGAGTCATGTAAACCATGAAATGACCACCTGTGCGGGAGTGCATGAGCAGGGAGAGAAAGAATCACAGTGTATTACACACTCATGCTAGTGAAGGGGGTACTTGCCCAAGCTGCCCTGATTGCCCAAGCCCCTTGAACTGCATGCCGTGAATCGTCTGGGGCGTGCGAGTCATGTAGACCATGAAATGGCCACCTGTGCGGGAGTGCACGAGCAGAGAGAGAGGGAAACACAGTGTATCACACACTCATGCTAGTGAAGGGGGTACTTTCCCAAGCTGCCTTGATTGCCAAGTCCCTTGAACTGCACGCCGTGTATAACTTGGGGCGTGCGAGTCATGTAGACCATAAAGTGACCGCCTGAGAGGAGGAGGGAGGGGAGGAAGGGAGGAAGAGGAAAGATTATGAACCACACTCGTGAAAGTGAAGAAGGTACTTTCCCAAGCTGCCCTGCATCCCCAGCCCCCTGAACTGCACTCCGTGAATCGTCTGGGGCGTGCGAGTCATGTAAACTATAAAGTGACCGCCTGGTGGAGGAGGGAGTGGGGGACAGGGGTTGGAAAGGGAGGAGTGAGACACACTCATGCAAGTGCACGGGGTATCTTCCCACAGTGCCCTGCTTGCTTTCCCAGCCCCTTGAACTGCACGCCGTGAATCGTCTGGGGCGTGCGAGTCATGTAGACCATGAAGTGACCGCCTGCTGAGGAGTGTGGGGGGAGGGGGTGGGGAGGGCATAAGGCAAGAGAGTGAGGCAGGCCGCCCCAAGCTGTCTTGATTCCTTCCCCAGCCCCTTGAACTGCACGCCGTGAATAACTTGGGGCGTGCGAGTCATGTAGACCATAAAGTGACCGCCTGTGCGGGAGTGCATGAGCAGAGAGAGAGGGAAAGACAGTGTATCACGCACTCATGGTAGTGAAGGGGGTACTTTCCCAAGCTGCCCTGCGTCCCCAGCCCCCTGAACTGCACGCCGTGAATCGTCTGGGGCGTGCGAGTCATGTAAACCATGAAGTGACCGCCTGAGAGGGGGAGGGAGGGGAGGAAGGGAGGAAGAGGAAAGATTATGAACCACACACATGAAAGTGAAGAAGGTACTTTCCCAAGCTGCCCTGCATCCCCAGCCCCTTGAGCTGCACGCCGTGAATCGTCTGGGGTGTGCGAGTCATGTAGACCATGAAATGGCCACCTGTGCGGGAGTGCATGCGCAGAGAGGGAGGGAGACACAGTGTATCACACACTCATGCTAGTGAAGGGGGTATTTTCCCAAGCTGCGCAAGCACTATCTCATCCCTGTCACAATCTCACCGGCAGGCCGGCACTCTCACCATCATACTGGTAGGGAGCCTGTTCGTGCACTTTTTGAATCACAATGTTGCGAGTCAGCAGCGCCACCTCAACAAAACCTCAACTACAACTCAACTTCTCCCTCTTCCTACCTACCGTCATACTGGTAGGGAGCCTGTTCATGCACCCCTTCAATCACAATGTTTCGAGTCAGCAGTGCCACCTCTGCCCGAACGTCCACCCACGGTGCCTCCACCCAGTAAATCCAAGTCAGCTTCTCCCTCCCTCCATCCCTACCATCACATTGGTACGGCGGCTGTTCGTGCACCCCTTGAATCACAATGTTGCGCGTCAGCAGCGCCACCTCCGCTCAAACGTCCACTGAGCCGCCAACCAAACCCACCCTCCGCTCAGTACACTCAACTCAACTTCTCCCTCCCTCCTCCCTCCTCCCTCCATCCATCCTACCTACCATCATACTGGTACGGCGCCTGCTCGTGCACCCCTTGAATCACAATGTTCCGAGTCAGTAGCGCCACCTCGGCTCGAATGTCCACCCACAACTCAACTTCTCCCTCCTCCTACCTACCGTCATACTGATATGGAGCCTGTTCGTGCACCCCCTGAATCACAATGTTCCGGGTCAGCAGCGCCACCTCCGCCCGAACATCCGCTGAGCCTCCACTCAATGCACCCAAGTCAGCTTCTCCCTCCCTCCTACCTCCTCTCACCATCATATTGGTACGGAGGCTGTTCGTGCACTCCTTGAATCACAATGTTGCGAGTCAGCAGCGCCACCTCTGCCCGAACGTCCACCCACAGTGCCTCCACCAACCAGTACACTCAAGTCTTTTTCTCCCTCCATCCTACCCACCATCATACTGGTAGGGCGGCTGTTCGTGCACTCCTTGAATCACAACGTTGCGAGTCAGCAGCGCCACCTCCGCTCGAACATCCACTGTGCCTCCACTCAATAGATGTTCAATCCACTCAATGCACTCAATCAACTCAGCTTATATGAACTTAACTCAGCTTATCCCCCTCCATACAACCATCCCTCAATACAGTCACACACTCTTATCTCACCATCATACTGGTACGGCGCCTGTTCATGCACCCCTTGAATCACAATATTCCGGGTCAGCAGCGCCACCTCCGCCCGAACATCCACTGTGCCGCCAAACCCGTCCCTCACAGCATGCCTCTCCCCGTCGTGGGAGTGCTTCAGAGGGCGGTGCAGGGTTATCACACTGCTGTATCGGCCTGTTCTCCTCACTGCAAGGGGTGGAAGAGAAAGAGAAGTGAACGAGTCAGCAGAGCCACCTCGGCCCGAACATCCACTGTGCCGCCAAACCCGTCCCTCACAGCATGCCTCTCCCCGTCGTGGGAATGCTTGAGAGGGCGGTAGAGGGTTATCACACTGGTGGATGGGCCGGTTCTCCTCACTGCAAGAGGTGCGGGAGGAAAGAGAAAGAGAAGTGAACGGGTCAGCAGAGCCACCTCCACTCGAACGACCACGGTGCCGCCAAACCCGTCCCTCACGGCGTTCCTGTCCCCGTCATGCGAGTGCTTCAGAGGGCGGAGCAGAGAGATCACACTGGTGAATGGGCCGGTTCTCCTCACTGCAAGGGGTGTGGGGAAAGAGAAAGAGAAGTGAACGGGTCAGCAGCGCCACCTCGGCTCGAACGTCCACTGTTCCGCCAAACCCGTCCCTCACAGCATTTCTCTCCCCGTCGTGGGAGTGCTCCAGTAATGATTGCTCTTTCGGCGTTATTCAGATCAGGCGTTGTGCTCGCCACTGCAATCACCCCCCCTCCCTCCCCCTCTCCTCTCCCCTTCAGTTATGATTTCTCGCTCACATCCAGTAATGATTGCCTTTTCGGCATTATTCAGATCCGGTGTCGTGCTCGCGACTGCGATCACGCCCCCTCGGGGCCACGCGCTGACGTCAGCGTCTACAGTGATCTGCCGCGCGCCCTTATTGGCCCGTTGTGCCAGCCGGACCCACGCGGGCGTGCTGGCGCCACCTGGCATGCCGTGGAAATCCACCTGACCGCCCACCTGAGAGCAACAGAGGGGGGGTGGACAAGAAAAGGCATGCTGGAGCCACCACCTGGCGTGCTGTGAAAATCCACCTGGCCGCCCACCTGAGAGCAACAGAGGAGGGGGATTGGCATGAAATGAAACCCATGGCATGGGTGATTGAGTAGGCGTGCTGGCGCCACCTGGCATGCCGTGGAAATCCACCTGACCACCCACCTGAGAGCAACAGAGAGGGGTTGGGTTGGAATGAAACTCAATCCAACAATTTGTGCACCATGCGTTTACTAGGAGACCCAAGAAACACGACGGAACCAGCAGCAGCAGTGCACTCATCACAAATGACAGCAGTGCACTCACTCACCACCACAAACGCCTTGTGCCCGAGGCTGCGAGGGTGGGCAGGATTGGCCGGAGCTGGCTGCCGAAGCAAGAACCCGGACCGGCCAAACCTGGGAAATGATGAAATCAGGACCGCACAATACAGGAGATCAGGGGGAGAAGAATAATCAGCTCTCTTCGAAAGAAATGTTGCTAGCAGGCAGGGTGGACAACAAAACGAGCTGAAAGGCTTGGCCGAACCTGAGGTTTGGGACGAGCGTGAAGGTGGCTTGGGAGTGGAAGTGGTGCTTCTCTGTGCCCACAGATAGGCGGCCGTACACTATAATGAACCGGGCCTGGACGCTTATAGAGGGTACAAATGGGTTGTCCAGCAATCTGTCATTGGTCAATGGGATAAACCAGACATACAGCAAGGGGAGGCAGATGTTGATATTCCCAAGAGAAAGCAAGAGAAAACAGAAATCACACAGTTTCAGTTTCACACAGTAGTGTTTTTAGCAATGTATATGGACAAGGTGGTGATATTCTGATAATGTTCTTTCCGATATTGTACATAATGTATCAAACTAAACAGAACTTTAGTGTCATGTACATCAAACCATAACACCACTGCGCACCTCAGCCAGCCCTTCACGACGAGCAATCCCAGGCTGACACGTGGCACGTCCAGAAGCACAGCCCTGCCACATGGGATCGTCACATTGGCCCCCACGCTCGCCCCGATTCCTGGAACCCTCCCCCCCATGAACGCCCACGTGGAAGCGCGGCTCCACAGTAGCCAGGCTGGAAGGGAGGGGGACGTAACGGGAGGGGGGGGAAGCGGCACGGGATGGGGCATGGCTGGGGGGTGGGGTTGAGATGGTAACGGGAGAACCTTCCCTCTCATAAACGCTCACGTGGAAGCGCGGCTCCACAGCTTCCAGGCTGAAAGGGAGGAGTGGGGAAAGGAAGAGGGGGCACGCAGGAGGGGGTTTGGCAGGGAGGTGGGGGGGGGAGGGACGGAGGGGGATGATCCTTCTTCCCCATGAACGCCCACGTGGAAGCGCGGCTCCACAGCAGCCAGGCTGAAAGGGGGAGAGGGGGACGTGGCGGGAGGGGGGGGAGGGGGAAGGTGAGGGGGAGGGGAGCGAGAGAGGGGGAATGAACCTTCCCCCCCATGAACGCCCACGTGGAAGGGCGAGGGGGAGGAAGAGGGGAAGGGAAAGGAGGGCGGGGGATGGACCATATACATACTAAAAAAAACAAACAGTGCGCCCCCCCATGAACGCCCACGTGGAAGCGCGGCTCCACAGCAGCCAGGCTGAAAGGGGGGTGGAGGGGGAAGGGGGAAGGGGAAGGGGAGAGGGGGGGGGGAGGGGGGGGATGAACCTTCCCCCCCATGAACGCCCACGTGGCAGCTTGGCTCCACAACAGCCAGGCTGGAAGAGGGGGGGGGGAGAGGGCACGACCGGGGGGAAAAGGGCGAGGGTGGGGGGGATGGGGGGGTGGGGGGAGGAAATTTGTGGGGAGCGTGTAGGGGGCGAACGGGTGTGGGGGAGACGGAGGAAGAGGGGGAGGGGAGGGAGGGAGGGGGATGAACCTTCCCCTAATGAACGCCGACGTGGAATTTCGGCTCCACAGCTGCCAGGCCGGGGGGCAGAGGGGGAAGCGGGTGGGCGGAGGGAGGAGGGGGAAAGGGTGGGGATAAGGAGGGAGCGGGTGGGGAGGTTGGGGGGGAATGGCGGTGGGAGGATGAAAGGGGGAAGGGGGATGAGAGGGGGAAGGGGCTGCTCGGTTCCACAGCTGCCAGGCTGGAGGGCGACGCAGGAAGGGGGGGTAAGAGTCAGTTACGCTGCCGCACCTCTGGGTTCTTTGCGTGGTAGCGGCCCGCAGGCCGGGGTGTAAGAGTCAGTTACGCTGAAAGGCGCCGCGGCTGCGCCTTGAACGCCGTCGAATCGCGCGTCGCGGAAAGCGGGCGGCGACAGCAGAACGAAAAGCAGCAGCAGCGGCAGCGCGAAAACCGGGTTTGTTCGGATGGGCAGTTGACGGCGCGTCAGTGAACAGCCGGCCAAAAGACGGGCCGCCATGGCGTCGCGTAAGGGTAATAATAGCGTAAGGAGCTCGTGCGACGTCGTCGTCGCAGAGGGAGGGACGGCGGCGAATGCTGCGACGGCGGTTGCGAAGCGAAACGAAGCGACTGGAAGCGAAGCGAAAGACGCGGCGGCGATGTTAACGAGGAGTGACTTGTAACATGCTTGCACCCATGCTGTTGTGTTCTCGTTCGACTCATGCGTCGCTCGATCGAACTGCGACGACTGCTCCGACGATTGCGACGCGAAAACGATCAGAAGCGATGGAAATCGCAACGAAAGGACGCGGCGATGTTAACGGGGAGTGACTAATATGCTTGCACCCATGCTGTTCCCCTCTCGATCGCCCGCGGCTCGAAACACTCCAAGGTTAGAGCAAGTATAGACGCACTCCTTTTAGAATAATGACACAATGTAAAGTCAAACGCTAACGCAACGGCGTGCTGAAGGTGTCATCTCAGCGTCAACTGCCAACGCAACTCAACGCTAGAATTAGAACAAGTATTCGCGGGATTAGGCTGCAGAGTAACTTCTCTATAGATTTCTTCTCAATAGCCTAGAACCACAACAACTATTAGCGGGATTAAGATGCAAGAAACATAGCCTAGAACCACAAATTAGACGCCTATGCGACTCGGCAGACCAAGTTATGCCTCGACTGTGCAATGAATCGCCCTTCCAATTATTTTCACCCTGTTGGACACTCAACATCCAGGTAACCACCTCCTAACTTTGTCCCACTCTATCCTCTCGTTTCGTGCATTTTCGTTCGCCCAAAGGCGCAGGTCGTGCTTCCTTCAAGGCGCCTCCGTCGCTATTTGGGTGGCAGAAGCGCGACGGCGGCCAGTCAAATCGACGATATCGTTGCACCCGCTGCTAGACAACGAAACATACAGAAGCTGGGTGATAAAACAGAAACATTTTGCATATGTTTTGAACTAGCATGATGAATGCACATATAACAAAGCAGCATTCTTGTGATGCCTTGGACTGATTTAGTTGTATTTCTTGCTCTTGGGATTATTCACAGATTCAAAGACCGAAATTTCTGCAGCTTTCAATGCCGGTTTTAAACCAAGAACCATGCTTGTGCATGGTTCCTCATTGACAGAATGACTAATTAGAAATCTAATATGAATTTCCTCACTTAATTTCACATAATGTATCTCTGCACTGCAGAAGCTGGAATCCTGTTCTGAAACAGAGTTCATGGTTATAGCAGGAATATCCGATTGAGTTCCGGTTCCGGCGCCTTTTCCAAGTCACCACCATGCTACCCGGCGCCTCCAATGCCAGCCACGTCTTTTCCTGACGTGGCCCTTGTGCGTGGCGGCGAACGTCCACCAACATTCTCCTCATGGGAATTGTCACCTCCATCTTGGATGCTTTGCTTGCCCAACCATCCCCGCCGCAGCTTGTTCTCGAAATTCATAACCCTCGGGACTCTCGTTCCCATTCATCTTTACCGAACTGGAACGGACTGAACTCTGGTATATTTTGCTTCTATTCGACGCCACCTGCTCGGCGGAGGTCGTTGGTTGGAGACAAAGCCCGCCAAATCCAGATTTGGTACATTCCCGCTCGATTTCAAATTTCCCTTGCTTTGAACTGCCAAATCGCAGGCGATTCATTGCGCGTGCGTAGCCTCAGGGGTTTTCCAGCTGCTCGTTTGGGTGCTTTGCGATAAACTCCTGCGACGCGAAACTGGGCTTGACGCAATGTGAGGTGAGGGAAGGTGAGGCGACTCGGGCGAGGCCCCAGAACGGGCAGACCAACCACGCACACCACACGCTCGCAGTCACATGCACCCAACTGCCACCTACCTCCCACAAAGCTCGATCACACAAACCATCTTGAACGTCGTTCGGTGGTGCCCTTGGGTGCTCGCGATAAATTTCTGTGATGAATTTAGTTTCGAGCGTCTGAAGACTCGGCAAGGCGAGGAAAGACACCAAACGAAGCGTCGCACGGCAGGCTGCACTTGATCGCATCGCATTCGCCGCACGCACGCAGCTCATGACCACAAAATAGCGCTTGACCTCCAGCCCTTGATGGCCTAAATTGACAATCCGCGTGATAGAGCATTTGTGTGATTAGAGGCTTTATTTCACCGCCTAACAGCTCGTTTGCCTCCCTACCGAGCTTCAGCCCTTCACCAGAAGCCAATTTCACTGTTTCAAGTTACCTTCCCATTTTTCTGTTAATCGCCATGGATGCTACCGACCTATTGAGACCGAGCGCGCTCGTTGAGCCATCGCTCAACCTTCAAGACACTCCTCCGCACATTTCCAAATTTCCGGACCGTTTTTCCAAGTCGCTTCCAGAAGCTTCGACACCTGCATTCCTCCTGGACGCACTTCACGAAGGGAGGCCTGTATTTGCGCCGCGAGACACGGAAACAAGCGCGGAGACAAACGATGGGATGCGTTCTACGTGCCGTCACGCAAGTCTCAGAACTAGGCTTGTAATGTCCCCGACCAAGACGCGGTTGAAGAGGACACGAAGTTGCACGTTGATCACAGCGCTTGCGCATATTGAAGGTAACGGACGATTTTTTTTATTACGATCCTAGATTCCTATTATTAATGTTCTCTACCTGTAGGCGCGACTCTCCCTCATCAGCACGTCAGAATTTGGCTCCTGTAGCAATTTTTAATATGTGTGGAATAGCTCACGGATTTTTCTGTTGCCTCCCCTGATTTGCGTGCAGTTGAGTCTCTAATATCGGGGATGAACATTGTCACAAAAACTCCGGAGAACGCAGTCCGCAAATCTCTTCCCATGGGGGCAGATCCGCTGCGCATAGCGCTGCTCCGCTGCCCTTGCACTCCGCGGAAACCCCAGCGCCCCTCGAAATTCCGCCTCAACGTCGCATGCATCCCAACTCGACTCATGCGTCGCCTCGTTTTTTGACAAATCACTGCCTCAACTTCGTACTTGTGCGCGCGTCCACTTGCAAAGGAAATGGATTTCCGCTGTTCAATCTGCCAGCACTCGGTCACAGCGCGGTGACCCTTGGCATGGACGAGGTTCAAGAAACCACGGTCCACCGCATCAAACCATTCTGCGAACATCTACACACCCGGTGTTCTGGGATCATCACGTCCTCGAGGCCAGACCCTCTCCCTGCACTTACTTGCTTGGCGGGTCTCTTCACAGGACTTCGCGGAATTCCCAAGGCTCGGTAACAGCAATCTATAAGGTGCTCCTAGTTTCTGCATGCGTGTCTCTCAGCGGGCCATGGCATGCTCAACGTTAATCTCGAGTGTTCATCTCAGCTCAGAGCATGCAGTGTCAAAGCGGCTTGCCAATGACATTTTCGATGGGGCTTGCGGGGAAACGGGATGGGGAACGACTTGCTCGCTGTCATTATGAATGCGGGAATATTTTTGAAGTCTTCCTCTGATGTGGCTCAATCTACCCTCTGATGGAACTGCGCTTATCACCCCAAATCTGGTACTTCAGTAGGAACAAACATGCATCAAGGCATTATCTGCACAACACACTACACTTCAAGCAGCATAATGCAATCTACTCAAATACGGTATATTCTTCCAAGATGGTGCAGTGGAAGCGGGAGTGATCCATCCAAACATGCCATTAATCTTCTCCTCTACTATCACTCCCGCTTCCACTGCAACATCCCAACAACCTGCACTTCCCTCCACCCTTCTCAATCAACCAAATCAACCAACTGTAGGTGTGTCCCTCCCAAGACTTCTCTTTAAATGCCGGCCGGGAGGTATTCTGAGGGATCTCAAACGTCAGTCCCACTTCCTTTTTAGCCACCTCATACTCACAGTTCCAGCTTCTAGTACCGACGGGAAGGTGGGGAGGAAGGGGCTGGAGCAACCTTCCTCAAAAGAAGTCTTCCAAGCAGCGCTCTTGCTGGCTCTCTCACTCCTGCTGCCTGTGCTGCTGCTGGTCCTCCTTGTTCTGCTGCTGCTGTTCCGGTTTTCCCTGCTGCTGCTGGCACAGGAGGGGGTGGGGGAGCCCCCGCAATACCACTGCTTGCACTGGTGCTTACAGAATTGCGTGCAGTGAATTCGTGATCACTGTAGTCATCATCGTTTCCGTCCTCGTTATTAGCACCCCTGCTGCTGGGAATATACGACTGGAATCTGCTGCTACCATCACTGACGGTGCCGGAGTTTCCACTACTGCTGCTGCCGCTGCTGCCTATGCTGGGGGCGTAGAAGCTTGGATCGAAAAATGGATCCGCGGCGGAGAAGGACGATTCGATGCCGCCCAGTGGGGAGACTGACAGGGGCGGCAGAGACGCCGTGGCAACAGAGCAGCCTCTGTTGGTGGGATGGCAAGGGAGGGAAGGGAAAGGGCATGAGAGGGGGAGAAGAAAGGGAAAGGGGGAGATGAGGTGTAGACGAGGAGTGAGAGGGGGAGGAGAAGCTGTTTTTAGAAACGAATAAAAGGTGCACGAGGGGGACTCACGAGTCTGCCGAGCAAGCAGTGCTGGTGCTGTTATCGAGATCCAATACAGCCAGCCCCCTGCCAGTGCTGTTCGCCCCAGCATGCAACCCCACACACACTGACGACACACAATCAAAGTGCTTATACTCACGAGTCTGCGGAGCAGGCAGTGCTGGTGTTGTTATCCAGATCCAACACAGCAAGCCCCCTGCCAGTGCTATTCGCCCCAACATCCAACTGCAGTCTCGCCTTCCCGTCCCCGCACACATACTCCTTATAAACCCTCGTTGCATCCACAGAAGAGCACGGCACTGTAGGCACGTTCGTTATCCACTTGCTTTGCGGATTCGGTGAGTCGATGATCAGGGTAACCGTGCCGGAACACCCCTGAAAATCGAACGCCAACAGCCGCATGTTACTCGGGTAAAAGTCTTTGTTAGTTTCCGCCGGAACCACCTCTATCCGGTAAGTGTATCCGGCTAAAAGCGACGCGGTTACAAACCGGGTTTTTTTACCCGTGCCCGCCGGCTTGCTGTTTGGGTCATCGTTATCTGTTCCATACGCGAAAAACTCGGTTCCGTCATCCGTTCGAGTGATTTTCATGTAGGAGTAGGGCTGCGAAACCGTGCTCGGAAGATTCGCCATCCCGTTTGGTCGAATTCCATACTCGTCGTATTGAAATCCAATTGTCCTGTAGCAGACGGAGGTGCATGCATAGGCCGAAAAGGCGCTCTGGAAGTTGCAGTTTGCTGCCCGGACGGCGGCGGGCGGCAGGATGGGATCGTAGTTGGCAACGGCGTAGCCTGATTGGCCGAGGAGCGACCCGTCGAGATCCCGGATGGCGTAGAATCGTGCCAGTAGACCCCCCCGGGGGGGCGTGCCTGAGGGCTGATGATTTAAGGGGGAGAAGGGGGGAGGGGGAGGAACAGGGGAGGGAAGGTGGTTGAGAGATGAGTGTTTGGGCTCAGATGCTCAACAACCCTGTAGGTTGAGTTTTGAGTTGAAAATCAAAGGTCAAAGCGAAAACAAAGCAACTTACGGGATTGGGTGTGGCCCAGAACTTGTTAGTCCCTGACCCAAACGACAATCCCTGCGGAAAGAGCAGAGGTGGGGACAAAGGAAGAGTGGAGAGGCCATGTGGTGAGACGTTTTATATATATCACGTTCTCTCTCATGTGGTGGTGAACGAAAGTGGCGAGACCAAGCACCTTCGCATTCGTGGTTTTTAGCAAACGCAACTGTAACGAGCAGTACCTTAACGAACATGGCAGTGTTCCAGTATCCGCCCGCCCTATTGGCCACAAGGGCGATCCCAAAGCTGCTGCTGCTGCACGTGCCAAAGCGGTGGAAGCTGGAGGAAAGGGGAAACGGGTGGGACGACGGAGGGTGAAAGGGGGGAAGGGAGAGAGGCACGGAGAGTAGAGATCAAACAAACTTAAGAGCTTATAACAAACGAGCACACACGGACTTGTGAGGACTACTGTATGGCATTTGGGTACAGGTAATCCCGAGGATTGCACTGACTCGACACGATCTCAGGCCCTGCCCTATGACAAGCAGACTTACGAGGAGTTTTGGATGCCGTCGGGAAAAAGGTTGTCCCCCGGGTTGCTCTGACTCAGCGTGATTTGCACCAGTAATGGAGTACCTTGTAACGAGAACAAGAGAACTCACGAGCTGTTTTGGATGCCGTTCGGAAACAGGTTGTCCCCCGGGTTGCTCTGACTCAGCGTGATTCCCACCGGCGCATCAAACGTCCCCACCTTCTTGTCAAGCGATACCACAGGGTCACTCCCACTGCCCCCATCTGCTGCCCCAGGATCTGTCGCCCCCCCCGTGTCCTGAAACGCCTTATTATAAAGATCCCCCTTATTGGTATAAGCCGGAGATGTGCCGCTTCCATTGCTGCTTCCACTGTTGCTGCCGCTGTTGCTGCCGCTGTTGCTGCCGCCGCTGCTGCCGCTGGTGCTGGCCAGAACATCATCATAGAGATCGAGAGGGCCGAGAGAGGCTGACAGCGTGAAAGGCTCCCACAGAGTGGTGGGGCCGGCGAGGGCGTCTGCGCCTGCGGCTGCTGCTGCTGTTATGGCCTTGGCTTGCTGAGTGGAGGTGCTGTATGGGGGAGGGTGGGCACGGGAATGGAAGCGGCAAGGGTGGTAGTGGGAATCAAGAGGCTGACAGAGTGAAAGGCTCCCACAGAGTGGTGGGGCCGGCGAGGGCGTCAGAGCCTCCTGCTGCTGCTGCTGCTCCCACGCCCCTGGCTTGCTGAGTGGAGGTTCTGTAAAGGAAGAGGGGAATGGGAAGGGGATAGTCTGTTATATAAGTACCGAGGGCTGCTGCTGCTGCTGGTGGCGGTGAAATTTGTGCACAAGGGGAGGAGGATCAGCCACTCTCCCACTCATCCAGTCACTCACGGGTGGGGAGAGGGAGCACTCACGGGCAGGAGTCGGAGGTTCGGCCGATGAAGCGGCAGCCCTTGGCTTGCACACCGGCATTGCGGCTCAAGTCGATGCCGATGCCATTGTCCAGAAACACCCCGTTCTCCACTATCAGCCGCTCGCTGTTGAAAAAGAAGATGCTGCATTGAAGGGGAACAATAAGAGAAAAAAAGAAGGGAAAAAACAGAGGTGTATAGCTATAATGAGGGTGTGAGGGATGACGAGGATATGAAGGACAAGTAAGCCAGAAAGGAAGTGAAATGGCAGGAAGTAAGGAAGCTCAATCACTTGTCTTTGTTTTGGTAGACGAGGAGCAATAAATGCCAACTCACTCACCCTGCCTTGTTGCGGTAAATGAGGAAGTTCTTAAGGGAGACTCGGGGATTCTGGACGGCAGATGGGTATCGGGGCCGCGACCCATGGGGGTAGGTGCGGAATCCAATGAGGTTGGAGTGAGCGTGGTTGCCTTCCCACGTGCCCCAGTTGTAATAAAAGGGTATTGTCGACCCGATTTTTGGTAGCAGCTTCGACAGACCTCGCATGCGTACGCTCGCTTCTAGCCAGAACCTGAAGGGGGAAGCAAAGGGGAGGAGAGGACGGAGGGAAGGAGGTGGTTAGTTTATTATAGGCCTCTCGTGCATGGATTGGCAATATCCAGAGCTGTGTAAGAGAACTTACAAGGGAAAGAGGGGGGAGGGGAGAGTGCGAGGGGGAGCGAGAAAGTGCAGCAAAAAGAGGGAGTGACGAAGAGAGTTGCGTGGTTCAGGAAGTTTAAGGAAAGGTTTGGTTATTATCAGACTACTGAACAAAACAAAGGGGTGAGGTGTGCAGGGTTGGGGGAGGGAGCATAGAGCGGGGGTGAGAGAGGGGATATGAGGAGACTGACGGGAGAAGGGGAGCAGAAGGGGGAAGGGGAGCAGAGAGGAGGAAGGGGAACAGAGGGTGGAAAGGGGGACACAGAGGGGAGAAGGGAGCAGAGAGGGGGAAGGGAAAGGGAGTGGGGGGAAGGAAAGAGAGGCGAGGGGAAGGGAGGGGAGGGGAACGGAGGGGAGGGGAGGGGAGCGGAGGGGAGGGGAGGGTGGGGGAGGGGAGGGGAGCGGAGGGGAGGGGAGGGTGAGGGAGGGGAGCGGAAGGGGAAAGGAGGCTCACCCGGAATCCTCGGATCCCGCAGCAACATTGTCAATGAAGCTGCTGAAGGGCGTCGCGAACCAAAAAGTTGTCGGCTGCCGGTCGGTTTGCAAGTCCAACTTGCTAGCACTTGCCGGCGGGATGACGTGGTCAACTTTCCGCGCGTTGATCCCAAGGTTCCGCCGAAACAGGTTTCGCATTTCCGACCCCTCCTCTAGCAAATAGCAGTGGCCCTTGGTTTCGTACGAAATGTTTTCTTCAATCGTCATGTTACCCGTCGCGTGAATCACCATGCATCGCTGCTTCGTGAAAACGATCGCGTTTTTTCGCACAATGTGGTTCTGGCCCTCTTGCCCGCAAACGTGGAAATGCAGGGGGTATTTACCCAGCGTGCCCTGCTTTCCCAGGGCACGGAATTGAACGCCCACGATATGTTGGGCTGTCGGGGTCATATAAACCATGAAGTTGCCACCTGGAAGAGCGGAACGGTGGAAGGAAAGGGGAAGCCCACAAGCAGAGTTAGGTGCAAACTTGCGATTTGCAACGATGACCAAGCAAGAGCAACGATATTCCTTTCTGGACCAAAAAAACAAGGAAACAACGCGAGGAAGCAACGATGTTCCTTTTCTTTGAGCTGAGGGGAAAAATTAGCCTGTCACCATCGTAGTGATTTGGCGGAGGCTCATCGCTTCCAGTGATCACGATGTGCCGATCCAACAGCGCGACCTCTCCGTAGATCCCCACCGTCCCTCCCACCCCGTCCGAAATCTCCTCGCCGTCGTGTTGATTCTTCAGCGGAGTCCTTAGATTAATCTGGTATCGACCGTCGCTCTTCCCGGGTGCTGACGCGGGCGTGACGACTGCCACAGACGCGATGACGTGGTGCTCCGCGTCGTTAAGATCTGCTGACGTGGACGCCAGGGCAATTGTCATCCCCGGCGCCCAGCGCGTCACGTCCGCGTTCACGTAGATCGCCCGCGCGCCAGTGTTGGCCGTTTCGGTGAGGCGCACCCACGACGGCGTGTTACTGCCGCCCGGCATGCCGTAGAGAGACACTTGCCCGCCCACCTGCGCCGGGAGGAGGAGAATCGGGGGAAAAGGGGAAGGAAGGGAGGAGGAAGGGGATGAGGGGGTGGGCTGTTTTGGGAGAGGGAACAAATGGGGCTGAAACAACGAAGCCCCCCCCCCCCCCCCCCCCAAAAAAAAAAAAAAAAAGGAACAAACGGATTGATATGATCTCGTTACAGCCACATTTCGCTTCTACCACTGCTTTTATCACTCACGACGGCGAACGTCTTGTGCCCCATGTCGCGCGGGTTTTCCTTATCCGCGGGGCTCTGGTATTTGAGCTCGTACGGCTTGCGCTTGCCCTTAAAGTTTTGGAACAGCTCGAATGTCACGCGGCCCGAAAAGTGCTTGTTCGGCTCGCCCGCCGTCAATCGCCCGAATACCATGATGTAGTTCGCGCGCACGTGAATCTTCGGGAGCTTCGGGGAGTCGAGAATCCTTGGGAAGGTAGGGGGAGGGGGAGAGTAAAAGTGAGCACGTGGCCGTTCGGAACACCATGATGGCTCGGAACGGAAAGGGGGGTCACGCGTTGTGTCGCCAGAAGCGAGATAAACGAGATAATAAAACGAGAAACAAAAAGAAGAGTAAGTCACAGATCTGTGATGAGACATTACGAATAAAGCATCAAACGGCGGCTCTTGTCTCAGATGAAGCAGAGATGAAATGAGGCACCATTTGACATTTAATTCTACCCTTTCCCATACTCACTTCAACCAACCCTTGATTCGAAGTCGTCGCACGCTTATATCGGGTACATCCAGGAGTACCGCCACGCCGCACGGAATCGTGACGTCAGCCCATCGCTGCAGCCCGCGACCCGGCACCCCTAGAATGCTCGCCTTAGGCCCCCACGTCGTCCAATCGCTCCAGCGTTTAAAGCGGCCGGCAGGCGGTTTGGTTATAAGCTTTCCGCACGCGGGCCGGTACGCGTCTGTGGCTCGGAACGCCGCGGCGCGGACTAGCGACACGTGGCAGCATGCGACGAGGGCGATGAGCGCCGCGACGAGGGAAGAGGAGAACAAAAGGGCGACACGCGGACTAACAGGAATACCGGAACGACGCGAAGGGGTTACGGTCGACATTGCGTTTATATTCTAAATGCGTCATGTAATCCTCGTGGATCGACGACAGATTTGCAATTCAGGCGACGCGCTCCCTTGGTCTTTCCAGGCGTTGAAAGCACGGAGAAGTGGATGAACGATGGCGATGGCTTGGACTGGAATGGTTCGTAGCGAGTGGAAGGTAATGGCGCCGGGAATGTTTCTAGTGGTTGCGCGTTGGGTGTTTGGCTTCTGACAAAACCCGGACTACCTAGCTGTAGTCTGACGTTTCAAGAAAGGGATTCGCGACCTCGCTGTATTCTGGAGTGACGTAGCTGAGGAGCACGAGCGGAAGCAGCAGCGGCCTGGCCACGGCCTACGGGTCGTGGGGAGCAAGCGGACGAGATGACAGCCTGCCGAGCTTTAATGGAAGCTAAAAACGACCGAGGCTAAAAACGACGGCTTGGGGATTCTGCTGCAAAAAAAAAAAAAGACAATGCGTTGCAAGCACACGCCCGTGTTTGTGCCGCTCGTACTATACTTCGTCAACGGTGGTATACACAATTGGCTCGATATCGCAGTGCAAGCCTATGCATTGCGTGTGTAGCGCGATTCGCTGCCGGCCGAGGCGAGCAGTGGCCTTGCGTCGGCAAAGCTAGAACGTGAGCTTTATAATGGCGGGGGTATGGACGTGTATAGTGTGGAGTGAAGCGCGTGCGTGTGGTCGACCGACGTGTGCGGGACAAGTGAACGGTGGGTGACGTGTCGGGGCGGTCGTTTGTGGTGGAGATGAGCAATGATATTCAAAACGAAGCTCTCGACGAGGCGACACGACCTTTCTGAATCGGAATGCTCCGATGAGAAGGGTGGGCAGTGGAGGCCATGCCATTGTACTAGCGGTCGCAAAGAGGAGAAGTATGGGTAGGAGAGGAGTCGCAGAAGCGAGTTTCAAAGGGTCGCACGTGCGCTGAAGGCAGAGGGCCGGCCGCTGTGAAGGTCAGATGAAAACGCGTCGGTTGACGATGGGGTGATGAATGTGCGACTTATTTTGACCAGGTACAGTTCTGATCTAGAAGGCTGGTAGGCGACTTTGCGATGACACACGAAAACGCATCTAAAGGGGTCCATGAAATAATCGGCGTTCCGTGAGGAACTTTGCCAAGTAAAAGTGTTGCTGACTGCTGACTAACAGCAGCCTGGTGCGGTGCATTGGATTTGTGACTTCTGACTCTTCCTTTGACATCGTGGGCTGAGACCTGAGACGCGATTCGACTGTTTCGGTGCGCGATTCGAGCACTTACATGTTACAGCGATGTTCGTGACACGTCGCCCGACAGTCGTGTGGCTCTCGCTGTTACACACCCCTCCTTCGCCTCTCCGTACAAGCTCGGAAACTGACGACTCACGGGCAGATTTAGCGGCATCTTCGTTCTACTTCTCCACGAAACCTGCGACAGACGCCTTCCTTCGTCTGTCGCACAGATACATAGCACACGTCGGCGTTGCCCTCTCCTCCCATTGGTGAGTGCGGTTCGAGAAGTGATTGGCTGCCAACGACTTCTAAAGTATAAAAACCCATTTCGCTTAGAATTGTACTAGCTGCTTGACTGATGAAGTGTTCTACTTTATCTTTAGATCACAACAGCAAGAAAAATTTTCTAAGATGGTGCAGTGGAAGCAAGAGTGAGCCCACTATATCACCATAGCACCATGCAGCAGGCACTAGACTCGTGCTCTACAATCACTTCTGCCTCCACTGCTACACCTCAGCAACCTCCCTCCCTCCAACCCTTCTCAACCGAGTGAACTCAGATCAGAGCCAAAAACTGAAGGTCCCTGCGATGGGGTGTCAAATGTCAGTCCTTTGCAAGGAACCTCAAGTCTCGCATATTTAGTTCCTTGTGCCACCCTTCCTCAGAAGAAGCCTGCCAAATAACTCCCTCGCTGGCTCTCGCTCTACTGCAGCCATTGCTGCTGCTGGTACTGCTGGTTCTGCTGCTACGGCCACTGGAGGTAGAGGAGGAGACTCGCTGATGCTGCTGCCTCTAGTGGTGCTTGTAAGGTCACGTGCAGTAAATTCGTTTTCGCTGTAGTCATCATCACCCCCATCCTTGCTAGAAACACCCCCGCTGCTCACGGTGGCACCGCTAGGAATGTACGACTCAAATTTGCCGAGACTTTTGCTGAGAATTGTGCTGCCACTGCCACTGCTGCTGCTGACAGTGCCTCCGCTGCCACTGTCAGCACTGCTGCCGCCGGTCCAGCTGTCAATGCTCCCGGTGCCAGGCTCATAGAAGCTTGGATCGTAGTACGGGTCCACAGAGGAAAAGGCCGACTCGGTGCCGCCCAGCGGCGACACTGACAGGGGCGGCAGAGACGAGGTGCTGGCAGAGCAAGCCCTGTGGATTGGATCGAGGGGAGAGGGGAGGGGGAAGGAGAGAGGGGAGAGGGGAGGGGGAAGGGGAGAGGGGAGGGGGAGGGGGAGGAGAGGGGTGAGGAGGAAGTTTTTTGACAGAACAAGGGCAAGAGGCATGAAAGGGGGAGAGTGGAGAGGAGGGGAAGAGGGGGAGCATGCACAGGAAGGAAACAAAAAGGGCTACTCACGAGTCTGCCGAGCAAGCAGTGCTGGTGCTGTTATCGAGATCCAATACAGCCAGCCCCCTGCCAGTGCTGTTCGCCCCAGCATGCAACCCCACACACACTGACGACACACAATCAAAGTGCTTATACTCACGAGTCTGCGGAGCAGGCAGTGCTGGTGTTGTTATCCAGATCCAACACAGCAAGCCCCCTGCCAGTGCTGCTCGCCCCAATATCCAGCTGCAGTCTCGCCTTCCCTCCCCCGCACGCATACTCCTTATAAACCCTCGTCGCATCCACAGAAGAGCACGGCACTGTAGGCACGTTCGCTGTCCATTTGCTACTCGAATTTGGTGTGTCGATGATTAGGGTAACCGCGCCGGTACACCCCTGCCAATCGAACACATTCAGCTGCATTTTACTCGGGTAAAAGTTACTGTTAGTCTCTGACGGGACCACCTCTATCCTGTAAGTGTACCCGGCTAAAAGCGATGCGGTTAAGAACCGAGTTTTCTTGCCCGGACCCGCGGGACCGGCATTCGGGTCATCATTCTCCGTTCCATACGCGTAAAAAACGGAACCGTCGTCTGTTCGGATGATTTTCAAGTAGGAATACGGCCGGCTGACTGCACTTGCGCTAGCTGTTGTTCCCGCCGATCCAACTCCGGATTCGTCATATTGAAGCCCGACCGACCGGTAGCAGACGGAGGTGCATGCATAGGCCGAAAAGGCGCTCTTGAAGTCGCAGTTTGCCGCTCGGACGGAGGCGGGTGGCAGGATCGGGTCGTAGTTGGCAACGGCGTAGCCTGATTGGCCGAGGAGCGACCCGTCGAGATCCCGAATGGCGTAGAAGCGTGCCAGCAGGCCTCCTCGGGGGATCGGGCCGGAGGACTGGGAGGGAGAGGAGGGAAGGGGAGAGAGAATGTTGACAAAGAGAGGAAAAGTGTGAGGCTTTTTTTTTTTTGGAGAGAGAGTCTCCACAAAAAGGCAGGACCTGGGAGGAGAAATGGCATACAGACAGCGTTCAAGAAAGTTGTAGGGGTGGAAAGAGAACCAAGGGAAGGGAAAGAGCAACTCACTGGATTGGGTGTAGCCCAGAACTTCTTAGTCCCTGACCCAAACGAGAGACCCTGTGGGGAGAGAAGAGGTGTGGGCAAGGAAAGAAAAGGGAGCCCATGGTGTTATTTGGAACATGAGTCAGCAGGAGAAAGAGGGGCAATGAACAAGAGTGGGATATTTCCGACGCAGAAAACAGGCTCGATCTGCTTTTAGTGGTCTTTGAAACATGTGACTGTTACAGACACCAGATTAATAAACGTGACTGTAACGAGCAGTACCTTAACGAACATGGCAGTGTTCCAGTATCCGCCTGCCTTATTGGCTACAAGAGCGATCCCAAAGCTGCTGCTGCTGCAGGTTCCGAAGCGGTGGAATCTGGGGAAGGGAGGGGAGGCACAAAACAGTCAGCACCCTATAATTAGTACAAACGGATTAATGTCATGTCGTGTATGGCGTTGGGGTACAGGTCATATCCTAGGGTTCCACTGACTCGGTATGACTACAAGCATACCCTATAACGAGTACAAGCAGACTTACGAGGTGTCTTGTATGCCATTCGGGTACAGGTTGTCTCCCGGGTTGCTCTGACTCAGCGTGATTCCCACCGGGGCCTCAAACGTCCCCACCTTCTCATTCAGCGCCACCATCGGGTCAACACTCCCATCTACTGCCCCAGGATCCGCCGCCCCCCCCGTATCCTGAAACGCCTTGTTATAAGGATCCCTCTTATTGGTATAAGCCGGAGATGAGTAGCTTTTATTGTTGCCGCCGCTGCCGTTGCTGGCCGATGGATCAAAGTAGGGGTCTAGGGGGCCTAGAGAGGCTTGCAGGGTGAAGGGCTTCCACAGAGTGGTGGGGCCCGCTGGGACGTCAGGGTTTGGTGTATCAGCAAGAGTCGTTACGCCTTTTGAGGAGGAGGCCCTGTAAAGGGGAGGAGGCGGAAGGGGTGGATGGGAGAGGGGAGGAAGGGAGAGGAGAGCCCCAGAAGGGGGAAGGAGTGAGAAGCAGCAGGTTAAGGGAGGGTTTGCAGTATCAAGAAGAAAAGGAGTGGCCACTCACACACTCTTCTACTGTGCACAATCACTCACGGGCAGGCAGAGGAGGAGCACTCACGGGCAGGCAGAGGAGGAGCACTCACGGGCAGGCAGAGGAGGTTCGGCCGATGAAGCGGCAGCCCTTGGCTTGCACACCGGCATTGCGGCTCAAGTCGATGCCGATGCCATTGTCCAGAAACACCCCGTTCTCCACTATCAGCCGCTCGCTGTTGAAAAAGAAGATTCTGCACACGAAAGAGGATAGGAAGGGACGGAGTGACGATACGTCCGTAAGGGAAGGGGGACAGGATAGATGTTGGAAGGCCTCATTTTCATGTATCTAGGTACACCCAGTTACCACTATCAGGGCACTCACTGTTGAAGAAAATGTGGCATTGGGACGACAACAGGAAAAGGGGAAGTGTGTGTGTGTGTGTGTAAGGGCGTGAGGGAGGAGAAAGGATGTTAGGGAATAGCAGGCTGACAGGGAAGAAGAAGAGGAAGGTGGAACTTGATGAGAGGGGATAAAGCATGCCACTCACCCTGCCTTGTTGCGGTAAATGAGGAAGTTCTTAAGCGAGACGCGGGGATTCTGGGTGGTTGACGGGTATCTAGGCCTTGAGCCATGCGGGTAGGTGCGGAATCCAAAGAGGTTGGAATGAGCGTGGTTGCCGTCCCACGTGCCCCAGTTGTAATAGAATGGCACTGTTGACCCGATCTGCGGCAGCAGCCTCGACAAACCTCGCATGTATGGGTTGGCCTCTAGCCAGAACCTGTGAAAAGGCACAGGGAAAGAAGGGAGGAGAGGGGGGGAAGGGGGAGAGTGAAGGTGTGAGGAAGAGAATTGCAAGCTAGGGGAAAGTAAGAAGGGTTGGTTACCAGCAAGATATTACACAACAACAAGGGGCGGGGGGTGGGGGGTGGGGAGAGGAGACGTTTGGGGGAAAGGGGAGAATGGAGGAGAGGGAAAGAGGGGGAAGGGGAGCAGAGTGGGGGTACAGGAGCGGAGAAGGGGAAGGGGAGCAGAAAAGGTTAAGGGGCGTAGAGTGGGGGAAAAGGGAGGGGAAGGGGGGGGGGGGGGGAGGGGGGGGAAGTGGAGGGGAGGGGGAGGGGAGGGGAGGGGAGGGAGGGGGAGGGGAGGGGAACCTTACCCAGAATCTTCAGAACCAGCAGCGACATTGTCAATGAAGCTGCTGAAGGGCGTCGCGAGCCAGAAAATCGTCGGCTGCTTGTCGGTCTGGAAATCCAACCGGCTGGAAGTTGCCGGCGGGATGACTTGGGTTACTTTCCTCGCGTTGATCCCAAGGTTTCGCCGAAACACATTTCGCATCTCCGACCCCTCCTCTAGCAAGTAGCAGTGGCCCTTGGTTTCGTACGAAACGTTCTCCTCTATTGTCATGTTACCCGTCGCGTGAATCACCATGCATCGCTGCTTCGTAAAAACGATCGCGTTTTTCCGCACCACGTGGTTCTGGCCCTGTTGCCCGCAAACGTGGAAATGCAGGGGGTATTTACCCAACGTGCCCTGCTTCCCCAGGGCACGGAATTGCACGCCCACGATTTCTTGGGCTGTGGGCGTCATATATATCATGAAGTTGCCACCTGGAAAAGGGGGATTAGGCGGTGGAAAGAAGGAAAAGCGAAGAGAAACTCGGTCAGAGTTGATTACACGGAGTTGATTGTTAGTACGAGGCCCGACCAAAAGCACCGATGTACTTCACCCTAGATCAAGTTAAATTGGTGCTTATCGCAAAAGGGCTAGTGAGATTCGAAACAAAGAAACGAGACTATGGCCTCTCACCGTCGTACTGATGCGGCGGGGCCTCGTTGCTGCCAGTAATCACGATGTGCCGATCCAACAGCGCGACCTCTCCGTAAATCCCCACCGTCCCTCCCACCCCATCTGAGATCTCCACACCGTCGTGTTGATTCTTCAGCGGCGTCTTTAGATTGATCCTATACCGCCCGTCGCTCTTCCCGGGTGCTGACGCGGGCGTGACGACCGCCACGGACGCGATGACGTGGTGCTCCGCGTCGTTGAGATCCGCTGACGTGGACGCGAGGGCAATCGTCATCCCTGGCGCCCAGCGCGTCACGTCCGTGTCCACGTAGATTGCCCGCGCGCCCGCGTTAGCCGTTTCGGTGAGGCGCACCCACGACGGTGTGTCGCCGCCGCCCGGCATGCCGTAGAGAGCCACTTGCCCGCCCACCTGCGCGCATCGGGTCGGGGGGGGGGGGGGGGGGGGAGGGGGGGAGAGGGCGGAGGGGGAGAAAGGGTAAAGAACGGGAGAATAACAGGGTAAAGTGTGACTTGGTGCGCGGACGAGTGCGGTCCGGTGTACTGTCCTCATAAGCGAGACAAGGTGCTCAAGGGTAAAACTAGATTCTGGAAACGAGAAACGAAAACATCGCACTGCTTACTCACCACGGCGAACGTCTTGTGGCCCAAGTCGCGCGGATTGCCCTTATCCGCGGGGCTCTGGTATTTAAGCTGGTACGGCTTGCGGCCGCCCAGAAAGTTCTGGAACATCGTGAACGTGACGCGGCCCGCGAAGTGCTTGTCCGGCTCTCCCGCCGTCAGGCGCCCGAAGACCATGATGTAATTCGCGCGCACGTGAATCTTAGGGAGCTTCGGCGAGTCGAGAACTCTAATAATCGGGAAAAAAAAAGGGTGGGCGGGGGATGGGAGGGTAAAGGGAAGATGGGACAGGAAGGGGGGGATGGGGGGGAGGGGGGAGGAGGGAGTCGAGGGGGACGGGCGGCAGGGGGAGAGCCAGAAAGGCCAACGGGAAGAGAGTGGGTAGAAGCCTGGGGAAACGGAATTGTCGAAGCGACAGAAACGAAATACAGTGGAATAAAACCGAGGGAAGCTTGGGGGAAACAAGAAGATAAATCAAGCGTCGTGTATTGCTAACCCTAAGGTTTGATTACTTATACGCACTTAAGCCACCCCTTGACGCGCAGTCGTCGCACGCTTATATCGGATACATCCAGGAGCACGGCCACGCCGCACGGAATCGTGACGTCAGCCCATCGCTGCAGCCCGCGACCCGGCACTCCTAAGATGCGTGCTTTACTTCCCCACGTTCTCCAGTCGCTCCAGCGTTTAAAGCCGCCGGCAGGCGGCTCGGTCATAAGCGCTCCACACGCGGGGCTGTACGCGTCTGTGGCTCGGAATGCCGCGGCGCGAACTGACGACAGGTGGAAGCTTGCGACGAGGGCGATAAGCGACGCGACGAGGAAAGGAGATAGTAGTTTAGGGGCGACACGCGGTCTAGCAGGAGCACCGGAACGACGCGAAAAGGGTAGTATGGTCGACATGGCGATTCCTGACGAAAAAACCTGGTCGAATTAACGTTTCGTAGTGTCCACGTGGATCAACGGCAAACGTGCGGTAGATGGGCGACTCCAGTCTTGGTGAAACTGTAAGTTGGTCGTTCCAAGCCTTTGAAAAGCACGGGATCTCGCGTAGCAGTAGTGAATGGATTGGTGGTGAGCGGAACGGTGATGACTATAATGTTAGTGAGTGGAACGGTAGCGCTTGCAAACGGTAGCGACTGGAACGGTTGGGGACTGAAATGGTAGTGAGAGGAACAGCGACTGAAACGGTGGATTGAAACGGTTGTGGTAGCGAGTGGAAGGTAACGACGGGAATGGTAGTTGCGCGTTGTGGGTGGGGAAGTATTAAAGGTACCGCTGGGACTGTCGAGTGATAGAACTGAGATGATATGTAGGACTTGATAGTATGTAGACAACTGAGGACACCACGACGAGAAGCAGTATTGGTCAGGTCAGGACACGACCCACGGGTCGAAGGGAGCAAGCGGACGAGGTGACAGCCTGCCGAGCTTCGACGGAGGCTAAAAATGGCGACTTGGGGATTTTGCTGTAAAATAAAAATACGAGCTCCAAGCAAACTGAGGGTTTGCTCTGCGCACTACTAGACTTGTCGTCAACTGTCATAAACGCAGATAAGTTTCCGATGACATCGCAGGACGAGCAGATGCATTGCTTTTGTGAGTGGGAATGGGAAGCTTGGGACCTTTGCGTCGGCAACGCAAGAACGTGGAATTTAAAATGGCGGGGGTATGGACGGACTGTGTACTAAGCAGCGTGTGGGTGGTAGGTACTGTCGGCCGACAAGTGCGGGTCAAGTAAATGGGCGGTGAGTGATGTGTCGGGTCGGGGTGATCGTGGAGAGGAGCAATGAAAGATGGTTACGGTCCACCGACGGCGGCTGAATGGAGGATGACGGAATGGAACTGGCGAGTCTCTCAAAATGAAGCGAATCAAGAACTGATCGCGAAACGAGAAATGAGGCAGTGGGGTGGAGTGATTTGCAGCGAATGCTTGTCGCACGAAGGAGAGAGGGAGGAGGAGGAGGTGAGGGAGGTGTAGTTGGAATGAGGGTTTGGTCGCACAGGCGACAAGGTGGAGGTCCGTTATGGGGACAAAAGGGAGGAGCGCGTGGAAGGACGATGGTTGGCGACGTCGCTAGTGGTAAGTTGTAACCATGGTTGGACGACTGGTAGCTGCTGATGTATGGAAATTGGTCGGGCGGGCATGGGGAAAGGTACGGGATTTGGGGCTTGGGAGGGGGGTGATGTATGTGCGACGCGTTTGACCAGGTACGGATGGAGGATGCTGCAAGCTGACTTGCTGGCGACCCTACAACGGTGATGCGTGCGCGACAATGCGATGATGAACGACCTACCATTAGGCTCAATCAAAGACCTCGATTGGTGAACGACGATATCATCGATGTGCGGTGGAGTAACTCTGCCGACAAGATGTGTCGCACACAGATCGTGGGCGGCGAGGCTGGTTTCCGTCAATAAACGGAGCCGCGAGACGAATGTTCTGGGGCGCGATTCGGCAAGTCGTTCACCGACGGGCAGGTGACATTCTCAGTGGAGTTTTCGTACACCGCCCGACTCCGCGAGCTATTGCGGCTCTATCGCATTCCTCCTAGTATCCAACGCACCAACCCACTACTTGTGCTGGCCCACAAGAAAACTTAGTTCAGTGTAGCTTGCCACTCATGGGCAGATTTGTTCAAGGGGTACATACTCAAAAAAATCCACAAACCCGTCGAGGCGACAGGCACACTGCCATGCGACGGACCTTCCTGCGACTGCTGTTCAGATACATTTCACACGTCGACGCTGTCCCCTCTCCCCATTGGTGAGCGACTTGAAAAGTGAGGTGGCGGTTCATCACTGCCGCCAACACCTTCAAAAGTGCTAAGCCATCTGTCCAGGGCGGGACCATTACACCTTTGTTAAAGGGCCTCGATAATATTTTTGGTAGAAATATCCTTCATTTATCATATATATGTACCCACACGCTCACGCCCCAATATGTAACCTTTTGACGCATACTGCAATAATGATGTATCACAACCAAAATAAAGGACGCAAACTTTCCTAGAAGAAATGAAACACCCTACCTTTGTGCATAACAAGCTTTGCCAATACAACACAGCCAATTACTACACCACCATTGGAGGAAATTTCAGAGCGTGGAAAAAAAAACATTTTTTGAATAAAAGTTATGTAAGACTGTCCTGTCCTCTTTATCTTTGTCCTTTATCCAATACGGCCTTCGTCATCCCGTTTTATATGTGAGAGGATCCATATATTAGTGTAGCATCATTCCAAGTTTCCCGTGAGTTTTGACGTCTGTGTGTGTACCGAGTATCCCTCCCTCCTACCTCTGTACTCCACCAGCACAAACCTTTTTCTTGTCTTCCTCCTCCCTTTCCCTCTTCGTTCGTGGTCACGTTTGCTGCGCTGTCCTCTCACGAAGTACACTGTACAAGCTGTGCCTCTTTCGAGTCGCACCTGCTCACCCGATTCCGACTGTACAGGGCACGTTAGGAAAGACATTTGTACGGTCAGCAGCGTCATGTTTGATGTCGTGTGGAGTAGGGTAGATTCTCGCGAGCCGTACGTAGACGAGAATCCAACCCACACGGCCAACGCATGGGGACTCGAACAAGCCACGCGATGCCACGTAAGCCCTGCGATGCCACGCCAGCCACTCTGCCGTGCGACGCCAATCGCTCCCAACCCAACCACCTCGACCTCGACCCTAGACTGGAGCAACGACGCAACTTCTGTATCCACCGCGATGGAAGAATCTGCAAACCGTGCACGGATGGACGGACGGATGAGCCCTCCGGTTCGGATGCAGGTTCTGCTCGCTTTCTGGAAAGATTCGAATTTCCGGGCCGCCATTCGGGGTGGGTCCAGCTGCCAAGTTGCAGCGCCGTAGGTATGGCGGCGACGATGGCGATGCGATTGCGATGGCTATGCGACGACAATGACAATGGCGACAGCGATAGCAACGCGAGGCGATGCCTGATGGGTGAGGAGATGGCGACGATGGCGATGACGAAGGCAGCGATGGCCTTGCCCCCCATGCCATGGCGATACTGTACTACCCACTACTACCTGATAGATACGAACTCCACTACCGCAGCACCACCCCTACAGCGATCCAGTGGCGCGCCACGGTTTACAGGTTCGTGTACGGACGGACGGAAGGGCGGCGGTTCCGAACCGCAGCGAAGCGAGCGCCGAGTATCAAACGTCAACAACCGCTGCGAATAGCATTCTGGGAGTCCCGTTGCGCGTATCTCCCAAGCTATCCGAGTATCAGTCGACCCGACACATCCTACCTAAACTCGCGCTAGTACTACTATCATCATAAGCTACCTCTCGCCTCAAGGCCCTCACGGCATTCTTGGACAAACCCCCATCTCTGCTGCTTCGACTTGGTTTTCGGCTTAGCGAACGACATTGGCTTGCTTGCTAGGAGAACCGTTGACCATCCGTTAACCGCCTGTACATATTGCTGGGCTCAGTCGATTAGTATCCGAGACTTTCCCAGGAATCCGCAGTGGTAGTAACGCTCCCAGGCTTCAAGATATGATAGTAATGGATAGTAAGATATCACAACGCGGCGGCGCGCCGTCGTATTCGCGCTTCCTCGCCGCCTCGGCGCTCTTCCTCCTCCTCACATGCTGCCACGTGTCGCCGACCCGCGGCTCGGCGTTCAAAGTCACCGACGCGTACAGCCCCGCGTGCGGAAAGCTCATGACCGAGCCGCCCGCGGAGAGCTTTAAGCGGTGGAGCGACTGGAGGACGTGGGGCGCTTCCGCGAAGGTTCGCGGCGTGCCGGGTACCGGGGCGCGCAGATGGGCTGACGTCATGATCCCGTGCGGAAAGGCTGTGCTGCTGGATGTACCCGATATAAGCGTCGGAAAGTTGAGGATCCGAGGCTGGCTGAAGTGAGTTAATCACTTTGAGACATCTCAAAATTGTGTGCTGATTTTAGTACCCTACATGAAAGCGTCGCAAAGGTTGCAGATCCGATGGATTCTCGTCTCTCGCCCCTCTTCCCTCTCCCCTCATCTCTCGTGTTCGGGCGCGTGAAGGTGGGCGCGCCGAAAAAAGGCAAGCGACGAACGGGAAACGAGAAACAGCGCGCGAACCGGATACGCATTCGCTAACCCCGATCCCTCTCTTCATCCTTCTGTCCTCTCTCGCTCGGGTCCCTCACAACAGGATTCTCGATGACCCTTCTCTCCCGAAAATCCACGTGCGCGCGGCGTACATAATGGTGTTCGGGCGCCTCACGGCGGGAGAACCGGATAACCATTTCTCGAACCGCGTCACGTTCACGTTGTTCCAGAATTTCAAGGAGCGGCGCGCGCCGTACGCCCTGCAGTTTTACAAGCCCTCGGATCCTAACAACCCCCGAGATCTGGGGCACAAGACGTTCGCCGTGGTAAGTGGTGATAGCACAGGCAGTAGCAGTGCGCGAATGTGACTCTAACGAAATGACACTTCAACTCCGCACGCACCAATTCCCAACACTTTTCCCCAACCCGCTCCTCCTCCCCCGCTCTCCTCCTCCTCCGCGCAGGTGGGCGGACAAGTGGCTCTCTACGGCATGCCGGGCGGGGGCAACACGCCGTCGTGGGTGCGCCTCACCGAAACAGCCTCTCACCCCATCCACTCCCTCCCCCTCCTTCCCCATTCCCCCTTCCGCCGCGCAGGTGGGCGGACAGGTGGCGCTGTATGGCACTTCTCAACTCCCCACCCACCACCCGCTCCTCGCGCTCTCCGCTCTTCCCCCCCCCCCACTCCTCCCCCGCGCAGGTGGGTGGACAAGTGGCGCTGTACGGCATGCCGGGGGGCGGCAACACGCCGTCGTGGGTGCGCCTCACCGAAACGGCCGACGCGGGCGCGCGGGCGATCTACGTAAACGCGGACGTGACGCGGTGGGCGCCGGGGATGACGATTGCGCTGGCGTCCACGTCAGCCAATCTCAACGACGCGGAGCACCACGTCATCGCGTCCGTGTCCGTCGTCACGCCCGTGTCGGGACCGGGAAAGAGCGACGGGCGGTACAAAATCAATCTACAGACGGCGCTTAAGAAGCGGCACGACGGCGAGAAGATTTCGGACGGGGTGGGAGGGACGGTGGGGATTTACGGAGAGGTCGCGCTGTTAGATCGGAATATTAAGATCACCGGGAGTGACGAGCCCGCGCCGTATCAATACGATGGTGAGAAATCGACAACTCGTGTCTCTCACTTAACGCTACTCACTAGCTCCGTTCCGTGTTACCAACTCGTATGTAATCCGTTTTCTGCTTCGTGCTTCCTGTTTCCTGTTTTCGCCGCCTAATTCCCTTTCTTGCAGGTGGCAACTTCATGGTTTATATGACGCCTACAGCGCAAAAGATCGTGGGAGTTCAGTTTAGAGCTCTCGGAAACCAGGGTGTGTTGGGCAAATACCCCCTGCATTTCCACGTGTGCGGGCAAAAGGGCGCGAACCACGTGGTGCGGAAAAACGCGATCGTTTTCACGAAGCAGCGATGCATGGTGATTCACGCGACGGGTAACATGACAATAGAGGAGAACGTTTCGTACGAAACCAAGGGCCACTGCTACTTGCTAGAGGAGGGGTCGGAGATGCGAAATGTGTTTCGGCGGAACCTTGGGATCAACGCGCGGAAAGTGGACAAAGTAATCCCGCCGCTGACTTCCAGCCGGTTAGATTTGCAAACTGACAAGCAGCCGACAACTTTTTGGCTCGCGACGCCCTTCAGCAGCTTCATTGACAATGTTGCTGCCGGCTCAGAAGATTCAGGGTGAGCCTTTTCTCCGCTTTTCCCCTTTCCCCCCATTTTTCCTCTCCCCCATGCCCCTCGCTGATCCTCTTCCAGCGTGCAACGCCCTTCAGCATCTTTGGAGACTCCACGTGAGCCTCTTCCCCTCCTCCTTTCCACTCCTCTTCCCATTCTCCCCTCCCCTTCCCATCCCCCCCCTCCCTATTCCCCTCTCCGCTCCCCCTTCCCCTTCTGTTCCCCCTTCCCCTTCTGTTCCCCCTTCCTGCTCTCTCACCCTCCCCCCTTTCCATTCTCTTCCCGTCTCCCAAACTTCACTCACTCCCGAACCCCGCTGCTCCATCTGTGTTTACCTCGTCTGCACTTCCGTTGTACCAAACGCATCATACCACATCCCCTACGCAGTGGCCTTTGAGTCAATTCAAAAGTCACACCCCTTCTTTCCTACCCTGATTTATCTGGTTCTGGTCTCACTCCCTCCCGTCCTTTCCTCCTCCCTGCATCCCCTTCTCTCATCCTCCTCCGATCCCTTCCTCTCGTTCTCCCTTCCTTCTCTCTCCTCCCCTCTCCATCCCATCAGGTTCTGGCTGGAGGCGAATCCATACATTCGAGGTCCCCATTCCCACATTCCCCATTTTCCCCGTGTGTTTCTCCCATCAGGTTCTGGCTGGAGGCGAATCCATACATTCGAGGTCCCCATTCCCACATTCCCCATTTTCCCCGTGTGTTTCTCCCATCAGGTTCTGGCTGGAGGCGAATCCATACATTCGAGGTCCACATTCCCACATTCCCCATTTTCCCCGTGTGTTTCTCCCATCAGGTTCTGGCTGGAGGCGAATCCATACATGAGAGGTCTTTCCAGGCTGCTACCAGACATCGGGTCAACAGTGCCCTTCTATTACAACTGGGGCACGTGGGACAGGCAACCACGCTCACTCCAACGCCCTCTTTGGCCTCCGCACCTGCTCACATCACACCCCCCCTTCCCACTCCCCCCAATTTCCTCCTTCCCTTCTCCTCCCCTCCTCCTCCCCTCCCTCTGATTCAATCAGCTTCTGGCTAGAGGCCAACCCCTACATGCGAGGACTCTCCAGGCTTCTACCAGACATCGGGTCAACAGTGCCCTTCTACTACAACTGGGGCACGTGGGACGGCAACCACGCTCACTCCAACGCCCTCTTTGGCCTCCGCACCTACCCTCATGGGTCGCGGCCGCACTACCCGTCTCCCACCAAGAATCCCCGCGTCTCCCTTAAAAACTTCCTCGTTTACCGCAACAAGGCAGGGTGAGTGAGCCTGCTTGACTAGTCCCTTTCCATAGAGCCAAGCTCACTACAACCTTTATCTCTGATATGGAGAAACAAAAACCTCTTTTGATGGTTAAAACAGAAACCCCGTGGCACCTGTCCTGTCCACCCAACAAGTACCATCATTCCCACCTCCCCTCCCTTTCTACTTTCTCCCACCCTCCCCTTTGCCCTTTCCCTCTTCTTCCCCTTCTATCCTCTCCGTCACTGCAGCATGTTCGTTTCATCTGCTGATCTTTTCTTATCCCCTTCTCCCCATCCCACCCACACCACAGAATGTTTTTCTTCAACAGCGAGCGGCTGATAGTGGAGAACGGGGTGTTTCTGGACAATGGCATCGGCATCGACTTGAGCCGCAATGCCGGTGTGCAAGCCAAGGGCTGCCGCTTCATCGGCCGAACCTCCTCCTCCTGCCCGTGAGTCCTTCACCTCTGCCTGCCCGTGAGTCCTTCGCCTCTGCCTGCCCGTGAGTCCTTCGCCTCTGCCTGCCCGTGAGTCCTTCACCTCTGCCTGCCCGTGAGTCCTTCGCCTCTGCCTGCCCGTGAGTCCTTCGCCTCTGCCTGCCCGTGAGTCCTTTGCCTCTGCCTGCCCGTGAGTCCTTCGCCTCTGCCTGCCCGTGAGTCCTTCGCCTCTGCCTGCCCGTGAGTCCTTCGCCTCTGCCTGCCCGTGAGTCCTTCACCTCTGCCTGCCCGTGAGTCCTTCGCCTCTGCCTGCCCGTGAGTCCTTCGCCTCTGCCTGCCCGTGAGTCCTTCGCCTCTGCCTGCCCGTGAGTCCTTTGCCTCTGCCTGCCCGTGAGTCCTTCACCTCTGCCTGCCCGTGAGTCCTTCGCCTCTGCCTGCCCGTGAGTCCTTCGCCTCTGCCTGCCCGTGAGTCCTTCGCCTCTGCCTGCCCGTGAGTCCTTCACCTCTGCCTGCCCGTGAGTCCTTCGCCTCTGCCTGCCCGTGAGTCCTTCGCCTCTGCCTGCCCGTGAGTCCTTCGCCTCTGCCTGCCCGTGAGTCCTTTGCCTCTGCCTGCCCGTGAGTCCTTCACCTCTGCCTGCCCGTGAGTCCTTCGCCCACCCTGCCCGTGAGTCCTTCGCCTCTGCCTGCCCGTGAGTCCTTCGCCTCTGCCTGCCCGTGAGTCCTTTGCCTCTGCCTGCCCGTGAGTCCTTCACCTCTGCCTGCCCGTGAGTCCTTCGCCTCTGCCTGCCCGTGAGTCCTTCGCCTCTGCCTGCCCGTGAGTCCTTCACCTCTGCCTGCCCGCGAGTCCTTCGCCTCTGCCTGCCCGTGAGTCCTTCGCCTCTGCCTGCCCGTGAGTCCTTCGCCTCTGCCTGCCCGTGAGTCCTTTGCCTCTGCCTGCCCGTGAGTCCTTCACCTCTGCCTGCCCGTGAGTCCTTCGCCTCTGCCTGTCCGTGAGTCCTTCGCCTCTGCCTGCCCGTGAGTCCTTCGCCTCTGCCTGCCCGTGAGTCCTTCACCTCTGCCTGCCCGTGAGTCCTTCGCCTCTGCCTGCCCGTGAGTCCTTCGCCTCTGCCTGCCCGTGAGTCCTTCGCCTCTGCCTGCCCGTGAGTCCTTTGCCTCTGCCTGCCCGTGAGTCCTTCACCTCTGCCTGCCCGTGAGTCCTTCGCCCACCCTGCCCGTGAGTCCTTCGCCTCTGCCTGCCCGTGAGTCCTTCGCCTCTGCCTGCCCGTGAGTCCTTTGCCTCTGCCTGCCCGTGAGTCCTTCACCTCTGCCTGCCCGTGAGTCCTTCGCCTCTGCCTGCCCGTGAGTCCTTCGCCTCTGCCTGCCCGTGAGTCCTTCGCCTCTGCCTGCCCGTGAGTCCTTCGCCTCTGCCTGCCCGTGAGTCCTTTACCTCTGCCTGCCCCTGAGTCCTTTGCCTCTGCCTGCTGTGAGTGCTTCTCCTCCTCCTGCTGCCCGTGAATTCTTCTCCTCCTCCTGCTGCTCGTGTCCTCCACTCCCCCTGCCTGTGCGACTTGCTAGGTGAGTGAGGGGATGGTTCATCTTCCTCCTCCTGCCCGTGCATTATCCCCCCCCCTCCTCCTTTGGTTTTCCGCAAGTTCTGCTGCTGTTGCCTCGGGTAATTCCTTCTACTTTTCTGAACCACTTTTGGAAGTTTTTTGGACTGCTCTGCTCTTTGCATTCAAAGCATCCTTTCCCGTCTCCTCCTCTTCCGTCCCCTTGTCTCCTCTCTTCCTCTCCCTCCTCCCCCCCTCTCCCCAGGTCTTCCAATGCGCTAGCCACAGCCACAGCCCTCACCACCACCACCACCACCACCACCACCGCCACCACCACCACCACCACCACAGCAGGCGATGCATCCAACGGTCCAGATGGCTCCATCCCTCCAGCCGATCCCCTCCCAGACAACAACGACACCGCTGCTACCACCCCTCCCAACGCTCCAGACAATTCCACTTTACCCAGCAATGACAGCACAGGTGGTGATGGTGGTGGTGATGGTGATGCTACTGCTCCTTCCAACCCCCCTGACAGCTCCAATTCAGACAGCTCTGTTCCCCAAGGTCCCACCACTCTGTGGCAGCCCTTCACTCTGGAAGCGTCTCTGGGACCTCTTGACCCGTATGCAGACGATGGCAGCAGCACTGACAGCAGCAGCGGCGGCAAAAGCACCAGCAGCAGCAGTGGCAGTGGCAGTGGCAGTGGCAGTGGCAGTGGCAGTGGCAGTATCAGCAGCAGCAACAAGGCTTTCATAGGTGCTGGGACAGCAGAGCCCATGGGACCATCGCTGCAGGATCAGGCAGGGACGTTTGCGGCGCCGATTGGCATCGCGCTGAGTCAGAGCAACCCGCAGGACCACCTCTACCCCAACTCCATCCAGGACAGCTCGTGAGTCCGTCCGTACTCGTTATGTGGTGATGCACAACTCGTTATAGGGTACTGCAGTACTCGCTATAGAGTAGCCACCATGAGTCAGAGCAACCTGCGGGACCACCTGTACCCCAACTCCATCCAAGACAGCACGTGAGTTTTGACTGTACTCGTTATAATACTACACAACTAAACATTGGGTTCTGCATTGCTGCTCGTTACAGAGTAAGCCTGCCATCTCTCTTTAGCATTCTTAATACCCTCCCTACCTCCCACTCTCCCACCTTCCCACCCCCCCACCCTCCTTTTCCCCTCCTTGCCACCCCCCCCTCCCCCAGCTTCCACCGCTTTGGCACGTGCAGCAGCAGCAGCTTTGGGATCGCTCTTGTGGCCAATAAGGCAGGCGGATACTGGAACACTGCCATGTTCATTAAGGTACTGCCATGTTCGTTAAGGTACTGCTCGTTACAGTCACGTTCATTTTTGGTGGTGCTGTTTGTGATCAGTGAGACTGTTCTGCATTTATTCTGTTTTAAACAGTGAGGCTGTTTAGCCTTCACAAAATTCATGTCTTTTTGCTGTCAACTTAGCAATCTGCAGCGTCATCTCTTTTATTTGCTGTCCCTTGTTCACTCCGGATCCCCCATTCACACAGGGCCTTACTTTTACCGCAGGCACCAACAAATTCTGGGCGACACCGAATCCAGTGAGTCACAATAAACCTGGCATTGTAGTGTTTGATGTGTTTTCCTCCTTTCTTGGTGAAATAATAATTTGTTATGGTTACTGCATCAATTCTAAATTTCCATTGTTATTGTTGTTATTGACTTTTTTTTTTGTTGAAGTTTTCACTTCTTGCAAGCTTGGCCTTCCTGTACCTCGCCCTCATACGAATATATTTTTTTTTCTCTCTCTCTCTCCTGATATAATTTCTCCCAGCCTGCAGGCACGCCGCCTCGAGGAGGCCTGCTGGCGCGCTTCTACGCCATCCGGGATCTCGACGGGTCGCTCCTCGGCCAATCAGGCTACGCCGTTGCCAACTACGACCCCATCCTGCCGCCCGCCGCCGTCCGGCCGGCCAAGTGCGACTTCAAGAGCGCCTTTTCGGCCTATTCCTGCACCTCCGTCTGCTACCGAGCGGTTGGATTGGAATATGATGAATACGGGGCTAGAGCCAACACCTACCGGCCGTTCTCCTACCTGAAAATCACCCGAATGGACGACGGTACTTTCTTTCACGCGTACGGAACTGATAATGATGACCCGAATGGCAAGCCTGCCTCCAGCACGAATAGAAGGCGCTACTTAACCGCCTCGCTTCTAGCTGGGTATACCTACCGGATACAGATTATTCCCGCTGACACCAACAGCGACTTTTACCCGAGCAAAATGCAGCTGAATGTGTTCGACTGGCAGGGGTGTTCTGGGAGCGTTCGCGTGGTTATAGACTCGCCGGATTCACGCAGCAAGTGGCGGGCGGATGTGCCTACAGTGCCGTGTACTAATGCTAACGAGACAAAGGTTTATAAGGAGTACGCGTGCGGGGACGGGAAGTCGAGGCTACGGCTGGATGTTGGGCCGAACAGCAGCGGCAAGGCGGCGGTTGTGATGGAGTTGGATCAAGGCGTCAGCACTGCTTGCTCCTCAGACTCGTGAGTACTGGTTGAGTGATAACTCAATAAAGGTCCATATGATTGGTGCATGTAATAGGCGCATCTGATAGGTACCCCCCCACTCTCTCCCTCCCCCCCCCCCCCGCGCTCCTCCTCCCCCTCCTCCCCTCTCTTGTTTGATCTCCCACCCACGTCCTTGAAGTGTTTTGAGACGTCTCAAAACACTTCTTCAACCACGTCCCCTCTCCTTTGCTTCTTCGTCCCCTCTCCATAGCACCTCTGGCTGACAGCGAGTCAGCCTCTTCCTCCACCGACCCATTCTTTGTCCCGAGCTTCAACTGTCTCTCTTAACCCCCCACCCCTTGTCCTTCCTCCCCTCTACCCCCATCCATCCCACCCAATCCACAGTGGTTGCTCTACCATCACCTCTGCTGCTCTCCCACCCCTCTCCATCGCGCCTCTCGCGGACAGCGAGTCAGCGTTTTCCTCCACCGACCCGTTCTTTGACCCGAGCTTCTATGCCGGGGGAGCAGACGATCCCCGCACGGTGCTTTGATTAGGAGATTCTAGTTGAGAAAGGAGCTTCTGAGAGAAGAATTTGAGGGGATTCACAAAAGCATATTCAAGGGCTGTTTTCTGGAAGTGGTGATTTCTGAGGAGCGACAACAAGCTGCAGAGGCACGTAGTACATGGATTTTTTGGCTGGCTCTTGCACCGGCTTTTCTCTGGGAAGCGGTGATATGTGTCACGCCTCAACAAGCTGATGAGGCACATACTACATACTACATAGGGTTTTTGAGGCGCCTGATGAAGACTGGAGCAGCAAGGGTGAGCTGTAAGGGTAAGATTACGGTACCTGCTGTTTCCTAGGAGCATCTGGGGAGGGGGAGCTGGTGGATTTTCGAAGTGGATGAGATGGGGACAGGTGGAGCAGCATCTGTGATTGCTGGTAACCAGACGCAGCAGTAGTAGTATGGGTAGAGGGGAATAAGCCGTAGCAGTGTTGGCAAGGGAGAAAATGCGTACATGATTTGTTTTCATTTTCAATCCCTGATGGGTTCTCGTAAAAAATTGGCGGGCTCGCAAATGATCTAGGGAATGGTGAAAGCATGAGTGATGCAGAACCATAATGCAGAAGAGTAACCTGGCAGTGACCCTACAAGATGATCACTTGGCAGGCTGGCAGTGCTGCTGCCAAGTTATCCCAACTAAAAGGCTGACACCTGTTGCACAACCATATGCAAAGATGTGTTAGGCATAGTAGCTCCATTCCCATATTCTATGGTCCATGCAGCGAAGTTACTGCATCTAAACGCAGGTAAAAAACCAAAACATGTTGCACCAACAATACTGTACTGTAATTGCATAGGGATAACATGTCAAATTGTATAGAGAAATTCCAGTTCCATAGAACATCAGGACTGTCAAATAACATTGAAAAACACAGCAAAGCAGAACTGCTCTACAGCCCAGTCTCAGTATTGAACGCCCAAAGACACAGGCGTAGATAAGTCTTCAACTAGAGGTCCTCAGACGGGTTTTGCTGGTGATCAACCTCCCAGCGTTAATTACACAGCGAAAATGCTTTCTGATTTCAAAATGTCAAGCATGCCTGGCCAACGCCTCGATGGTGTCGCGCCGGTTTGCTTGAACGTAGTATGCAGACGGCTATTCATAAAAACCCGTCTTTTGAAGAATGGCCGTCCGCAGCCTATCGAGGTCCCTCCCCCTCAGCGTTCCGCCGAGACCCTCATGGACTGAGAAGCACATTGATGATGACGTGTCCTTCGCTATCATCTCGTGCGGGGGAACCATGATATTATCCGCGTCATCGTCATATTCGTCAAACGGCCGGCGAGGTTGCCGGCTAGCGGTTCCTGTTATTTTACTCCAGTCTGGGACGTTGACCGGAGCGGATGCACGGTGATGACCTTGAGAATGTCTCGATTTGAAGTGGTCCAGGTGGGTTTGAACCGACGGAATGACCACCGGAGCCAACGCGCTTGGCTTAACAATATCCCCGCCAATGGTTATCTGTCCTGCAGTTAGGGTATCTGAAGAAAGGACAGCTAACCCATGCGCTTGACTGGAAAGCCGTCCTGATGACGCAGTGAGAGGGTCCGGCCGAGCTCGGGTTGTCAAGCGAATTGACGGTAGAATCTGGTCGTGAGACGGAACCTTGACAATTCCGTCAGTTGACAAGCTGTCAGTGTCGTTGACTGACCAGACGTCGTCCTCCGTCAAATCATCACCAGCGTGAGCGATGGAACTGAGATGGCTGGATCCCAGCAAATCAGCTCCGTGATGGTGGTCAATTCGGACGGAAGACGGTCGCTCCTTAGCAGCAGCAATGCCCAAAGCGACGTGACTGGGAAGTGTGGACGGTTGTGAGAACATGATAAGTTCCAATTCAAGAGAACACGAAGGGACTATCAGTCACCAGAGCCGATATAACGCAGTCACGCAGTATGTGGAGCGATGACTGGATGACTGGTGGCAAACCAGCGATAACGAGCGCTTTAGAATGTGTAGTGCTAACAGGGGCAACAAAATGGATGAGGCGAACCTAAATAGTCTCCATGGCCCGAAGGAACTCCACGCACATAAAAGATGCTTCTAGAGCGCGCATGCATGAAGGCAGAATTGCGGAATTGGCGGAATTGGCGCAAAGGACAGAGTGTGGTGGTTGGCTTCGGGGGGTTTCTGCGTTAGAGTGGCGGGAGGGAAACCCGACAGCTGGGGGAACGGGGAAGGGGCTGGGGTGGGGAACAGGGGGAAACTGAAGGTGGGGTTGGGGGGGTTCGGGGAGAGTTAGGGCAAAGGAGCGGGGCGGAAAGAAACCGAAGGGCAGGCTAGGGTGCAGAAGATAACTGAGAAGATGGCTCTGATAATTTGATTGGTTGAAGGAGGTCAAGGGGTGTTCGGAGTGGAGGAAAGATGGACCCGCATGTGCGAAACAGGGTTGCGAGGAAGTTGGCGGCATGGTGGCTGACGGACTTGGGAGGGCACATTTCTCCGTCAATAACGAAAATTTGACTGATGCGGTAATCGCGCGGAAATCTTCCCAGAATTGCGTGCACATTAGCTGGCAGATTTGAGCTGAAGGGGGAAGTAAACTTGGGGGGACGTGGGGAAGGGTTTGGGGCGGGAATATGGGGCCTTTGCAGTGTTGCATGGGGGACGGTGCAAGGGGAACTTGGGAAGGTTTGTTGCCGTGGCGCAATCCAGATAGACGAATCAGCTGTGATCATGCTTCCATGCTGGCATTTCTACATGGGGCATGTGCCTACGTTGGCCAATGTGAAAGCAATACCTGTTGGTTTCTCGTGCCCCGCGTTCTAAAGTAGGTTGGCGCAAACGCCAAGGCTGACGAGGACAAGCCTATTCGCCACGCACCACACCCCATCTTCTCATAAGCAACCGCATGTCGGGGACGGGACGGGACGCCTGAGGCCAGCTGTTCGGCATAGTCGTCAGCTTGTCGTTATCAAGTTCGCAAAGGATTGCTACGGTATTTTCAAGAAATCTACCTGCATACACTAAACTTCAAACAAATCCATTAATGATATGTACTTATGCATACAAACAGAGTAGGCTACAAGCATGACAGGCCCACAGAATGCATAAAACGTCTTGACCACACTTCGCACCAGACTCACGAAATGGGCATATTCATGAAGTGTAGATTCAAGTTCATAATGCAAGATGGTGTTCTATGTGAGTTCATGGCCTCAGCCTCACTTAGCAGCAGGATCCGGCATGCGTGGCTTGCCCATGCTGAAATTGAGCACCCGGCAGTCCAAATTGTATGAGATCTCTCCAGCCAACAGCAGACTGCGAATGAAGTGCTCCAAGTCAGAGCCAATCAGGCGAAGCGTGTACTCTGACATCTCAGCACCCTGCAAGTGAAAATCAGAAATACCGGAAAGTGAAGATGGAAGACACAAAAAGGATGCTATTTGTAAGTATTTGCCACAAGAGGACAATATGGTTATGTTCGGCCCCTTCAAACCTCAGACTGGTCTACCCAAAGCTTGTAACTCTTTTTCCATGCTGCCAGAAAACTTGCAAAAGCGCATCAATCACTATATACACTGCTGCACACTCCCAAACACATGTCAACGTTTGTCACATGACCCCATCTGTACTCCATTCCCACTCTCAGACCGACCGACTCACCTTCACGAGCTCTGTGAACCGGCCGTACAACCAACCGTTCAGCTTCTTCAATTCCTCAATCTCCAAAAACCCACTTTCCATGTCCAACAGCAGAGATTGCTCTCAACATCTCAACTCAACCCCATCACCCCTTCGCACACCCACTCACCGCATAGGCATCCACAAGCTCTGTGAACTTGTCGTACACCTCCTTCTCCGTCTCGGGCGTCCACAGGAACTCGTTGTCCGTGTCCAGCATCAGCGACAACTTTTTCCGCCTGCGTCCACACCCCATCACCCCTTCCCACCCAGACTCACCGCATAGAACCAACTCACTCCCACTCACCGCATAGGCGTCCACGAGCTCTGTGAACTTGTCGTACACCTTCTTCTCCGCCTCGGGCGTTCACAGTAACTCATTGTCCGTGTCCAGCATCAGCGACAGCTTGTCTGACTGCGTCCAAACACCGTCACCCCTTCCCACACCCACTCACCGCATAGCACCCACTCACCGCGTAGGCGTCCACGAGCTCTGTGAACTTGTCGTACACCTTCTTCTCCGTCTCGGGCGTCCACAGGAACTCATTATCCGTGTCCAGCATCAGCGACAGCTTGTCGGACTGTGTCTGGTCCATCTCCATGGTCTCCGGGTCGATGTACCCCACGTAGATGCGCACGTGGCGGGTGTTGGAGCTCAGCCATCTGCCACCCTGATGAATACATAGAGGAAAGACGGACAGAGAAACATAAAGAGAAGAACGAGATTCTAGGCCTGGTCCACGTCCCTCGCATGTGGGTCGATGTACGTACCCAACGTAGATGCGCACGTGACGGGTGTTGGAGCACAGCCATCTGCCACCCTAGTGAAAGAGGAAAGCGAACAAATGAATATGAGTTTGGCCAACGTCCTTCGTACGTGGTCAATTCACCCACGTGGATGCGCACGTGGCGGGTGTTGGAGCTCAACCATCTGCCACCCTGGCGAATGCACGAAGGGGAAGGGGAATGCGTAGAGTGGTCAATACTGCCCGCCTTTGTCTGGTCCATCTTCATGGTATGCGGACTCATGCAACCCACGTAGACGCGCAGGTGGTGAGTTTTGAAGACCAGCCCTCCTTCACCCTTGGTGAAGGAAGCGAGGCATGAAACGACGGAGAGAAACAGCCATTACTGCTCAGGCATTCGTTCGCAGTCACGTGGAAACCTGACGAAGCGGGGAGAGTGAGCGTAAGGAGGTTGGGGGGCACGATCAGCTCTGAGTAAGCATTTTTCCGATACCTCATGGTGAAGCTCATCTGTAGCTAGGCCAACGAAGGGCCTTACCACCTCCCCATCCCACTCCCCATTTCCCGCTATCCCCGGACCCTATCTCTTCGCTCCCCCTTCTCCTTTCACCTCCCCTGCATCGCCATTTCCCACACAACAACGAAGGCAGCATTGTCAATACGTAGCTCCTCAATGTAGACTCAAATGCCATACTAATTTACGACTATCTGTGTAAAGAGCAGACTGCCTGGGACTCATTCAATACTGGAGATTGCTTTAGGGCAACCGCCTGACACGCTGACACTTGCGGGGAACGATCGAAAATGCACAGTGATAACCTGCATTAACCGCCTCAAGCAACGCTACGCGTATGGCGCTTGCCCAGACAGAACAGTCACGATAACGATGACTGACTAACTACCCACAAACTACCATAACTAAGTCCATGATCGCCACTGCATTTCCATGACACCAACTAGGTACATCGCCCAAAAAAACATGAAAAGAAGCGACGTGAAAACCCCTGGACTTGGGTCAAGTCCTTGCTCTTGAGTCGACTCAAAAGTCTCCTTGCTCTCAGTAAAAAGAAGCATTTAAGGAGTACCTGGAGCACTCCTTCTCGGGTCAAGCCCTTGCTCTGAGTCTCTGCACGGACGACCAGGCGGTTGGCCCGGCTCGTTTGTGGTTGCCGCGAGGCGGAAGTGGCGGCAACCCAGCGAGTCGGCGTGAAGGAGGCGACGCTAGATAAGCTTTCGCACGGCGACGTCGCTGAAAGTCGCGTGGCGACTGCGAGCTCTGCGACGGCCATCGCGGAAGCGCGAGCAAGGAGAGCCATTTTCTATGGCTAGATCAGCCCCGGTTGTAAGGACCTGACAGGAGTATTTGAAGCCACAGAAAAGGCTGCAGAAGAACGACCGCCTGATCGACCTCCTAAACCTGCGAGTCGGCAAAAGTAGTATGTCAAGTTCCAAAATCAACCTGGAAATGGGTTAGTTGGAGGAGGTCTACACTACGTTTGTCAGGAAAAAAATGGACGGCCAAGATTTATTCATCCTACATTAAACGGGTATAACTCATCCGAAGCCATGGCTGAAGGGCGAAGGCTGAAAGCCCCCCAAAATCCACGCAGGTCTTGTGGGGGTAACTCTGTTGCGTCTGGGCTTGATCAATCAGACGTCGACACGTCAGCCAAAAGAAGGAATGGATATGGAGCCAAGAGCATGGAAAGTGGGGGCTGCACGGGGAAAGAGCTTTGAAGCCACGAAAGAGATTGCCAGCGTGGCATTTTTTACGCAACCCTGCAGAGCGTCCAGATTCTGCGCTGGAATCTGTATCAGGCTGGAAACCCACGTCTAAGAGCAGAATGCATAACATGAGCCCACTACGTACCGTACTCAGTTTAGAGTGTTGTGTATGTTATTTCACAAAAAATATATGTGCAGGTGAGCAAAAATGATATACTGGTGACGGTAATTTGAGGAATAATCCACAAGCCACCATTCTACGCAAGATTACAAAGGAAGAACATCTAATTCAGATGAATTGAGCAACTTCTATCAACAGTACAAGACTTGGCACACTTCACAATGTTGCATCAACGGGTCTTGCTAGAAGATACATGTTAGTAGAGACCTGATCGGGGAAGTTGCCGAGGCGAGAATTACGAGGGGGCATAGAACGCAGGGTCATAGAAAGGGTCGATGTTGCCAGCCGTTGTGCGAGTGGGGGCGAAAGGCAAAGGGGAGGTGGACAAGGGAGTGAGAGGATCGGAGGAGTACGGGGAGGCCTGGGGGGTGGAGGAGGTTGTCGCGGCAGTCGTGGAACAAGGCCTGTGGGAGAAGCAATGGGTACAGAGGGGTAATGGAAGGGAAAGAGCGATTTCAGGTTTAGAGGACGCGTGGACAAGAATCGGCAGGTTTCGAACAACGGCGGCAGCTTTTGAGCAACTAGACCTATAACTCCGCGTGCGACGTTGAGTACAAGTGGGAAGTGGGATGGTGAACACAGCTCAAATGCGTATACCAATGAAAAGTAAGCGTAAGCACGTGCAACCCCCCCCTCTCTCTCCCCCCCTCCAACCCCCTTCCCTTTCCACCCTCCCCTCCCATCCCCGGGGGGCTTGGCTGAACTCACGTGTCCTCAGTGCACGCCTGGCTGGTAGCAGTGGTGGCGTTGACATGGCATGATTGCCGTGGCTGTTCTCCCCTATGTGCACCCATAGCCAGGAAGGTGCATTTTAGATAGCTAGCAAGGCAACTGCAACTCACGTGTCCTCGGTGCACGCTTGGCTGGCAGCAGCAGTGGCGTTGACAATGGCATGATTCCCATGGCTGTTCTCCCCTATGTGGATCGCCAGCTTGGCCTGCCCATCCATGCACTGGTACTGCTGATAAGCCAGGTTGCTGTTTGGATTGGAGCATGGACTGAGCAGGGGAGGGGGAGGGGCGGGAGGAGGGGATAGAGGGGGGAAGGGTGCAAATGAGGACAGACAACGGAGGTTGTGACCGAGAACAATCTCCTGCTCTCTGCTCAGAGGGAGCAGAGAGCAGGAGAACAATCCAGTTTGACAATGGCGTGTGTGCCGTGGCTGTTCTCCCCTATGTGGATCGCCAGCTTGGCCTCCCTGTTGCTGCATTGGTACTGCTTGTATGCCGTGCTGCTTTTCTGGTTGGAGCAGGGACTGTAAGGGGGGACGGACAGTGGGGGAAAAAGGGGCACACGGGGACAGACGTTGATCTGAGGGTTGCGACCGAGAACAGCGGTGGCATGGACAACGGCATGATTGCCCAGATAAACAATGGCTGTTCTCCCCTATGCGGATTGCCAGCTTGGCCTGCCCGTTGATGCATTGGTACTGCTTGTAAGCCAACTTGCTGTTTGGATTGGAGCAGGGATGCAGTTCTACCCACAGCCTCTACTCAGCGATGTAGAGTATTTTTTAGAAT